GAGCGCGTTGGTGAGGTCCTCTTCCTCCTCCTCGTCGCTTTGGTCACCGGTGGCAACAGTACGATACACACCCCAGTCCTCGTCGTTGGCTCCAAAGGTATCGTCATCGCCTCCCCTCCGTCGCTTCTTGGGCCCGTCTGACGCCAGATTCGCAAGTGTCTTCATCCGCATCTGGCTGGCAAGGGACTTGCGGTTGCCGAGGTCGGCCTTCAGCCTTTCACGCTCTTTGATCTTTTGTATCAAGGCCTAAACATAATATTAGTAAATAGAAGTAAATTCATTCCAAATTCAAGCCTACCTGTCGAGCAGCTCTCCTCTCGGCAAGCCAGTTTTCAAAGTCATTTTCTCGTCGTTCGTTGTCGAGCCGCTCTTCCTCCTCCTTGCGAGCCTTTTCCCGCTCTTTTTCGGCCTTTGCACGCTGGCGAGCCTCGAGATTCGACTTCATCAGTCGTTGATGGCGTTTCTCTTTGAGACCCGCCTCGTCGAGCTCCTCATCGGGGACATCGAGGAGAGGGAACGACATCTCTTCAGGGTTCTCCTCATTCTCCTCGATCCCAAGATCCTTATTCCGTGCTCGTTTGATCGAACGCTCTAGATCTCGGATCGTCCGCTCCAGGTGCGCCTCATCTTTGAGATCCTCGGCCTCAAGTATTCTCTTGACTTCTCGTTTGGATTCCTGGGCCAGCCCTCGCTGTAGATCCTTGTAGTACTCCAACTCTTGCTCTTTCTTCATCAGCTTCTCTAGTCGCATTTTCGCGGCTTGTTCTTGTAACCGTCGTCCACTCTCCTTCTTGCGCTCCGCGATGCGCGCGAGCTCCTCCTCCGATTTCTCTGGAACGACGTGCTCCGTGTAGGGGTACTGGATTACATGGTCTCGGTCCTCCAGACCATCCCAGTCCAAGTAATGGCTCACTTCCTGGTCATACTCTGTAGAGACATAGCAGTGCTTATGTATCAAGCCCTCCATCTGATTCTCATTCATGCGGGCAGGGAAAGTCGGATATTTCAGCTTCATCAGCTTCAACAGGTAATCAGAAGATTGGTAACCACCCCAGTTGAGCCGTGACGAGTTCGAAAGCAAAGCCTTAGAATTGAGAACCGGCACGACGTGCGTCGACGTATGAGAGGACGAAATAATCAGGCCATCCTTTCCGCGGTTATATCGGTAGGAAAACAGACAATCGATGCCGTAAGCAACGGACGGGACGGAGTAGCATTCAAACAGAATCTCGTTCATCACTAGATGGAGTTAGCAGCGTTTATTTTGGCGGAAAATCTTTGCAAACATACTTCGCCTTGGATATGTCAGGTTTGCGATCGGCTCTGTCATCACAATAGGTCTATCCACTCCTCCGTTTTCACCGTCCACTCCCAACTTCAAGAAGAGATAGTCCAGCACGCCCTCCATGACGTCCCAGTTACCCACAATGCTTGTACCGGGATCGAATGCGTATCGCATTTGACCGCGAGTCGTGGCGTCCACATAGGCATCGTATCCCACAAATTGACACGCCTTGTTGAGCTTGCGATCTCGGTAGCGGCTCATCACGGGAGGGAAGATGAATCGGGGATTCTTGTCGAAAGACCATCCGACCTTGACGGTATGCGCGCCTGAACAGTTCAGCAAGGTGACCCAAGCTATATTAAGCTCCATATCATATCAACTTACCATTGTCGATGACTATAGCGCTCGAGCTGGGGGAAGCTTTGCTCTGCTGATATCCGTCCGGCTGCGGGGGATGGTAACCCTTGAAAGGAGGCTCCGGGACAGGGAACACCTTTGGCGGAGGCTTTGTTGCATTTTTGTCGGCTGAATTAAAAGCGCGAGCTGGCAATATTGTCTGCCGGGACGTGATGGTCATTGTGAACGCCTGGATAGAATCAAACTGGGCTTCGGAGATGGTATGCGGCGTCTGCAAGTATGAGCGAGTTCACCTCATCGCAATGGTCGGCGTAGTGGTGAATGGGCAAGAAAAAGGTACAGATAATACGGCGGAAGACGATGTAGCTGTGTCAAAGGAAGGAGAAGAGGTGGCAGAGTGGTGTACAGGCCTAGAGATCCGAACTTTCATTCTCTACGCATCCCGGAGCTACAACCAACCAACCTCTCCTGCGGCGCGCCAAGACTCGTCACCAATTACTGGATATATCATGTGTCTATCCGGAGTTTACGACTCAACTGTTTTCTTGTATTATGGGACAGGATTTCAATCATAATTAATTTCATTCAATATCATAACTCATGAGCAATAAGAAAATAATCCCACATGTGCTGTCTCTGATTTCTAAGACGGCTCTTTAAGATTCTCCGTGGCTGTATACCGTAAGCATGTATCAAAATACCTGAATTCAACTGACCCTGCGTACCTTCAAGGTGAAAGAGAACATTTGACTGGTAGTTTTTGAACATCTGGGCCACCAGTTCCACATTCATATTCTGAATGTTGACTTCCTGTTAAACGCGAATAGTATAAGAGACTGCTCAACAGACCACTACATATTCATGTGGAACGATACCTGGAGGCTCTTGTTCAGCACCATAATCGCTTCATTGAGTTTTTCCTATTGAAATCTGTCAGTAATTCCTGTATGTTACCCAGAGCAAGCTTGAGCGCGTACAATGTTGGTGATGATTCGAGAAAGCAGCTGGATCTGCTGATGCTCGTGAGGACTCTCCTGAAGATTTCTGTATCAGTCTTCTTCCACAAAACTGAAATTCTACAACAAAGATGCGATTATATGGCTCACCATTTTGAAGGAAGGCTACACAGTCAGTAATCAAAGGATCCTGCTCGTTGTTTGTTTCGCGCCAAGATCGAGATGTTGATATCCGACACCTTGCACGTGATGTGTAATTCCAATACAGAGATGGCAATGTTCTGCCAAGCCGAGTGCTATTTCAATTTTAATAAACAATATAAAAGGAAAAAAGACTATTAGTCAAGCTAATTATTACGCTCTCCATTAGATCTCTCTGTTTCTTGGCGTTGCCATCAAGAGTGGTGAGTACCAAGACATTTTTGCAACTAGATTACAATACCGATACAGACTCCGCCATCCCGCCCTTGTCACGATCAAGAAGCCATCCAGAACAGCATTAATTGCCTCCGACCTCTTCCAAACCACATTCCAGTTCAACAACTCTGCCGCTCTTATTATCTGTACCATCTCCATCTATCCACCATGGCTCCTTCAACTCCTGCAGCAGGGGAAGAAACTCACCAGCAGCTTCTCGACCGTCTCGACATCGCTGGTATTCCGCGCTTCTTCCGCAACCCGAACTGGAAGCCATCGCAACGACGGAACAAGAACGTGAAGCAGCTCCTCGCTGAATCCTCCCGCAAAGAAGCATCGTCCATGGCGACACAGAACAACTCCGGAGCGACGACGCCCATGGCCGTTAGCACTACGGATGGCACGCAGACCCCCTCTGGAGGAGGCGCGGCGTTCCGGCCTCCGAATATCGCTCAGGCCGCGCAAAACTTGTCTACCCTGGTCCTGGAGAAGAATATGAAGTCTTCGTTTTCTACAGGGCCGGCAGTCACGTATACCAACATCGAGTCAGCGCCGTCGTTGAATCCCGCCCATCAGAGGCGTTACTGCGATATCACAGGCCTTCCAGCGCCGTATACTGATCCCAAGACGAGGCTCCGATACCACAACCAGGAAATATTTGGTGTGATTAGGTCGTTAGGACAGGGCGTTGCGGAGAGCTATCTCGAAGCCAGAGGCGCCCATGTGGTATTGAAATAAGGGTGTGCAAGCTATTATTGTATTACTTGGACGTCTAAAGCGCAGGATGGTGGCGAGATTGGTATGTTACGAGACTATCATCACAAATTTGCTTCAACTGACTTGCTAGATCTTATACCAGCTGCTATATTACTGCCCAGTTGCATGTGAGGCCATCCGAGTCAAGCCCTTTCCACCCACCGTGCCCCTCTCGAGACAGGTTCAAGAAAGCGCTCCGGCTTAGGCCTTTAAGGGTCAATCTTCGCCTAGTTCTGAGAACCGTCAACCCATACCGACATTCCACGGACAGGAAAATCAGTTACAGCGTCAGCTGTCGCTGTGGTCGCGGCGGGAATCCAAACGCAACGTTGCAGTCATACAAGTCGACTGGGATGTCTGGGAGTCCGTCGACAGGCGGACGAAATTGTGCTTGCAGCTGGGTGTCATTAGATGAGCATGTTAAAGAAAATCAGTATTAGTGTAGAGTAGAGCAAATGCTATGAACCATTTGGTTCCATCAGGAGCATGTCAAACCCGGAATTCACATCAAGATTCAAGACAACGGAACGAATGATTGGAACCAGTTTGAGTAAGCTGAGTGATGCTTGTGAGTCTTGCTGAGCCTTGAATCGAGGTGCAGTATCAGATTTTGGTGCCGTAAATCGACCCGCCAGCCTGTAATCAGGTCACATAATGATCCCTCTGTGTTAATAACCCCTGTATTCGTGGGAAGTTTTCAGCAAAACCAATCATTCTCAAACAATGTTGAGGAGCGGATTGAGTATGCGAAAGAAAAAACATTTGAAGTTGGAAAAACGTCAAACTCGACGGGTAGAAGTACGAAGCTAAAAATCCTGACCGCCGACCTAAACCAGCTTAGCGTGTGCGGCCGCCGATGGAAAGACGTGGCAGAAACGAAAACGCGGTGCGCTTTTTCGGGCGTGAATCCATTATTGTTTCCCCCTGTTGGTACGGAGTACGAGAGGTTCGTTTTTTTGAAATTGTGAAGGAGGGTCGATGATTATTGATTGACATGCGGGCTCGCGATATTATTTTTGTGAATAATTAATATTCTTGACCCTGAGAGTGTTGGATACCTTCCCGTCCCGTCGCAAACTTCTGTGATTGTTGTTCGGATCGTTCGTTTGAAACATTTCGAAGATACACCGAGCGGAGCGAGCGAGCTGCATAGTCCGAAAGAAAAGAGATCCTCTTGAGTCATTGATTCCTACTCTGACTCCCGGAATTACCACCTTTATGTCTTCCGTCTTGTGCGACATTCCGGTTCGATAAAGAAGAAGTCAGTGCATCGCGCCGCAGGAGATATCTATCTTTTCGCTTGAAACAGGAACTATAGAGAAGCGTGACTGTTTACCGGTTTGTGCCGCGTTTTTCAAAAGCCAACAAATCGCAATAGTCGATCTCTGGGGGATTTGAAATTCAAAATGCCCACCATGTGGCTCTCAGAAACACAAAGTGAGTGCGCTGACGCATCGAGGAGGCGGGAGGTTAGAGAATGCTAATTAATTTGCGTCTGCCATATAGAAATCGGAGTGATCTTCTGTTCCGGTGGTATGTGAGATTTATCCGCATGAGACGCCGCTCGACGGTTTGTTCCGTGTCTTCGAAATGAGATAGTTGTTGACGGTGATGCTCATAATAGGTGGATTGTTCCTATGTTTGGGAGTATTGATGTTCTTTGATCGCTCGATGTGAGTCTGCAACTTCTAGGGTGTCCTTGTGATTTGTATACTGATCTCATTTTATAGGCTTGCCATGGGTAATGTACGTATATTACCTTGTCGAATTTCTTGTCGATAACGGACAGCCATTGTCAAAAAAAAAAAACTTGAACTGTTAGCTAACGGCTGATAGATACTCTTTCTCATTGGTTTAACGCTTATAATCGGCCTTCAGAAGACGATAAATTTCTTCTCCCGCCGCCAGAAGCTCAAGGGAACCGCCGCCTTCGCCTCCGGAATCATTCTCATCCTCCTTCGATGGCCTTTGACTGGCTTCTTGATCGAACTGTATGGGATCTTCATCTTATTCGGGGATTTTCTGATCACTGTCGGTCAGTTTACGGGGAACATCCCCGTTGTCGGTCCATACATCAAACAAGTGTTGGAAACTCTTGCTGGCGGAAGAAGGAATGTCCAGCTGCCCGTATAGCCATGAAACATGAAGGGCGAGTCCCCTAATATGTTTCACGCTGGGCTTGCAAACGGAATGCCAAGTTATGAATTTATCTGGTCCCGATGTCTCGAATGACCAAGAAATGATTGTTGAACCTGTATAAGTTTTGTAATATCGCGCATGCGTGAGACGATCCTTCTGTTTCTGACTTATGACCTATATAGACGGAATGTAATATGAAAATTCTAATAAAAACTAATCAAGATACCATGATATCCAGGCTCCTGTCCAACGCTCTCCCCACCAAGTTCAGAATATGCAGCAATGCAGTGCTCAAGCCCGAATGATGTATATTGTTCGTATATCCTCATATGCTATTGAGATAAGTGCTCCTGACATGACAAATGTGATTTTTAGTCGGGACCCCTCTGTTTTTGTCGCGAACGTGGAGAAAAATTCATGTCAAGAGATAAACGATCGTCAAAAAATATACAAAACTTTAAATTCGTAGATAGCATATATATTCGCGCATCATAACATCGTGTTGCGTCATAAAAGATCGAAAATCGAGCACATGAGTATAAACTGTTCCGGGTTCTCCATAGCTCAATGCATGCATATATTTATGCAAGTAATTCATAGCGTACTGATGGTAACACGCTGCAGACGCATTTCGGTGGCGGTTCATTCTTCTGTACTCTAAACTCTTCGATGTCAAGCTTGTCGAAGTCCCAAAAGGATGTACCTATCGGCTTTCGTATAACCAGGTAGTCGGAATCAAACCTCTCAGATTGTATTTCAATAAAGACCTCGGACTCATCTCGAGGAATCGATACCAATGACTTCCGCAGCGTATCACCGTATGGACCAGCAGTTTTCACATCTGCTCCGTGCTTTAGGAGGACAACCACGACGTCTCTGTGAGGGTAACCCAACGCTGCGCGAAGTGCCGATCCGAAGAATCCTGCTTGGATATTAACGTCGGCACCTCTATCAATGAGGCACTGCACCATCTCGACATCGCCAAAATATGAGGCTGCTTGAAGAGCAGTGCCATACCGTCCACCGATGAAATTGACATCCACCCCTTTGTCGATCAGCGCTTTCAGAATATCCACAGAACCATATGTCGAGGCAGCAGCTTGTAATGGCGTCCCGGTTTGACCGTGGCCAATATTAGGATTGGCTCCATATTCCAGAAGTACTTCAACCGATTGGAGGTGGGAGTTGTTACAAGCAATTTGAAGAGGAAACTCCAAATCGTCGTCCTCAGAGACGTTGGGGTCTGCACCATTCTCAAGGAGAAGGCGGATAATATTAACATCCTTGGCCATGGTAGCAGCTGCCAAAGCCCAGTGACTGTTGATGTGAGCACCGTGGTCGAGCAGTAGCTTGACAATTCGAACGTCCCCTGAATAACATGCTGCTGAAAGACAGCTGCGATTAAAACTCATATTGCCCCGTCTGTTTTCAATTCCAAAATTTGGATCCGCACCATAGTCAAGAAGTAGTTCGACGCATGGAAGGTCTCCCTTATAGCAGGCAGCTAGCAACGGAGATCCCTCTCGCCCGCCACAGATATTTGGATCGGCTCCCTGTTCGAGGAGAAGTTTGACCGTCGTAGGAACAAGATTCTCAAGGAACTCGCCTGGCCTTGGCCAGTCTGTGGGCCATGTCGTTTGAGACATCGCGTGGAAATGGCGGTCGTGTCTCCCTACTACAGCGGCCTGCAGCGCAGTCTCAAAATCCCCTCCCCGGGTGTTGACGTCAAATCCTTCTTCAAGCTGTATCTTGACAATTTCATCAAACCCAAAGTAACTTGCAGCATGTAGAGTGTGGGAAAATCTCGAATCGCCGCCGAAATCGGCTCCATGTTGGAGAAGAAGTCTGGTCGTTTCGATATTGGAGCGGGGAGGAAGACGACCCAAATATGCAGATCGTAATGCCCCCTTCAGGGCTGACTCACTGTTAGTGTCAATTTCATCATTTGCGAACATCCGCTTAAGAGTTGGCACGAGTCCATAAGCCGCCACCACATTGAGTGGCGAGTCAGAGACAGAGTCAAGAAGGTCAGGGTGAAACTTTGGAGGGGATAATGAGCAGAAAAAGGACAGCCAATTCGAGTAGGCCTCCTTCCTTTTCAAGAAGAATTCTAGAGCCAAGTCATGTGCTCTTTCTGCCTGCTCTGGAACCCTTTCGTAGTGGTAAAGCCAATTTTCGGCTGCATAAAGAGCAAGTGGGAATTCCTTTTCAGCAGCAGGGAGCGGCTTATCAAACAATCGCATATACAAGAGACAGCACTCTGTGATTGATATATGTGCAGCGGTTTCTTCAATCTGATATCTTGCAGCTTGCCCCTTCCGAATATCGTGTGAGAGGAGATATTCTCTCACTGATATATGTGCTAGTCTGACCAAGATCTTTGGCTCACTGTCGTTGCTTTCATTGCGCTCTTCCATCGTTGTTAAAAATCCAGGGCAAATCTTTAGAATTTCGTCGGGCTCCCAAAATCGTTCAACGACCAGAGGATCGCCGTCGAAGTCCACAGCGGCCAGCTCGGCAAGCTCTTCAATACGTAGGGGACGAGCACTGAAAAGAAGCCAATAGAAAATTCTCATGGCGAGTTCGTAGTTTTCCTCGCTTATTCTGCCGAGCATCTGAGCATAAGTTTCGTTCAGAGTCTCTGGTAGACTTTCTAGAGCCCTCCGTAGTTGCGAAGGCCTGAAGCACTTCTCCAGAGCTTTCAATTGGCACATCACCCATTGAAACCTAAAAGAGATTTAGTATTGATTTTCTTACTAAGAAGCGAGAAATTCTTACATGCCATCCGACTTTTCTGTCAGAGAATTTTCAATCTCCTCCTGGACTTTCGGGTGTGCTCGCCATCTCTTCAGGGCTCTGTCCGTTTTTAGCCGCTCCCGGATGTAAGTACGGATATCTTCCTTTGTCACAGCCGCTGACAGCTTTATGTGATCCTGCCTCATATCAACGGACTCAAGGGAATCCTTGATATCCTTCTCATCGCGACTTGTCAGCAAAAGATGAATGTTCACTCCCTCCCACCGTCCCATCTCCTCTAATATTTCGAACAAGTCGCCTCTTTCCTCGCATTCATCCAATGCATCCAACACAATATACGTGTCACTGAACTCTGATACCATATTGTACAATATAGACAGAAGCTGACTGGACGCGGGCTGCTGGTCTCCTTTACCGAAAAGCTGTGTCAATGCTTGAGAATTTCGATTGCTCCGCTCAAATAGCTGTTTAATAAGTGAACGTAACAATCCAGTGTGATTTCTCTTGGACACATCATCCATCTTGAAGAAGAAGTATGCCACAGCAAGATTTAGATCAGACCCACAATGAAGCAAAAGGTCCTCGACGACGGTCGATGAAAGGATGGTCTTACCGCACCCAGCAGTCCCATGGATCCACAATAATGAGCGCGAGAAACACTTCCACTGACTATATTGCTTTCCGCAAATAAGCCAGGAGCCTGTGTTCTTCACCCTCCTCTGGAGGGCGTCTGCATAATCGACTGACGCATCTGGCGCACAGAGCCATTGGACAATATCGTCGGCATCTCGACCTATAATAAGATGGTTTAGATCGTACTCGTAAAAGGCGTGCGGCTTCTGGCACTATCTCACGTTTCTTCTCGTCGTCTTGAATTGCTTTGAGACTCTGCACTGTAGAATATGTTTCCAGAGTCGTGTCACGAATGTCCAGCATGGCATTTCTACTCTGAATGTCAGCATATTGCCAGAATGGGAGATGCAAGTAGATGAATGTAAGATGGAATTGTGCTGGAAGGAACGAAGGGGTAACGGAAAAGAGGAAAGAAGTTCAGCGGAAGATGGGTTTAACGTACGTTTCGTCCAGCGTCAATGCCAAGCTAAACAGCGTAATGTATTTGTTGATGTCATCCAAGATTGACCTCATATACGCTTCCTTAAGCGGCCACCTCAAAGCACGGATAATTCCTTCCTTTTTTGACATTGAGAGGTCGTTGCTTGGTGGGGTGATATCTCGCTCGAGTTGTTTCAATTTCCGAAGACACTCCTCGAACACATATTCCAGTTTGCAGAGCCTCCCCAAAGTAGGGAGTAGATATTGGTCTTCACCCGTTGATAATAATCCTTTCTCATCCTCCATCAAATTTCTCTCCCGCTCTGTCAGCTCTTTGAGGGTTGTGAGGACGATTTGGAGACCGCCAAGTTCCTGGATAAGTCTCAGGAGTTCTATCTTTGCGTTTTTAGCAGATCTCACATATTGCATGCATGTAGAGCTGACAGAACTGGTAATCTGGAGCACGGCTATAATGCTGGCACAAACACTCAGCGGATCCATCTCAGCAATTTGTTATGGCTTCGAGAGACACGACGGTTGGGCTAAAGTGCAACATTGTATAGATGACAAGAGGAAAGACTCTGAATATATACATAAAGATGTGACAGTATTTAAGAATTAAGATCATTCCAGCCAGATCAAAAAGGCTGTTCTTCATGTTGGGCCAAGGCGCTCTTGCATAGCCGCCGAGCTGCAGGATTAGCGATACGCTATCCAGAAGGAATCATCGGCGCAGACGACGTGCTAGCAAATCAATTGTCAACATCCCAGGTGCGACTAGTTACTTTGCAACAGAGATCTAACCTCACTGGCATGGAGAATTCAGTTAGCTTTCGAACAGATGGCAAATCATTGTACCCTGACAAGTATCCTACTGAGATTAGCCCCCTGCAACCTGGGGCTGACCCATGTATGTACTGTACACTGGTTAGAAAGATTCAAATTAGCAGAAGTAGGAAGTTTGACAGAAGCCGTCGGAAGAGTAGAATAAGAACAAAAGTTAAAAGAAAATCATTTAGAGAAGTAGCATGTACAGCAAAAGTTTCAGTTCATTGCTTCGTGTCTATTTGAAATTTAGCCTCCACTCTGTCGCCTGAAAAAGTGACCAAGTCCCCGGGAGCAAGGGAAAGGTCTTCCTACAAGAAACTGAGCCGAATAATGTTCACGAAAATGGTAGTATGATTTCACTTCCTTCACTTAAACGAGTTCAAGGCCAATTGCGAGGAAAGTGAACCCCTCGATAAACACCCCGATGCACCCTCCTTGGTATTCTTGGTTTACAGGTTGTTCTTGATGAGATGCGTGGCCTGGTTCTGGATAAAGTCGATTGCTCTACCCGGAGGAGTGGTCTCTGGATAATGTGAAACCAAAATCGACTGGGAGCACTTGGCGGCGATGATTCCTTCCTTGCCCTACATTAAAAAAAAATAAGATTAGTGGTTGGTCTCTGAAAACTAGGAAGGATATATAGAGCGAATGCCACCCGTACCTTTGCACAGTGCAGCACGGGAATGTTGTCGAGTTCATCGATCTTGTTGAAGAAGTACTTAGTTCCCCCGACAGTGATACCTTCTTGTTGAGCCGTTGTCGCGTTGTTGAAGGCGAAAGCGATCTTGTTCATCTCTGCTGGAGTAAGCTGAATGATGAAAATGAATCAGCAACCATGTGTCGAGAAAAGAACGATGCTGAAACTCATAGATTCCTCAAGAGATGGACTCGTACGTCGATCCCAGCAGATTTCCCCCACACGCTCTGGCCAGTCTGGTCAATGAGAATGGCTTTGTCGATATAACCCTCCTTGAGGATGCTATTTCAAGGTCAGATAACACTGTCCGCTGGTTTCGTGATTTCTGAAGGCAGGAGACATACTTCTGGTTGATGTAGCCTGCATGAAGAGCAAATCATATCAGCTTCAAACTGTTCTAAAGACAGATATAAATTCAGAGATGCCGTGCTGAAGAAGCATACCGTCCCAGGCCATGGTGGATGTGTCCCTCTGGATCAAAAAGCAGGAATCAACCGAAGCTTTTCAGTCAAGGAGAAGATCGGACGGAACCAGAACTTTCGTCTGATGTCCTTTGGTCTGAAAGTGAGCTCAACAGGGATATTCCGTGATGAATAAAAGGAAACTCCGGCTGGAGGCGGTGACAAGCCGGTGGTGAAGGTGGATTGTTTGTTGAGACGAAAGGAAACACGCGGTCACGTGAGGTGGGGTGATGATGGCCACTGCCCCGCCTTTCCAGCCGGAAAGACTGCTCTGCGGCTCTCCCGTTTGGCGTTCCTCTCTCATGCTGCATGCCCAACCAGTCACCAGAGCACATCTGGCGTTTCCCATGGAAACTCCTATTATTCTCCCACCCAGTATCCTCTCTCCATCTGGTTCATCTCTCATGTCTTGCCACAGATGCTTTTGTCCTGATGATCACTCTGGCTGCCATCACATCTTGCTGGCAACACCGCTTTTTCCTGGAATACTTTTAGTCGGCTCTGCGGGGACTGGTCCAGCAGTTTATTGGTAAAGACTCGGTACACGCTGGCAGCGGACCCATTGTTGCTGAGTCAACAAAGAGCTCGCAATGTGATCGCCATCTGGAAGGACTTCAGTGGGCAACCGTTGGGAGGTTTATCAATCTCTTATTTCTGCGCCTAGATTTTTGTAGTTTCTATGCCACGTTACGAGCATTAGACTCAACCGATACCTGGGCAAGATTGAAATAAATACTTTCAGGGTTGGCTACCTTTAACTTTTAGGCCTAAGGAAATAAAGGTATTGTATTCACGTGAAAGGATAAGCTAAGATTCCTGCTCTCTACTCCGTAAGACCCAGCAATTAATCGATATAGCCGTTGTAGCGGGATAAAATTCTGGATTCTTCTCTGGTCGTTCCTGGCTCTCTTTGTACTTAATTCTTAACTCTAGTCTACCTTCTCAATTCGATCTTGTTTAAGAATTTAGATCGCAGAAAACCTTCCTGATAAGTAGAAAAAGACATCGGCTGCCTCATTCTTGGAAGACGGGTCTCCTGCTATTGAGCTAGCAGCTCAGGCTGCTCAGTGCAACCGGCTAAGGGCGGTCAGGAGTACCTACGAGTACACCGTAAAGAAAGAAAGGGTATCATCTAAGCTGCTAGCGGGGATGATGTCTATCTTGGAATGGCGAAGAGGAGATCATGAGGACGATGCAGATCGTGAGAGCAAGCTGAGTGTCTGGTTCATATCTCTGGCTCTAGACCTAGTAAGCCCTGAGTCTGGCCAGTACGAATCATCTCGGAAATACAGAAAAGGCGATTCAGTCAAGAACACTCTAATTATATCGATTAATATTGCTCTGTTCTTTTGCAGCAACCGGGACCCATCTTAGGGAATTTTCTTTTTGGGCAGCGGTGACCGAGGGCTCCTGCCTGCCTCGGACCTAAGGCACACAACCTTACCGCTTCCGTCGCGATCAGGATAGCGCGTTCTGTTATTCTTCGACAGCGGACGCCGTCTTGTTTCACCAGTGTTTAGCCTCATCTGTTACTGCCAGACGACAATTCTTGCCTGAAAGAAAGCGAATAAAGACCACGATTCTCTCGCGTATTAGTCCAATGAAAATTCCAGATGCGAAAACATGAGAAATGCAAATGACCGTTGTGGGCCACGAGTTTTCTGGAAACGATTATTTCAATCTGAGGACTTGGTTGGCATCATACGAACAATTTTCGTTCAGCCTGCGGTAACAGAAGTTTCAGATTTGCGCTAAGGAACGCACGCGCCTTACTCCGTACACAGGCCATCGGCTTCAAAAGGCTTCAAAATACCGAGATTTGACAAGGCTAAATTAGCAATGGACTGGAACTGTCTGCCAGCTTGGCTGACCATCATGCGTTGGTCGACAACTCGACTGTTGATGCCTTCTACACGCTCTTTCTGCCCCTTAGGTACCGGCGGGCGATTGTTAATATTACTGAGTTAGGCAGCCCTGCTGGCGATTGATGATGCCGCCCGCTCATTCGCTGCGAAGGAAATAAGCATGCCGACGGCGATGCATGCAAAATGGGCTTCCGCGCGCTGACTGGCCAAGGGCCTCTAACCACAGCATCAACAGCGAAATTAATTTACTTGGCCAAAGCCACCCACCAGCGTCCCCTGGACTCTTCGCCGCCATCCGACGTCAGTGGAGGACTGTTCTGGACCCGACAATCATCGCCTGCTGGGCTGAACGGCTCCATGCAAGTTCGTTTCATGCCGCCATTGGCCTCCTGGTCAGGATGACATTCTCAGCCTCGACCAATCCAGCTGCACTGACCCCTGTTGTCTGTCTCACGTACTTGCGACATCTGAAGCGAAACATGGTGCTCCAGCACTGGAAGCTCCACAGGTTTGATTGTGTTCTATTAGTATCGGGTCTCATAACTAATCGCTCCTCTTTGAAGAACCTCCATCATGCACTCTCCGCATTGCGCATCCGTCGCTTGTTTCTATCATTCTTTTGACTCTTAGCTGTCAAGTTGGCTTTCTGGAAAGCCGTCCATTCCTTTGGATTCGTGATCGAAGAGTTTTCTATTTTCTCACAGTCAGGTTGGACTTGGTGAATCAATAAGATTTCTGTGGCTGCTAGACAATGGCGAGACGGATCTTCGGTAGAGGACGCGCAAATACAACGACAGGGACTATATCAAAACCTACCCTCACTTACACGGATGCACTTCCTCGAGATGACCTACAGGATCTGGGTCAGATATCTGCTACCAATGTGCAACCTGCAGCCTCCAGTGGCTGGTCTCGGAGGCAAGAAATCCCGGCTAATGCGTCTGGGTTCGACTTTCGAGTGACGGAGCCGCCAGAAGAGGCAGTGAAATCGGATCTGCCTACCGATCGGACAGTTGATGACGCCATGATTGGTATCGCGCTGGCCAGTCCTGGTGCAGTCGCTTCACCCTATTCTGCCACCAAATCGAACGACGAGCCTGTCATTAGTGAAATCAATACAGCACAAGATGCAAGGAACGATGCGAGCGGTTCACTGCGTCGAAGGCCGAGCAAGTGGAAGAAATTAGGTGGACTCTTCAAAGGGAAGCAAAATCCGCCGAAGACGTCCAATCTCCCATTCTACCAGGTTCAAATCAATGATCAGCCATTACAATCTTCTTCAGAGTTTCTACCTGGGCAGGGACTCCCGTCTCAAACACGGTATGGACTTCAGCAGGATTCCGTGCGGTCAAACAAGGACAGGGATCATACAGAAGAATGGCCACGATATGAAGATGGGTCTCGGTTGGATGGACATTCCGGAAAAGAGCGGGCTCGAGACGATCAAGGTCATTCCCGGACAGGACCCAACGCTAGAATTAACTCATCGGAATCCAAAGCAAGTGGTTCGGGGCCGTTGCTGCAAGTTGAGATTCCCGACATTCATATGGAACGGTACAGCGTCATGTTTGGCAGCGTTCTTGGCAATAAGCAGCCACCAGGTCTCCTCGCCAGACGCAGCAAGACTCTTGACAAGCTTAAAGTTGCTACTGACGAAGTAGGTGCCCCTTCTCAAGCCAAAACTATCGGCGTTCTGTAAAATGCTGACTTCTATAATAGCCGAATACGCTGGAGCCTCAAAGGTCTCGGCGTCGTGCAACGTCACCAGTGCCGTCAAAGTCGCCTGCTTTCACGTTGTTTCCTCACGCACCTGCTGCTGAAGCATCCAAGAATGCTGGCTCTCACACGTCGCCAAATAGGAGTCTACACAGATCCCAAACAGCACCAGCCGAGTCGATGCGGACGATACGCTCAAAGGACCAAGCTTTGCTTACGGTTCCCGACGCCTCTCCGGCGCCAACATCTGGCTCGCAAGACCCATGGGGGTCCGACGCGTCACCGCAGTGGTCCGACTCCGATGCAGCCATACTAAAAAGCAAGCCGGTAAAAAGTTATGTCGACGAAACCAAAGAGCCAGTATGGGAGATGGTGACGGCGAAACGGACCGAATCACCGGAAAGCATGACCAGATCGTCCAAATCAACACCTGCCACCACTCCGGAAGACATTCCGCCCATGACCCCTCCCAAAGACTATCCTCCTGCAGGAGGTCAGATGATCCCCAGCTTTCACGCGACCCGAGAAAGAGTGGATCAGGTGATGACCTCGAGGAGAAACCAGCAGCCCAGCAGCACCACCACAACTCCTAATGCGTCTTCACCGAGCGAGAAAACCAGACACAGGGCTGCAACACCAGGAAAGGAAAAAGAAAGTGAAAGCGGAAGCAGAATTCCCGACGACAATACCGTTAGTCCCATGACTCCCGCTCCCCTTCCTACCCCTTCGTCCGCATCGTCGGAGAAAACGCCCAAGATCGAGATCTCCATCGCACGATCAGTTTCTGTCTCCAGAGGACCAAAACAGACCCTGGTGCCCTTGGGGGCACGACCAGATCAGTTCGCAAGATCAGACGAGCGCCTGGTGGAGAAGCAGCCTCTGGTTCCGACCGTTGTCGATGTTCGCCGTGGTCATCGGCCTGAGAAGTCGCAGGACGTGCTCATCGAGACGGTCTGATCTGTTGTATCTTTTCTAACGAAATCATTTTCAAGGTCTTGATCACATCTACGGATTTTTCTTTTATTTCTTGCATGTTCCAAGTCATTTATTCAGCGCTGGAAGCATTCCATCATTTCAGGATTCTATCTTTCTCTCTCTGTCTTCATTTTTTTTTCCCCCACCTTTTTGCTGTGGCTGAATACATTTGTCTAGATACCAGGTACGACAGTCGTTTTTGTTTGTTTTCGTTCTCTTATTATTGTTCACTTGTTCATCTCTCTCTCGAGGAGAGGGAGGAGGAGGAGTGCAGTGGAGTGATGTTCATTGTTCATTTCGTCTGGGATAACTTGCATGTTTCTGTTTCCTTTTGTTCCCCATAGTTGTACTGCTATGTATGTACATGTACATACAAGTCTTCCTCATCAGAAGCTTTTGATAAGCTTGATAGAGGCTGGATGACTTGACTTGACTTGAATCTACCAAAAAAAAAAAAAGGAAATTTAAATGAGTTCATGAATGCTGATGTGCAGATCAGTGTGTATTCATTTAACTACCTAGCTTTCTCAATGCTCTATGTATCTATCTACGTACATACAAATTTACGTACTACTGGACGGTTTCTCAGGCTGTGCAGCTACTTCGACCGTCGTTTCCGGCGCAGGCAGATCAACGCCCGAAATAGTCCACTCCATGCCAATGTACGCAGTATGCATTTATTTATTTATTTAGCTTTCTCAATCATGTATCTATCTACGTACTGTACATACAAATTTATGTACTACTGGACGGCTTCTCAGGCTGTGCAGCTACTTCGACCGTCGTTTCCGGCGCCGGCACATCAACGCCCGAAATCGTCCACTCCATCCCAATGTACGCGTCGCTCACGATCTTCACGTTGACTTTCCTTCTGCCGCTGCCGCTAGCGGCAACGCCGTTGATGGGTGATGATGCATTATTATTCTCTGGGAATTTGACCGTTGCTTTCGCGGTAGTCGTCTGCTTCTTTGCCGTCGTGCTGCGGTTCTCGTCTACAACAACAGGTGGCCAGGAGACGCGTTTCAATGCAAGGATGTCCCCGTCGTCATCACCGTTGGCTGTTGCGGCGGAGACGATCAGGAAGAAGCCTTCTGTCTGCGGCTTGGGGAAGCGAGGAGCGTAGATCTTGTATTCTGGGGATGGGTGGGGGTTCTGTCGCGTGAGCGTCACTGTTATACCGCGGGCGGACACTTCAGAGAGCGCGACAGACAGCCGTGGTAGAGTCGACACGGCTTTGGTAAATTGCGTGGATGTCATCGGAGGGAGATGGAGTTTCTGCGTAAGGGAAGATACAGCTGACGCTGGAAGAGAGGACAGCGCCATAAGAGACTCAGGCAGAAGCTCAGGTTTGATGTACTCTGGTTCAATGCCCGGTAGGATAGACAGTGGGTGGTCTTCAGGCCATCGTGCCGACTTGATGCACTGCAGAAGAGTCATCATCATCCGGCAAGCAGGCAGATAGCCCAATTCCGCGAGAACATCGATCGATGCCTGAATAATACGGATGCCTTGGTCCAGGACCGAAATCTGGTCTCCGACATAATCCGAAATTGGTAGATCCACTCGCGACATGTAAGCCTGCAACAGCAGGAAAGCCTTGACATGGGGATCCCATAGAGGAAGTGATCCCATCGACTCTACTGACAACGGGAGATTGCGCGCTAGCTCGCCATTGATGAGATCTTCATTGTGGCGCACCGGCAACTCGTCAAATTCAGTGGCAGAGCACATCCAGCTCAGGACGTCCTGGAAGGTCGGCTCTCTCTTCGCATGGGATATGAGATATCGAATGGTCTTGTGAGAAAGATAGTAATAACTCATGATTTTGCCAAAAGGAGTCGGGTCAACATCGCCCGTAGCGGAGTCGACGATGACACAGGACGACTTTGCCAACTCATCCAATGACTTGTCAACCAAGTGGATCATGAAGTCCGTCACCTTCTGCTGCGCAGCAATGGTGTTGTGTTCATCGGCTGGTATTTCAAGACCATAATACGAGGGATTCTTGTGGAGCCGTCGGAAGAAGAATGTCCACGTCAGGTAGTCTAATGCATCTTGTTTCGTCACGATAGTGCCTGCAGACACTTCTGCGCCCAAGTGGTTGTCAAGGACCTTATGCAGAGTCGACTCAACGGGAAACCCAGTGTGGAGGAAATGCTTGTAAAACGCCTTCTTAGAATCCTGAGTGAAGATGCGCGCGATACCTGACGAGTCAAACTGGGGACGACCAGCACGACCCAACATCTGCAACACGTCTGTCAGGTCCATGTCCTTGTAACCCTCGATCTTGGCATCAAAGTACTGCGTGCCCTTGACCACGACCAAATGTGCGGGAAGGTTGACACCCCAGGCAAGCGTGCTGGTCGCTACGAGTATCTGGATCTTGTTATTTGCGAACAGTTCTTCGGCTAACTGTCTGTCAGACTCAACCAAACCCGCATGATGTAATCCGATGCCAAAGCTGAGAGCCTCCCGTAGGGCATCGTCCTTGACTCGAGACAGGTTGAGCTGAAGGTCTTCTTCAGACATACGCACGAAACGCCGAGGATTATCCTCCATTCCACAATAGTTAATCAGATCCTTGGCAGTCAGACGCGTCTGTCTCCGTGAAGCCACAAAGACAATGACTGGCTTGTCAGGAGAGTGGTTCTTGATAGCCAGAAAAGTCGGTCGATTCATCGATTGCATCAGCGGACAGAATCCACGTTGTTCTGGAAAGCCATCAATGTAGATCTCAAGCGGAACGGGACGGACGGAGTGTCGGAAATTGTACAGGCCTTCTTTCACACCGAGCCAGTTGGCAAGATCCGTGGCGTTGGCGCAGGCAGTCGACATGCCCATCAGTCGGACCGAGCCTTTGGACTGCGAGGCGATATAGTTCATGCGGGATACGATGATCTCGAGAATAGGACCACGATCGCCACCCAGAAGATGGATCTCATCAATAATGACCAGGCTGACCTGTCGAACATAGTCTCTTGTCTTCCAGCTTCGAGAAATACCGTCCCATTTTTCCGGAGTGGTGATGATGATATCTGCATCTCTGATGGTCCTTGTGTCTGGTGTGTTGTCACCGGTCAACTCAACCAGCTTCAGGCCCATAGGAGCTGTCAGCCGTTTTCGCCAGTCTTGAACTCGTTCCCGAACAAGAGCCTTCATTGGAGCAATGTACACCACTTTTGAACCTGGCTTTTCTCGGAAAGCCCACCACATTGCTAACTCGGCCGCAACGGTCTTACCACTTCCCGTAGGAGATCCCAGCAGCACGTTGGCCGACGTGTGGTACAGGGTATGGAAGATCTGCGTCTGCATAGGATTGAAATACTGGAAACGTTGTCCATAGATCTCCTCCAAAATGGGATTCTTCAGTGCCGTGATTGGGAGAGGCTGCAGGTCCAGGAGGTCCGTGTACACACTCTCTGTATCTGGACGGATGAGATGCTGGAACGAAACTGGAGTGACAGTTTCTGCACCCAGCCACCGGTCAGATACAGCACGAACGTAGATCTGACTGGGTAAAGGATCAGAGAGCGGAATGGTGAAGTTGAGCTCATGGTTATCATGAAGCTTTTTCCGGCTTAAAATGAAGTATTCGTGATGGTAAATCTCCGAAGTATCAGAGTTTTCGACCCAAATCCAATAGGCCTCAGACGTTCCATGGTGTCTGTCATTCCAGCTGAATTCAGGATAGAGGGACAAGCGGATACGAAGGACATCCCTGTTCAGAGGGGCGATCTCTGCCTCGACGCTTAAAGTTGGGAAATTGTCAAGAAGCTTGGACAAGGTGTTGCCCATGCGGTGATTGTGGACCAGCTGTCCAATCTCAGCCGGCTCCATGTCTCTCAGCGACTCAATGGACGAAGTGGGCAGCTTTTCATCCAGGTTTCTGAGAATCGGCTGGGGCAGGTCAAACTGGTGGAAGGGGTGCTGAAAGGGCCAAATTTGCTTTTCAATCGACTTGCACAGGGACAGAAGAACCTGGCATTGGTATCCCCAACGGCGATTCAGGGCAATCATAAAGAGAGCCCGGCAGATTCGTGCGGAATTCTGAGCGACATACCCCATGTCCGATACGAGAGCGAAGTCCTCCAGCTTCGCACGGGATATGAACGACTGGAGCAGGATGTTGGTCTTTGCATGAGGGGAATCGTTACCTCCCTCGACTTCGGTCTCCACTGCCTCGTCTCGCAGGCGATCTAGTTCCTTTGATTCGTTTTCACGAGCTTGGATGTTGTCAAACTCGCCACTCATGCTGATCATTCGGAGCACATCTGCTTCGCTGGCTCGTGGACGCATCAGCTCGTTGAAAATCTCGATACTGGTCTGTAAGACATAGAACTGGCTTGCAATTCGACCGACATCCTTTGCACGCAGTTCTTCTGTTCTCTCGTTAAAGATGATCATCTGGCTCTTTTGGAGAATTCGGGCAGCATCAATGACCAACTTGCGACGTCTCTGGATCAGCATCGGATCGTCCCGAATCTCCGCCCACTCGATACCGTAGTTCCGTGGCTCACGTTTCATTCGCACAAAGAGGTAGGAATATCCAAGCCATTGAACAGCTTCCGACACCGAAGTGACCGTGCCAAGGGCGATTTCCGCGTTCAGATTATCAACGAGCTTGCTGGAGAATCGAGATTCAATTGGTTGCTGCGCCGTCACAGCAGAGATATAGTGATGGAGCTTGTCATGCGTAGTGCAGATGAAACCAATACCAGTGTCCTGGAATTGCGGACGACCAGCACGACCAAAAATCTGAAGAACGTCGAGGATTCCAAGGTCAACAAATTTACCCTCCTGCGGGCTGTATAGCTGTGTCCCCTTGATGATGACTGCAGCAGCGGGGAGGTTCACACCCCACGCCAGGGTCGCCGTACAGCAGAGCACCTTGATTAACCCTTCAGAAAACAGGCGTTCCATGAGATTGCGGTCCGACCTGGTCATGCCAGCATGGTGCACGCCGAAACCAGCAGCAAAAAGATCACGCAGCTCCCGCGCACGAGCCGTCTTGATATCTTTAAGGGCTTGGGAATATCCCTCGTGATCCTGCGCCATGAACAGATTCTCACATTGATTTTCTACGGCCATCTGTCGGAGAGTTCGAGCCGTCAAGACAGTGTCCTTTCGCGAGTGGACGAAAACCATGACTTGGTGGCCTTGCTCGAGCATCTCTCGCACTTTCTCGAATGCAACGATGTCAAGATTTTCGCGTGACTGCTTGGATCCGGGCTTCCCCTTGACACCAATAAAGTGTTGCTCCAGAGGCACAGGACGAAATGATGAGTCGAAGAAGAATAGTCCCGCCATTCTGTTGACTTTGAGGAAATCGGCGACATCTATATAATTTGGGAGCGTGGCTGACAGACCGATGATTCGAATCAGCGACTGCGTGCTTTCGACCTGGCGCTGTGTCCTGGCAACAAGAGACTCGATAACTGCACCACGTTCATCATGAAGCATATGAACCTCATCGATAATGAGGAGACGAACTTTTTGGACGAGCTCTGTGTCGCCAGTACTCTTTCTCGTGACGACATCCCATTTTTCAGGGGTCGTGACGATAATCTGGGTCTCCATGATCTCCCGCTTTGTCAACTGCATATCACCGGTCAATTCACGGACGTGAATTCCGAGCCAGGCCAGCCGTTTCCCCAACTTCTCCGTCACTTCAGCAGCCAGAGCTTTCATAGGAGCGACGTAGACGATTTTGAAGTCGTCAAACTGAACAGTAAATTCGGTTGCATCCGGATCTTCATGGGGATTCGGTGTGACGTTCTTGCTGATAGCGTTGAGAATCGTCAGCATTGCCGCGTCTGTCTTACCAGCTCCAGTCGGAGCGCAAATGAGCATGTTTTCGCTCGTTTTGTAGGCAACGTCATAAAGCAGGCTTTGCATCCGGTTGAGTGTCTTGTAGCCTTTAAACGTGCCCCTACACAGCCCATCCAAAGATGAAATCTGGACCAGTTTCTTATTCGCTCCGGGTGGTAGTGCCCCTCGCGAGGCTGGAACGCTTACTTCGGTGTACCTCTGCTCTTCGATTTGTTTGCTGCCAACCGGAAGACCATACTTCTTGCCTCCTAGTGACAAGGTATTCCGCGCGTCGTATACTTTGTACACATGGGGATACCTGGGCTCATCCCGATTTTGAGCTGCCGCTAGAGGCGCATGTTTATGCTCGTAGTCCTGCTGGCGGAGGGCCTGCTCGCGCTCAGCTCGTGTCTGCAACCGGCCCTTCATCAGTCCGTTCGTCTGCGCTTCAGTTCTTGTCGTTCTGGAAGCGAGGATCTCCGCTCTATGGGTGATCAGTTCGATCACGAAGTCGAGGTCATCGAATCCGACAATCTCCGCCAACGACATCTGCAGTTCATCGTCGCCACTGTCGGCTGCCAGCACTGCCGTGATCTGCTGTACCAACTCGCCATGGTCCAATCCTCCCTTCTGAGCTGCCAGTGTCTGGCACTTTTTCTCCAGCCAAGCGTAATCGTAGCCATCTGTCGGAGGAAGAGGCACGCCGTTAATATCGTCCAAGTCGTCGAGGCTTTCTTCGCCGGAGCTGATCACGTCCCAGATGTCATCCACCGTTCCTGGGGACGAGTATTCTTCATCGATATCCAAGTCCAAATCAGAGCCATAGCTGGGCCCGTCACTCACGGCGTGATCGGGAAGCTTCAACTCGGCGATAGCTTCCCTCATCGCCGCCAGTTGCTGCCTCCACTGGGACTCCATAGCAGCCACGTCAGCCATTGTTTTTGGAGTTGTTATAAAATTTGTCGGAAACAAATATAAACAGCTGTGGCTGTCTATCGGAGTGACTGGACTGTCTGTAAATAATAAGTTGATGGTGAAGCTGCAATCTCAGCTTCCTGCGGGGTGAGATGCTGACCAATCCGGGTATTAGGGCACTGAGTCAGGGCTTTCTCATCTCATGACACAGGCGGTGGGGCTAGCCACAACGGGACTAGCGTGACGCAACCTTAAATCTAGCCGAGTCTAGCGCGCGTTGCGGAGGGGAAGCGCAGCGGGAGATAGGTGGCTGCTGCTGGCTGTAGGGAGCGGCAGACGTCAGTCAACACACGACAGGTATCGGCACGGCCCAGTCACCGAGATATTCCACGATCAGTGAGATATGGTGCCATCATGAAGATCTTTTATATGGGAGTACGCTTCACTTGCCGAAAGAAAACTCTTTTTCGTGCGGGACTGACCATGCTATGCAGGTTTTGCGAAATGACACCAAGCCGGCGGTGGAACTAACGGGAGAAAGGGACCTGAGCAGCTTTTCGAGATTTACCAGGGAGAACTACAATGAGTTTATGATGCTGTTCTGCAAGACGGTGGCCGAGAGAACTCGCCCCGGCCAACGTCTGGACATCGAGGAGAAGAACTACGTATTCCACGCCTACGGCCGGACCGAAGGCGTGGCAGGCATCATCATCACCGATGCAGAATACCCAGCGTTGGTGGCACACCAGCTGCTCTCGAAGATTCTCGACGAGTTCCTGGCCAAATACCCGCGCACCGCCTTTTCTGATCCCAACATCCGCGACAACTGCTGTCCCTTGCCCCAGCTGAAGGAATACATCGTCAAGTACCAGGACCCGAGTCAGGCGGACAGCATCATGAAGATCCAGAAGGAGCTGGATGAGACCAAGATTGTGCTTCACAAGACGATTGAAAGTGTGTTGGAGCGAGGAGAGAAGATTGACAGCTTGGTGGCCAAGAGTGACGGTCTCAGTGCCCAGAGCAAGATGTTCTACACCCAGGTTCGTAGAACGGACATGTCTGGTTATGATTGTTGCTAACCCTTCGACAGGCCAAGAAACAGAACTCGTGCTGTGTCGTTATGTGAATGGATTTGGGATAATCCTTGTCCATCTTTGCTTGCTCTTTGCTTTCGGTGTCAAGTCCGTCGTCGCTAGATCTTGCTCCGTCCACTGATTCACATCCACAATTTACGTACAAACACATATGATTCCTCGTTAGTTATTCGAGTTTCTTTCTAGTGCAGATCAATCGTCAATCACGTCAAATTACAGCATGTTTTGCGTTCTCTTCCAGTCTCACACTGAGGTCACATAATAGCTGATCAATATGATGAATATATATTGTCTACATTGTACGAAGCATGACTACCCAATATAACCTAAAACGTCGCGTACAAACATTCCCATCACGTATTATTCGCCTCCCCCTCCTCCTCCTCCTCCCTCGTCATGTCACCATTTCGATCTCCATTTCGATCGGTATCATCTCCTTCACCACCCTCATACTCATCACTACTCAACTCCTCCTCCTCCTCCTCCCCCTCTTCACTAGGCAACCGATCAGGAAACCATCCATATTGCGCAAAATCAACATAGTACTCCCCCATGGCATCTTCGTCAACACGCACGCCTTCTTCCCGGAGGACAGCAGCTTGATGAGCGGCAGTGCCTGGTCCGCTGCATATGCAATCAGCTGGAATTGTTGTGATTGATCAAGATTTCTTTTTTCTTTTTTGTGGGTGTCATATGTCATACCGATGAGATATCGTCCCCTTTGCATTGATCACGCGCTGCCATGGGACGTTGTCGGTGTGGAAATGGTGATAGACTTCATCTGCACCTGCACCTGCACCTGCAGGGTTGCTGCTGCTGCTGCTGCTGTTGTTGTTGTTCGAGGGCAAATGCTTAAGACAAACGCCTACTTGACGAGCTCGTTGTGCTTTATAAAATCAACGAATCCAATCCATGTCATTAATTAGCTGATAGCCAGGAACGATACATGTATGTAGACAGGGGCTTCTGAGACATACGATACCCCAATAACCGCGCAATATGCCCGTAGGTCGTCACCCGCCCGCGGGGGATTTCCTGGACGGCCTCGTAGACGGCGTTGAACCACCATTCTGCTTCGTCGGTGCGTGGCATGATTAGGAATAAGTTTGTCAGAGTAGGGATGGTTTGCTTATGCGTCGATCAGGTTCGTAGAGAACGAAACGAAGTTTGTTTTACGTCTTCATCTCCGTGTTGATTAGGAGTGTCTGAATTGATCATGGCAGTTAGATTACGGAAGAACTATATATATTGGTTGTCTTGGATCATCAGGTTTATATGTAGTCCAGTCGGTAAAGCGTAGAGCATATGAAAAGCTCACAACTATATGTTTACCAGAGAATAAAGACCAATAAATGGAAACTGCAAAACGTAAACTAAACTCTTACTTTAGAACTATTTCTTTCTATTAGCTACCTTACACTGTTGATATAGACGAGTGTACTCCGTTGATTGTGGTGCTGACGCAAGAACGTTTTTCCGGATATCACCCTAGGTACTGTACTCCATACTGTACTATCGCTATCAAGCTCCAGCTCCATCTTAATTTAAAGAAAGCTCTATTTTGACTTCACCGCGCACTCGCCTCAAACCCTCCGAAATAAAAGAAAAAATGTCATCCTCCCTCGCCGACTACCTAGCAAAAAATTACCTGACAGCAGATCCGCCACCAGACCAGCGACCTAAGAAGAAGCGAAAGAAGACCAACAAGCATGCGGAAGCAGACGGCCTCATCATCGCCGACGACGACCCCCCTTCCCTCCGCGCGTCGTCGGCCGCGAATGAGCTGAACAACGAGAACGACGAGAATGCTCCTTATGTTGTTGACACGTCGCGAACGAGTGCCGAGTTCCGCCGCAAGAAGAAGTCTAATTGGAAGGTTGTTTCCGCTGGGACAACAGCCAGCAGCAGCAATAATAACAACGACGCCGCAGGGCAAGCAGAAGCGGATGCCATCATCGCCTCCGCGGCCGCGGAGAATGAAGCGCGACAGAAGGCCAACGAGGCGGAAGATGCACCGGTAGTCGAAGGCGCAGATGCCCTCCCTGACGAAGAAGATGAGAATGTCCCACGCATGGAATCCGGCGCGCGAGCCGGTCTCCAAACAGCCGAGGAAACAGCAGCCATGGTCGCGGCGCAGGAGAAGCGACGCAAAGCCGAAGCGGCAGCGATCAAGGCCGCGGGGAAAGACGCCGCAGCACAGGAGACGATCTACCGCGATGCGTCAGGACGCATCATCAACGTGGCGATGAAGCGGGCGGAAGCGCGCCGGGCGGCGGAAGAGCAGCGGCAAAAGGAGGAGAGAGCGCGGGAAGCTCTCATGGGCGATGTGCAGCGGAGGGAGCGAGAGGCGCGCAGACAGGAGCTGCGCGAGGCGCGGTCCATGCCGCTGACCAGGACGGCCGACGACGAGGAGCTGAACGAGGAGCTCAAGGCGCGCGAGCGGTGGGACGACCCCGCGGCGCAATTCCTACCGTCGAAGAAAGCACAAGTCAGCGCGACGGGCAAACCGCTCTACAAGGGCGCCTTCGCACCGAATCGCTACGGCATCCGCCCGGGACACCGCTGGGATGGCGTGGACCGATCAAATGGGTTCGAAAAGAAGTGGTTCGAAGCCCGACATCGGAAGGAGAGGCAGGGAGCGATGGAATATGCATGGCAGATGGATGAATAAGAACGCAGCATTTCTCACGATTCCTACATCTAATGACCTGATAGAAAGAAAAGGGGGGTTAATTTCATTCGACTCGAGTCTACGAATCGAACCATGATTGATACCCAAGTTGAAAAACTAGCCTCGTTGAGAGTAATTCCCACGGTGTATTACTAGTGTTGGATATCGATATATTGATAAATAATCATACGGATCAGAGGACGATATAATAAGCGCATCGCACATCCAGTCGACTTGGTTCGACATCTACTAATTATGAGGTCATTCGATATATCTTGATTTTTCTTTCTTTCTGAGAATTTCTTTTCCTGTTTGTTGCTGTATGTTCCCCCCGACCGACGACGTCATATGACAGCAGTCGTAAAATAAATCATAGGCAAGAGACATACAATGACACCGCATCGCATCGAAAGGCACCTGATGATAATAGTGGGAAAAAAAATGAGAAATGATATGATGTCGTGACCGGGATAGGATAAGGGTTGACATCAGCACGCCAGAAACGCTCTATTTCATCAATCAAGACCAACAACAATGAATGAAAAAAAAATGAAAATGAAAAAAATGAACATCAAAAAATGGGAGAGAGAGGAACGAGGGAAGGTTGGCAGTGCATGTCCTGAGACCGTTTGCATCACAGATAAATGTTCCAAGAAAAAAAAATTCCATCCAATCCAAACATCAATGATAAAAACAAGCCCCGGCCAACCAGACCATTTCATTTCGTTACATAAATAGGGTTCATCAGTTACCTCGGACAAGTATCCGAAATATCATCTCTCAGCAAGAACTCTGCAACGTCCTGTACGGTAAAAAGAAAAAAAAATTTGATTGCGTCACTTCTTCATCTCCGTTTAACTTCACACGCCCATCCTTCAATGCCCTCTCCTTTTGTGCCCGGTGGAATGCCGAGATCCACGGATTCCATGCCCGGCGTGCCCTTCAAAAACTCGTGCGATGCCATTCCACCCGCATTGGCACGGTTCTCTGGAAGGAGTTCCAGCATAGGTAGCAGGAAATCGCTGATTTGTTTGCTTTCTTCTGCCGAGAAGTGGTACTTTTCTCGTAGGACGTCCGGGAGCGCCCAATGCCGCAGACGGTGGATATTGCGCAGTTCGCCCTTGCGATTGAAGATCTCCTGCGACCATTTCCCGGAGATCCAGAGCGACTTGGGGAAGGAGCCGAGCAATTCAATAATCTGGGCGATGTGGTCGTCGTCTTTACCGTACTTGGTACCAGATTGCGGGTCAAAGAGATAATCACCCGTGATGAGTTCGAAAATCTAGCCCAAGTCAGCATGCCGAAACAAGAGGTGTTTTGACTGCATTTTCGCAACATACCATACAAGCCATACTCCAGACGTCCGTGCTGGCACCCCATTTTGCGCCCAAGATAACCTCGGGAGACCGGTACTGCCGGGTCTGGATGTCATTGGTGAAATGGTGGCCGACCCAGCAGGCGTTGCCCAGGTCGGCGATTTTAACGGATATAATATCGCCATGGTTTTCCATGGAGGATTTCTCGGAGGAGTTCTTGTCCAAGGAGATACCAGAGACTTCTCTTTCCAGCAGATCACTAACACGCAGCCTGTCAGTTTCTTTGCCTAAAGAAAACAGTACGAAGTGCGTCCTTACGTGGTCTTCTCCCGCTGTTTCTGCTTCTCATCTTCCGGAATCGTTTCCTTAGACAACCCTGATTAAAGTTAGCATCTCAACCGATATGGTCCTCCAAAACAAAATTACTTACCAGATGCCTCATTGACCATCTGATTGAGGCTGTTGTGAGAACTACCCTGCTTGTGATGGTCCAGGTGGCCGAAGCTGGCATTGAGAGGACTGGGTAACGGCTGGCTGCCGGTGATCAGAGTCCTCCTCCGTCGGCGGCCATTACGGTTGTCCTCTTTCTCCACTTTTGGTTCTTCTTTGACATACGTCTTGACGATCTGCTCGACGTCGCCCACCTCGATCAAGACGTTCTCTGGTTTCAGGTCGGTGTGGATGATACCACATTCCCGATGCAGGTAGTCCAACCCGAGCAACACCTGCTTGGTGATCTGCTTGACCAGCGGCATCGGAATGCCGCGGTGGTTCCAGCGCTTGATCAGACCCAACAGATTCTCACCCAAGACCTCGAAGACCATACAGACGTGGACGCCGTTGGGCCCCTTGTGCTCAAATGAATCCAGCAAACTGACGACATGCTTGCGCCCGGGATGGGACGGGTTGGCTTGGACAATCCTGTTCAGCAGCTTGATTTCGTCGATGGCGGTTTCCGTATAGTGGGCAGCCGATCGCACGACCTTCAGAGCCACATGCTTGCCAGTCGTGGTATCGCGCGACAACCAGACGGTCGAGAAATGGCCCCATCCGAGCTTGCGCACGACGACGTAGCGTCCGTTGTTGTAGGTCTCGCCGACGTGGACGGGGTGGTAGCCACCCTTGCAGTAGTCCTCGGAGTCCTCTTCGTCGGCGGTCGTCTCGGGCTCGTCAGCTGACGACGACGATGGCGAACGGGAGAGGGGGATGCCGTAAGAGGCTTTCTGGTGAGACGGGGGAGATGCGAGAGGAACGCTATACAGCAGAAAGGATCAGAAGGTTAGTCCTCCGTCGTTCTCTCGCGGAAAGGGTTTGTTTATGCGTAGAGGGAAATCACGTACCCCTGGCTGGGAACAGTCCCGGTGCTCGAGTCCGCCAGCGACGGCGTCTCGTTGGTAACAATGGGCTTGAGATCGGTGCCCTTCCTCCTCTTCTTGCCGCCGTTGCCGTTGGCGGCGGCGGAAGCGACGCTGGCCATCTGTTTTCCCTTGTTAATCACAGCCTTCTTGAAGTCTCCTCCATTCATCATCCTGAGGCCGCAGGCCCACTCTGAGTAGCAGCCGAACGACGCTACCAGCGAGGGTGGAAGGGGTCGTTGAGTCGAGATGGGCGGATGGAGGACTACGGCGGGAGTGTGGACGACAAGCTTTGGAGGGGTTTATTAGCACCTACTTCGTATGCGGCGCGACGGTCGGCTGGAGGCCGCCTGACCGGGAGAAACAAAGAGACGAGACGGGCAGGGAGAAGACAATGAGGCTGTCTGCGAACAGCACGAGAGCGAGAGAGGGCCTTTGGACGGGGGAAGAGGGTGAGACGTCGGGCGTCTAAGAGCTGGCGCCTTCTGCTGTTGCGTGGGCGGGCGATGGCGGCCGTGATTGGAGGCTGATGGGCGAGGAATGTCCGCGTCCAGCACAGCACCGGATGAGGAGCCACCACGAGCCCAAGCGGCCACCACAGTCCGATGAGACAAGACAGTCCACGCCCGGCGCGATGCTGGCAGCGACGAAATGGATCACAGACAGCGCTGTGTTTCGACGTGCCGGCCGGCAGAAGAAGAAAACGAGTGGGGGGCGGCGGAGACGGCCGGAGAGGAAGGACGAAATGACGACAAAGGATGCAATTCTGCCAGCGCCTGTCCCAAGGTTGGCCCAGCCAGCCAAGTGATGACGACGAGAGTCGGTCCCGATCTGAGGTCAGATCGCGATTAGCCAGACTGTAACTGGATACTATACACTAATCTACTAATCCTATTTCATATGTACTCGTACCGAGGTAGCGTTTAATTTATGTCTCAGTACATCTGAGTCGTGCTGTTTACTGTATCTGACGTGGTCCCTCTTCTACACTAATACAGAGTATGGTAGACTATCGATAAAGAGCCGAAGAGATGCCTTAGCACTGGACGATGTGGCGATCTTCGTGACGGGCCGAGACAGTCGAGTGGCAGTTGAGGCCGGAGTAGTTTATCTACCGCCACGGTTCTGCAGGATGTGCCCGTACGTCAATAGCAATAAATCAGTTGTTACTCAGAAAATCGTTTCGAAAAGAATGATTTACTAGTCCTGCTGGTAGTCCAGTTTAGAAAAAATAAAAAAAATAGTTGTGATACCAGGAACTCCGTTTGTGTCGGCGCTGCCAGGCAGAGCCTAGACTCCCCTCATTATTTGGTGGCCTCTGGCTTCCCAACACCGCCATGACAAACACAACCAGCACACCGCTCAAACGGCATCACCGTAACAACAAGAGTCCACCTTCCTTCTTGCTCACTGCCCCTGCAGACCACCCTGCAGGCACTCTGCGATCGCCTTGTGAGTTGCTTCTTATCTACCACTCCCCGCATCGCATCCGGAGCTCTGACCATCCGCCTAAGCCAGGCAGGCGTTTATCTCGATCTAGCTTTGATTGACCACCAGCCAATGGCCTGAAAAAAAAAATAAAGAAGAAGGGAAAAGACGATGCCGTCCCCTTTCCAGGAACGACCCGTGCTGGACCGCCTGCTGGCCTCGCCGCTGGCCTTCTTCCTCCACCCGATCCATATCCTCCTGCTGCGGCTACGCGGGCCTCCTCACCTCCCTCCACCACAGGGCCGGCCCATCCGCGTCGTTTGCATCTCCGACACGCACACGCGCGAGTGGCCTGACGTCCCGGACGGCGACCTGCTCATCCACGCCGGCGATCTCTGCAACGATGGCAGCGTGCGCGAGATCCAGGCCACCGTCGACTGGCTCAAGAGGCTGCCGCATCCGCACAAGGTCGTGATTGCGGGCAATCATGACAGCTACTTTGACGTGCGATCGCGTCGGGAGGAGGATCGCGACAAGTCGCTGGCGACCGTGTCTGCCTCGACCGCCTCCATCAGCTCCATCGACGACCCGGACAGCCACCGCATCGACTGGGGAGAGAACATCCACTACCTGCAGCACTCGTCCGTGACGTTATCTTTCCCGGGGACCTCACCAGGGCAGCACGGCCGCACCCTCAACATCTACGGTGCCCCTCAGATTCCTGCCACGGTGCCTTTTGGTCCCGAACACGCCTTCACCTATTCGCCGCACCACGATGCCTGGACAGGCACGATCCCCATGGAGACGGACATTCTGGTCACACACGCACCGCCGAAAGGCCACCTGGACCTGGGTCCTAGCTTCAGCATTGGGTGCCCGTATCTTCTATCAGAAGTGTGGCGAGTACGGCCGATCCTCCACGTCTTCGGACACGTGCACTGCGGATACGGATCGGAGCCAGTCTTCTGGGACGAGGCGCAGCGAGCGTGGGAGCGACTGTGCTCGCGATCGCGGCAGACCCGCCTGGGCTTCCTGTACGATGCGTTCAGCGTCCGGAGCTGGATCGACGCCGTCAAAGTGGTCGTCTACGGGGTCATCGGGGTCATCTGGTCGCGGATCTGGGGCGGCGAGAATCGCGGATGTGGCTGGGCCGTGAACGCGGCCTGCATGTACAAAAATTCGGGGCGGTTGGGGAATCCTCCCCAGGTGTTTGTTTTGTAGTCGTTCTTTCCCTCCATTGTCAGAGGGAGGGAAAGAGATTTTGCTCAGATAGCTCTGGACATATATACCAAACAAAGTGGAGGAAACACGAAGGAGAAGAGATGGGAGGGGAAGCAGAAATAATAAGAGGAACTGATATAGCTAGCTTTATGTGATTATGATCATGATGACATCCTCCTACAATAAACAGCTTCTGGACCAAGCAAGCATGTAGTATCTATACAGCGATAGACAGGCAGACATCTTGATTTCGCATACGAATGTATCTATCTATGTACGTACATGCAAGACAAGACAAAATAAAATAAATAGACAGAGAAACGTGGAAACGGACATTCATGGATCATGATGCAGCGAGGCAGATTTGGTGTTTTACACAGGCTTTTTTCTCTTCAGTCTATCAACGAAGGGTATAGCATGGAGCATGATGAAGGACAGAGGTAAAGAAAGGATTCTTAGAAGAAGAACTCTACAGCTTGGGCTTCTTGCTGAACTGCGGCGACTTCAACGAGTCGTACACGTTCACGCTCAGCGTGTCCTGCGGGACAACGGCGTGGTGGCCCGACTGCAACCCGCGCAGGTCGAGCAGGCTCGGGTTGAGGTCCTCGATCTTGGACGCGCCGATCAGGCGCATGTTCATCTCCATCTCGTCCTTGAGCAGTTGCATGGCGCGGTCGACGCCGTCCAGGCCGTACGACGACATGGCGTACAGGAACGGCCGGCCGATTCCCACGCCCTTGGCGCCTAGGCAGAGAGCCTTGATAATGTCGGTTGCGCGCCGGACTCCGCCGTCGATGAAGATCTCGATCTTGTTCTCCAGGCCACGTTCGCGCAGGACGGGCATCACCTCGGCCAGAATCTCAATCCCGGAGCGCGCAAAGTCGAGCTGTCGACCGCCGTGGTTCGACAAGACAACGCCCTGGACGCCGACCTCGATGGCGCGCAACACGTCCTCGACGCACTGCACCCCCTTCAGCACAATGGGCATCTTGGTGATCGACTGGAACCACGGGATGTCCTTCCACGACAGGCTGGGGTCGATGAACGACGAAATGGCGCGAGCAGCGCCCTGCGACCGGTCGACTTTCTCCCCGCCGGTTTCCTGCACGTTCGACCCGGCTTCCGAGAACTTGGACCGCATGTCCTTCTCACGGCGACCCAGCTGCGGCGCGTCCACGGTGATAAAAAGCCCCTTGCACCCGCGCTTCTCCGCGTGCTGGACGATGCGTTTCGTGATCTCGCGATCCCGGTTGACGTACAGCTGCAGCCACTGCACCTGGTCGCCCTGACGCGCGTCGACGATCTCGTCAAACGAGCAGGATGCCAGCGTCGGGATCATCTGGATGACGTTGTGTTTGTAGGCGGCCTTGGTCAGCACGACCTCGCCCTCCGGGTGCCCCAGTTTACCCAGAGCGGTGGCCGTCACATAGAACGGAATCGAGACCTTGGTTCCCAGCATCGTGGTGGAGAAGTCGACCTTCTCGACATCGACGAGGATCCGAGGCCGGAACCAGATCTTGTGGAAGGCCGAATGGTTCTCTCGCATGGTCTGCAGAAACACCCCTCGAGTCAGCACCGATTCAATACGAGTCACACCAGATATTATTATTGCGTACAATCTCATCGTCTGCACCACTGGAGTAGTAGGCCCAGGCCGTCGGCTTCATGACATAGCGGGCCACAGCCTCAAAGTCGAGCAGGTTGTAGCACTGGGAAAGCGGAGGCATCCGCTTGATGCGCTCCTGGCGTTCAACCTCGGCAGGGTCCTGCTCTTTCACCTCCTGCACGACAGTATCCATGTCGACTTCGCCGAGATGCTTCGACGGGTGCAGATACTTGTCGAGAGTGTCCGGAGGGTGGATGGGGTCGAATTCCTCCGTCGCATCTTTGCCGGCATACTTGAGGATAATTTTCTGGCCACCGGGGTGTTCTTCTCACGGTCAGCATCTGATCCTCTCCTGCTGTTCTCTCGATCATGCTCGCCTACCTGGCAGAAATTCAGTCACGTCGTAGGCCTTTCCATGGACAATTACCCAGCACGAGTCCTTGGTATTGTGCTTGGCGACTTCATGGCCGGAGAGCTTCTTCGCCATGGTGGATAAAAATTAAAAGAGACAGAAGAATGGACAGCAGAGAAGGCGGATTCGAGACGGAGCGGGGTGGTGTTGGACAATTGTCCACGGTGAAGTAGAAGAGGCAGAGGAAGCCTTGTCTTCAGGTCAGGGCAGAAACTGATTTTCCTCCAGGGGAAAGGCCATTAAATCAGCAAATCCCCAGAGCATTCTCCAGGCGCCTTTCTATACTGGCGGACTGCGATGGGGAACGTTCTTCGGGATAAAAGACGGCGAGCGAATGACAGCGATACGGCTGCCGGGCGTGGAGAAGCCGAGGGCGCGCTGGCGAATGGCGGCGCGGCGAATGCAGCTTTGCACACGCTTTTCCCACTCTTCCGGGTTGGCTCCGTATGCGGGGAGCCTCGGGGAGGACACTCTCGGCCGACTGATTAATGCTCTCGAAGCTCACAGAGATCTGCGCCCCGGCTGAACGGACAGATAAGCTGTTGAAGTCCCCAGCTAGGAGAGTATTACTACGTATTAGGGATCTATGATGGTTGTCCATATGACGAGTTTGCCCATGAAACGACCCGTTTTTATATCTGGTCGCCGTCTGCTGATCTCGTCAGTGACGTCTTCTCCGTGATGCTGTGCTGTTGGCAATTTAATAGTAGTGTGGAGGCGTGATGATGAACTGCAGCCCCTCAATCAGCTGGCGTGCCTGCTCGCCAATCGGGCCGTCCCCCACCACGAGGCCGCCGATTCTGTCTAGAAGCAAGTAAGAACGAGATCGAGCGACCAGGGCAAGCCGAAACTGAGAGCGATCAGATATGATTCACAATAGGCAGCAGATGCTTCAGACAGCCTGCAGGAATTGTCAGCGAGAATAGTCAGCAACGGGCCAGCTGATCCTGGCGATGGCAGCAGCGTGACTCTTTGCCCGGGTACAAGATGACCTCGTCCCGCCGTGCCGCACCGACCCTTCCGCATGCTCAGCCTCTCCATTGAGACTCGCAGCAGCCTCGGACAAGGACGGGCATTCACAGAGACCTCTCTTTCTTTTGCTCTATTTCCACTCGTTTTGCGCTTGTTGGTCTTGTTTTTTTTTTTCGTATATACTTCTCTTGCTGGATTATGCTGATCCAGCCTGCTTGCTTGCTCACGGTCGCGCCTCTCCTCGCGATTCGGTAGCCTCCGCAATGAGCTCCTCTCTCGAGGCCAAAATCGTCGTGCTAGGCGCCCAAGGTTTGTCAACATTATTTTTTACTATCTGCCGTTCCTTTTGCTAAATATCTTATCTGTCCAGGTGTCGGCAAGACCTCGCTTGTGAATCGCTACGTTAAGAACACCTTCGATCCGGCCAACACCACCTCGACCGTCGGTGCGTCGTTTGTCACCAAACGCGTCCTCGACAGTACCTCAGATACCATCGTGCGCCTTCAAATCTGGGACACGGCCGGCCAGGAACGCTTCCGCAGCATCTCGCGTCTCTACTACCGTGGCGCCAATGCCTGCCTGCTCTGCTACGACATTACGGACGAGAATAGCTTCCGAGAAATGACGGGCTGGTTGCAGGAGCTGAAGAAGAATCTGGGAGATGACAACCCCATCGTCATCCACGTAGTGGGCACTAAATCGGACATCGTCGCCCTCGATCCGTCTCGTCGCAAGGTGCCCTTCGAGCGCACCATCGCCTACGTCGCCGAACAGCTCTATCCGTCTCAGGCGTCGACTCCGCCACCCACCGCCGGATATGGCAACATAACAACCTCCAGTAGCCTCCACAGCCCGGACAGCAAGCGCAGCAGTGGTTTCTGGGGCCAGGATATCGGCTGGGACTGTTGCCACGAGATCAGTGCCAAGGATGGCGAAGGCGTCGAGGAAGTATTCCGCGTCATCGCCCGCAAGTTGGTTGAGCAGCGAAACAAGCAGCTGGGTGAATCGAGCTCTTCTTTGGGGGGCGCAGCCAACGGAGACGGTCGTAATGCCTCTCATGACCAGGCCGGTATCGACGGTAATGGGAGCCTTCGACTAGGTGGTGCTGACAAGCGACGAAGCTGGTTGGGCTTTCCACCTGGGCTGACGAGCGAAGAGATTCAGTCTCCGACGCAGGCGGCCAAACAGAAAAGCTCATGTTGCTGACATAGGCTCTTTCCAAGACATCATGATCTTGTTTTTTTTCTATGCTTTCTTTCTACCGATCACGATGCGAATTACGGCTACTCTCATCCAGGCATTTTGTGGGCATTCGGGCATTTGTTTGTTTTGTCTTTGGTGGATAATCTTGGATTCAGCGGGTCAGCGAGATATTGTTTCAGCAAGGCGGTTTCATGATATGGTTTGTTTCATGTGCGTGTGCTTCGTTACGATGTCTATTGGGATCTTATGACTTCTTTTCTCATGCGATTACGATTGGAGCTGCTGGACATGCTCGACGGCGTTGGGAATTGTGATGATCTCTGCATTTCTTTTTATTGGGTCTCTCATATCATAGGCGGAATGGTATGTTTTTGAAGTTTCCCGGTAAAATGAAGCTATCTATTTTCGTAGTATATTTCTGTCATCTGTAGGAATGTGAACATTTATGCACGTGACCCTAACAACGAGGACTTCCCGTGCTTTCTCATTTCTCTAATCCCCAGTCACTTGCCTATGCTTCTATCAAGTCTACTAACCAGTTCATCTATCTCAATTTTTCATCGGTACAAAGTAATGAAACTGATATCAGGGTCCGGAACTCAGTCCGTGCCGAGAAGACGCAGCCGAAACTATCTCACGAGTCGCGATGATAGATAGCGCCTGGCTTACTCCGTAGGCGTTCTATGGCGTAATTATCTGCAGGCTGCAAGTCCAACCAAACCACAAATGCCCTTCCACGGAACATCCAGCCAGTGCGCACTGTCCTCTTCTCTTCTCTATCGCAGTGGGTGCCCTTGTTGGTAATAGCGAGTCCCCACGACGGGAGTCATGGCCCATGTCCAGAATCATATAGGGCTAACTTTAACCCGTACAGAGAGGACTCAAAGCTCCGATCACGCCCGTGGGGCACGCTCTGTCAAGGCCAGCATTATTAGCAGCATTACTCCGGAGTATATTTCAATGTGGCTTAGATGGCCCAATCGTGTCAACAGCGATATCGGGTCAGTTTACAGATTGATGTGAGGAAAGATTGGAATTTGCAAAAGTTCCTAAATTGGTATGTTTAGAAATTGTAATGCTATGACTGCTGTCGACTGTGAGAATCACGCTGCACTATCAATCTGAGGCTTCTATCCAACATTTCGAACACAGACACAATTGTCGCATTGATCTGTCCGCAAATTGCTGCGTCATGTCTGCCAGTTCCAGACCTGACCTTCGAGCTGATCTAGCAGGCATACAGTATATCGCCGTTTCTACTGGACACAAACGATAAAGTACGCGACTGCTAGGAATTATGTAACCTGCCCATGAACCCTGTACATGGGGCGCAGGACGCCCGATGGCGGGCATGTCGCCGTGTTGGTGCCCGGGAGGTGGCTTACAGGCCGATTTAATATCGAGAGGCTCATAGGCCGTGAGGCGCAAGCAGTCGACAGCTCATACCTTGGTTCCCTGTTGCCCAGCTTTAATATATACCATTACTATCCGTGAGACAGGCAGCAGCCTTGTTTCTTCCTTCTTTTTGGTTACTTAATAATATTCTTCAGATTTCTTGTTCTACGATTGTACATACAATCACGGCTTGTTTCCTTCCAGATTGAGTTAACGGACCTTTGCTCACTGCATTTTCAGCGCAGTGTACCTTTTACAATCTTTAGGCTGAGCAGCGCTCTCTTATCGCGCTCAGCCCTTCCGCTGGATCCAGTGTGGGTGACAATGACAGGCGTCGAGGTGTTAGCGGTCGTGTCGTGCGTGGCAGCGAGTATGTTTATTGAGCTCCATAAAACTACTTTTGAAAGGTCAGTGTTACAGATCTCTGGCTGATACATCACAGTTATTTCTGCCTACCATGATGGAAGCGAGCTGGTCAGCCGCATCAAGGCAAGGAGATTGGAAAGAAAGCAGGCTCTGGAGCATCGTCCAACACAGGATCTCGAAACCTCGCTCAGCCTCGGTCCGGTTATCGTAAAGGGTCAATACGACAACGATTATCGACGGTTTGGAGAGGTGAGTTGATACAAGAGGCATGTGCAGGAAAAATAACAGCTGACAGACCCTGTCCAGCGATACGCACAAGGTGACCAAATCGCCCGGGAGCAACTGAAAGACATTATCATCAACTTACAGATGGCGTTACTATCGAACCTGTCTGCGTCATTGACACACGATGTGGAACTTGACTTCGTTACCCTGCAGATTGCCTCGGACAACAGCCGGGTCGACGCCGTCATGGCATTATGCCAGCTGTATCAGAGGCTGGCTCAAGCGGAGCCGCTAAGAGGTCATCCTATCGTGCCAAATCTTCCTAGCGGAGGGGGGTCCTCGCCGCTTTCTCAAACTCCTCCAGATCATCATCTGTTCTCATATACCAGCACCTTCTCGTCAACGGGAAGTTTCGTCGGTCAGTCGTCGGCCTTGTCCACCAGCGCGCCTGCCCATCCGCACTTCAATCAATCTGAACAACACAATACAAACACGCAGGACGCAAGGCGGGCATCCGGGGGTTCGTCCCTGTCCCTGCCCACTCGAACACGGTCCCTCTTCAGCAACTGGCGGATCCGGACCCCACAGCGTCATAGTCATGGGGATCAATTCCACATCGCGCCTGTATCTGAGACGGAGGAGAAACCAGGCCGGATGCATAATGACATGTTAGAGGTTGGGATGTCGATGTTTCCGAACCCTCGGAGACGACCAATGTTGCCGGGTCGCAGTTCTCAGGGCGAATACTACTCTCCCGATGAGGTCAACCCATGGGCGCAGACAGGTTCCGAGGAGGATTCAGCATCGAGTATTGCCCCCGAACGATCCCACGATCCAGAAGCGATGGACGTCTTTGACCCGGACGTCTGGGGCAGTGTATATTCCGAACGAACGTCAGAAAGAAACATCCCTACACACGCCCGGACGGCCTCGTCAGTCATCTCAGGACATTCCAGCAATTCGTCCACAAGCGGCACCACGTTGCCCATTCCCATATCGAGCGGGACATCGATGAGTCTCTACCTTCCATGCGAAGAGAACAACTACGCGGGGTTTTGCAAGGGAGCATGGAAACTGCAGGTAGGGTTAAAGAAGAAAGCATTCTCAATCCGCATGCGCCCCGCAGGGATGTACAACGAGATCCCCTACTGGCGCTGCTCAAAATGCTGCTACGAAGGGCCCGTAAGGGGGCAATCGGCCCGGTCGACATGGAAATACGACAATCAAGTGCGCGTCCACGAGCCGACGGGCATCCGCTACCGCTGGGTGTTTCTGGCAAAGTCTCACTTCCACTGCAAGCGCGTGCCCGAGAGAACGGACGGTTCGGTGGGGACGTTTGGGTGTATCTTCTGCTGCGCTGAGCGCCGCGGCCCCGCACCGGCTTTTGGGAACTTGGCCAGTTTTATGGAGCATTTGCTGCAGCATCGGCAGATGTCGCCGGGGTTGGAGGCGCTGTTGGATCGCACGCGGTGTATTGTAGGGAGGGTGGCGGGCAATTCTGAGGATTTTGATATCAATTTGCCGGGATGATATTCATTTGTTTCTAATTTTACTTTTATGTTTGTTTATGGAGCAAACACCCAGGGTGTGATTGGTATGGCGATGGAGTTATAAGGAGGGTTAAGGAACAGTATAATTATAAGAAATTTTCACGAGCAATTTCACTCTCGATATACCCATATTGCGTAGATACATATAAATCTGAGGATTTGTCAGTAGCCTCTGCACGAGCATACTTCTAAAGTATGTGGCTCATCCACTCACAATCCTAGTGTCGATATTGATACGAAAACCTAGCTGCAGGGGGTATTAAACAGTACTCAAGTTATCTCCCTCGCTCGCGAGGTTAGGTTCCATCGGTGATTGATAGAGCAGAGCAAACCAGTCCAGACCAGTCTAGATCTGCTCGTCACTTCCTACAATATAATATTCGACTCTTATACGAACAGCCAAGAACACAAAAATATATTTTCGCAGGGAATCCACAACATCCATACACACTTCGTATTTAACTGGCTCGCAACTCTCTCAAGGTAAATAACTGTATGTCCAGTATAACTCCTGCCTTAATCTCTTTTCTAATAATTGCACCATTTACCCCATGTCAGATGGAATATTAGATAAATACAGTCAACTTACCAAGTTAGGTAATTCCGCCCGCCTACCCAGGTACCTACACAAAGTCACGTTCAGTAATGCATCCCAAGATAGATTAGATAGATAGAAACAAGTTGTTCCTGTATTCTAACAAGTTCAAAAGGTTGTTGTGTGGTCAGCTACAAGGGCGAAATATGTATGTATGTACGTATGTATATATGTACGTATGTATATACATCTCACTCAAGCTAGTTGAATAGAATAAATAGACCCAAGGAATTCCTGTCCCAGAATACATACATACATATATATATATATATGTATATGCCTATACAGCCTTTTGTTGACTTTACTTTTCAACAGGTTCCTGCTTGGCGAAATTTCTACTCCTCCAATGGTCGCGTACCCCCGGGCAACTTAACCTTGAACACAAAGGCCTGATTGTCCAGACTGTAAGTTACCTGACGCGTCCTTGTATCGGAAGCGGCCGAAGTTCTGATATCCTGTGTATGTACAGTACATACATCATGTCAGAGTGTTACTGATTCCAAGAATTGGGGATTGGGCTTACCTACCATCCTGGGTGCTAAAATCGTTATCACTGAACGAAGAAGGGGAAATACTCCCCCTACCCGCTGTCGTCACCTCCCTCAAGGTCAACATCAACAGGCAGCAAGCAAGGCGAGGCTCTCCCACTTCTCGTTCTGCTAGCAAGCCTGCGTCCTGCGCGCCGCCGTTGTGGCACCCCGAACCGGTTCAGCTGGCTGGCTGTTGACGTTGAAGTCGAGCCAGGGGCAGTACCGTGCCGGCTCCATGGATGCCCGCGTGCAGCGTGCCGGTCGTCGGTCGTCGCAATCGATCCGTTGAATGCGTCGTTGCCCATGGACTTCTTGACGTTCGTCGCGTCAGCGATGTCGAACGCAACACGTCTGCGTGGCAGTACAAGCTCTCTGAGTCGGTCTGGCCGTGGCCCGCGTTGGAGTCCCGCGCCAGCACGAGGAACTGCGTGTCGGAGACATAGTGGATCTCTGACTGAGCGGCGACTTTGTTGTCGTGTTGTTGTACAGCGGCAGGGGCACGACATATTCCGCTTTGTAAACCGGCTCGTGCTGGGAGACGTCGTATTCGACAAAGTGGGCGTATCGCCAGTGTTTGTTCTTCAGTCCTCCTTCCTGGTTTAGGGCTGATTGGATCAGGACGTAGAGCTTCTTGCCATCTGGGGAGATGGTTAAGCTTTCGAAGCCCTGTGATATTCCTAAGTGTCAGGTCATTTCTTTCTCAAATCCAGCGCCTGTAATTCAATAATTGAATCAAAGAATAATATAGGGAAAACGGCCTAAGTGAGGTATAATGGTACATACGATCGATTAACAGATTGATAATCATTATTATCAGATCATTAGCCAGACCAAGATCTCACGCCACGCCAGATGTACACACTACGAGGTTGCATCAACAGGCTTGATTGGCCCGCAAAAGGAGGCTAAGAAAATGACTTTTTTACCTTAAAAAGAACGAGATTGAGGAAGCCCGGAATTAGTTACGCCAAGCGTGGGTGCTAAAGTGCTGACTTCAGGACTGTCTACTGCAGAGTGGGAGAGGTTGGGATTAGACAACCTTGGAAGCTGAAGGAAGCTACCTAGCTATCGCATTAGTTCAGCCTGCTTACGGAGTGATATTCTGTCTAGAATCTAGATTATTCCTAGAGCCGAGCTTGCCGAAGTCAAGAACTGCCCATGCGAGTAATCACCTCTACTATAAAGAATATTGTTGATTTCCGTTTCTTGCATACTGCCACGTGCTTCTGTAAATAATATTAGATATGGCAAGAATTTAGCAAGGGATATAAAAGCACGCCTGGGAGGTGGATGATAATGATAAAGACTATATTATAGAGTAGGTGGGCCTGAGAAGCCAAAAAGATCAAAAAGCTCTTGCCATATACCTGATATTTTTTTTCCCCTTCAAACCACTTGAGTGTAGCGAGAAATGTACTCCGTAAGGCTTGTTGATAATCATTACCTTTGCTTTGCATGCAGAGCGAAAGCGCTCTCTTGACTGGTCTCTCCGCACATCAACGTAAACTTGATGAGCACGAATAGACAAATCATAGATCAAGATTCTGCGATTTCAATCGAGCTATTTACATGTACTGTACTTGCAGAAATATGATTCTATTATACACCCGAGAAGAGAAAAATCAAAATTAAAAAATTGCTAAGGAAAACATAATCAAGCCAAAATAACCCAAATCCCACCCATACAAACCCACAAACAAAGTGAAACAACCAGATGCCCATGTATGCGCCAGAGAATAACCGGCAGAAACACCAGAGGAAAAAAAAAGCACGTCACTAGTACACTAGCAGTCCAATCCAATGCAAAACGCTATCGATGGGATAATAAGCGTCGACAAGACGAAAGAAACCATATGATAGAAGAGAGTGTACGTGCAGAATTACTCTGCTAAAACAGTTTTCGATCTCTCTTCGAAGGACTGGGAGTACGCATGTGCTGCTCGCGCTCGCGACTCCTCTCCGTGACAAACTCCATCGACCGAGAGGGCGTGTCTTCAAGCATCAGAGGCTCATCCTTCTTCTGCTCGAAACTGGGCTTGCGCACAGGACTTCCCTCCCGGTTTGCTGTCTTGCCAGGATCGAGACTAAGATTATTGCTAGCATTAGGATATTGTAAAGGCTGGAGTTGCGCCGGTTGATGGGGCTGATGAGATGGTTGCGGTACAGAATGCGGATGCATGTACTCTTGCTGATGGAGACGGTTGCGAAAGGAGCGGAATGACCAGTTGCTCACCACGGTGACCGTCGAAATGGTTGCCAGAAAGCAAAGCTATTGCACAGTTAGCACAAAACTACCACATGAGTCAAAAAGAACATACGATTGCCTTCCAACTGATGGGATCGATGAAGCTGTTGATGATCAGGGCCATAGTGTGCGCCGACACCTTTGCACGTCCAACCTTGGCCGGGTCCCGATTCATGCACCGTTCCCAATTCTCGCACACCGTCTCCAGAGCAGGAAGCCTCTCCCCACTACCGCACTTGTTATCGACATAGTTCTTCGCGCACACCGCCATCTCCGCCAAGATTCCATCAGAAACTTCTGCTGCTGCTTGATCGAACTCGGCTCGGATGGCGGAGACGAAGGAAAAGACGACGTAGACGGTCAATGAGAAGAGCGAGAGATTCACAACCAGCTGTGCCCACCACGACAAAATGGCAGGCACATTCGGATGTGCCTCGAGTAGAGCAAAGAACTCCGAAAACGAGGAGTAACGGGAGGAGGGTGGCTGCTGCAACTGCTGTTGTTGCTGCTGCTTCTCCTTCGCTGCTTTTCCCTCACTACTGCTGGGCCGTTCACTGTCATCGTCGCTGTCTCTTCGAAGTCGCCGATCCAACTCCCGTTCACGCCGCCGCCTCTTCTGCACCCGCCGTGCCAGCGCATTGGAGTAGTTGTTCAGACGGGGAATCTCTCCTCGTCCAGGACTGGGAGCAAATCGTCCATACAACCCAAACAGCGAGTTGCGCTTTTCTTTCTTCGGGGTCGGCTCAGGAGTCTCGTCATTATCAGCGTTTTCGGGGGACGAGGCATTCTCCGCACCGGAGGAGAAGTCGAGATCGAATTTGCGAGGGGTGGTGAAGGCAGGCTTGCCGAAGATGGCATCAGGACGAGTCGGGGATGACTGGGGAGGCGGTTGAGAGAAGAGAAAAGTCTGCGAGTTAGGCTCTCTGAGAGAAGGCAGAGGTTTCTTCGTGGGCGAATCGAAGACGCTGTGCGGACCTGGACCTGCTGGTCAACAAGGGGAAAGGAATCGAGCGGGCGTAATCCTTACGCTTCTTCTCATTCTCATGCTGCATGCTGAGCTGGTAGAAGGGTGACGTGACATCGCCTGGAGCGCGAGTCTGCCACTCAAAGTCCATTGGACTCTCCGTTGATCGTTTCTCCATTGTGCTGGGTGGCAGGGGAGGATGCTGCTGGCCAGGCGGAGAGAGATGGGCGGAGTTGCGATGAAATTAATTTGATTTGTTTTGGGGGTTGTAAACAATGCAATCGCCCGCCAAGCCTGCGATCCCCGGCGACTAAGCGGTTATTCCGGCCATGTCAACTCAAGCCTCAGCCCTACGGAGTATGGCCGTGTCCTTGTTTACCTACTCTTAATGTGATTTCTATTTTTATTCTTTCTGCAACTACTCCGTACAAACTTTGGAATCTATTGTTGTGAGACTGCCTTTTGGTAGGAATCTGGTGGACTCGTTGTGCAGTACACATAGGTCCGTCGTGTTTACTTCGTATTTTCAAAGCGAGATTCTCCGCAAAACAAGCGAAAATAATAGTCAAGAGGAACACCATGGGAGTAGGAACAATGTAACACAACAATAAAAAAAAGTCCTGCCTAGTGGGCTGAAAAAAAGCCCAATTCACTGAGAAGCTGTACAGAAACAATACAGACAGGCAAACCACTCAGAAGTAGGTCTTTCCTTATCATTAGACCATTATCTTTCAATTTGTACAGTACATACAATGGACAGGAAATAAATACCAATTCAAATAGAGACCAATCCACGATACTATTTTCAGCAAGACTTGCAGAATCTGGGGATTCCCCGTCTGATAATTGCGGGTTTTGTGGGCTGGAAATGCTTAGCGGCTGCAGGGTGCAGCGCTAGAGCCGAGTCCGTCGATCTCAGCACTGAAGACCCAGTCCATCTTAGACCTTGCATCTATATTTACCATCGCGAATTCTTTTAAAATGTGGTAGAAGTGGTAGTGGAAAAATCCATTAGATTGTGTAATGTATGCCTCTCTGATGGAAACAATTACTAACTGCTGGCAGGCTGCAGACACAAGCACATATCCAACCCAAAACGAATCCCAACCAACCGATTCCAATGCCCATCCGATATATTACAGGCTCAAGTCCTCAAAGAGCGCCGCTCCTCTCCTGATGCCCAGTGTATCCAGTTGAAAAAAAAAAAGGTCGCTTTCGCGTAATGGTATCATGATGCTCCCGTGTCAACGTATGGCAAAGAACGACACGCCAAAAATGAGAAAAATAAAAGAACGGGTCGATGTCAGCTGCTAGATCTCAGCGTGGTCGACCAGCTCAAAGTCGTCCACGTCGGCAACGTAGCCATTTCCAGGCCCGTCGTCCTTGGACACAAACTCGTATTCCTTGACCAGCTTCTCGGTCACCTTGGTCTCATACTTCTCTACCGCCCTGGAGACAGCCGCGGAGAAAATACTGTTTCCAGATGCGTCATAGGAGTTCAGCGGGTCGTCATCCTCCATCTCCATCACGGCATCTGTTGCGGTGCTCTCGTGGACGGCCTCATCGGCGGACGAGTCGGATGTTCCGCTGCTGAGGGCCTCTTTCACATCGCAACGAAGGCTGAAGCGGGCAGACCGGGCGGCTTCGTTGATGTTCGGCTCCTCCAACCGCTTGCAGGCGCGTTGCCACCTGATGGTGTGTGAGTTGAGTTGGGAGAGTGAGGTGGAGATGAGCCCAGACTTACGCCTTGTAGTGGGTGAAGGGGACCTGCGGACGAGACAAATCGGTATCATACTCGCTCTGATATCGAATTGCCTTCCGGCTGCGAGCACCATATGCCCACTTGGCCTTGTGGTCGTGGTCACGCTTGGCCTCAGTGCCTGACCGACGCAGGTCCGCCATGGTTTCTATGGCAGATGCAACGTGTAGATCGGATCGTTTTCGAATAGTATGCACCTGATAACCAGAGGAGAGCAGATAGAGGGACACCTGGGAAGTATGGTATGTACGTAATAACTAGACCCCAGTTTCAAGCCCAGTTAATAAAGGGGTTGTTGACTCGTGACCGAGTCACCAACGACCTCGGGAGCGCGGGTACCCGGAACGCGTTGTTGGAGCTGGAGCTGATAGCTGATAACGGCAACAGCGTCACAGCCAGACGGGGCAGCAGGAGGGATCTGGAAGCACTGACTCAGAGGGGGGTGTCGAGATCGACCCTCACCAACTCACAGAAGAGAAGAAAGGCAAACATGAGGGCCTGGCCGACTCATGTTATATCTTGTCGACCGGGTGGTTTCGGGAGGGCAGATGAACAACGGCACAGGCGGGCCCTGCGCGTCACAGTTTGGTAGAGGACAGGGGAGAAGCTCGAGCTGCCCTGTCACAGCCCTTGACGCCATCCATGGGACGGTGGCCACGGCGGGACGGGGCCATTAGCAGCCCCGGGGCGTGTTGGAGCTTCGGGTCCCATCTCGGTCGCTCTATCGCTGTGCGTCTTATCGCGGACCTTACTAGGTATGTCTTCCCCCGGGTGAGGCGGCCATTCCCACGGTTACCCGGGAGGGAAGGGATAAACAGAGCTGTTTCCAGACAAACCTCTTCCCGTGATTTCGTCAGACCAGTCAGGTCATCTTTACCTAGGTAGATCCTAGCCGCTGGACGCTGCTCGTGCTCGCAGCTGCAGGTGATGCGATTGAGTCAACAGGGACCTTCTACTAGGCAATCAACTGCCCAGGGGGCTATGATGCGATTATGCGGGGCGCCGGCGCTAACCCAAAGGTCCCTCGAAGCTCCAAAGTACTGGCCATGTGCCAACAACAGATCCTGTCTGAGTCTTGGAGCCTTTGATGTTCCTCTATTACTATGCCGTTACCATTATCGTTGCTAGGAGGAATCTCTCGAGCTGGAGGTCTAGGGTTGTTCTAATTTAGGATGGACAGAGGACCCACAGCCCTCCCCAAGTGGTCATCGCCAATGCGCGTCAGCTGATTCGATCGCCAACATCACCGGCGTCACGGGACAGGACGCCTCGACTTCTGGTTAGCCGCCGCATGCGTCACTGCTGTCGACCAGAATGACGTACAGCATGTGAGTGAGAGTGACTTAGTTTCGACTCATTCTGTGTCATCTGGGGTTTACGGAGTATGAGCGGCACGGTTACCTAGTGTCTGCAAGTTACCTTATTCAGATTAGGACATGTAGGCTGACCATGTACCTGGGCTTCGAGTACGCCTGCCCGTGTTTCCGTATAATGGATCCGGAAAGAAATCTTCGGTTTTCTGAGTATTTTATTTTCTCGAACACTCTACCGTCGAGGGAAGTCTTATCATAGCTTGCCTATGATCTGACTCCACCGTAGTTTCGACCTTTTGACTCAATGCTGATAAGGTACCGGAGCCGATGTCTATAAGCGAACTTGTCTCTAGACTTGCTGCTATATAGTATGTTAGGTAGATTACCGGAGAGATATAATAGTCTAGACATTCGCGCAAGGCTGTAATTGGCGCTGCAGTGCTCCCGCGTGCTCCGTACAGATAGCATAGGTAGGTCGCTTTCCCCGCATCCACTGGGCGCGAACTCTGGAAGAAGCGTACATAGAGCTAGTTCACAGCCATATTCCATCCTGTAACAAGACAGGTTATCTTCCTCGGTCGATCAGACGGTGTTCTCAACCCTTCAGGAGTGCGTTTTGGATCTGCGGAAATATACAGCGTCATTGAGACCAACTTCAACAACGAAGTGGCAGATTCTCTGTGCAGTAGTCAACGACGGCCTCAGGATACTGATGAAAACTGTCATGCTCTTCCTATTGATGCGGCCCGAAGTTCCCTCCACCCAGAAATTGGTAACGGAGATCAGGCAAGTTATTCGAGAAAGACGAAGTACACGACACGTGCCGAAATATATATTTGAGACCCACGGGATTCTAGTATGATCTACCGTTGATGTTTTGTGAGTTCTCCAACCATAAGCCTGTAGACGACGGTTAATCTCAAGGTCGAGTTGCCTGTCAAGGAAATTGTTTCCGGAAAGGTGATCAAGCCAACCGGTACTCACCTGAATCTTCAGTGTCTAGATTTTTACCATCAGTTTGCAGAAGTCGAGAAGTTGGTCGAGCCTCAGAGAAATAGTAGAGCCAAACGATGGAATTGGTTCTGGTTGGAAGAAAAGAGAGGCATCCTATAAAAAGACAGCAAGTGGAACTGGAATTTTATCCTGCGTCCGGGGAGGATCTTCTGGGAGAGTAGATTTGCATGACATGATTGGCGACGCCGCGGGTCGAGGATGGGTCGTCTCTACTGAATATGTATCCTGTCAGTCACACTGATAACGAAGGTAGCATGTCATAAGCCAGGATAGGGCCATCTTTGTTGACTTAGCTGTGTCCTCGCAAATACGGGACGATGAGGACGCATTGAATCTCGTTATGAATTGTTTCCTGTTCATCGCGATGGAGTTCTCATAATGATGTAATCCCAAAGCATCCTCTGAGTTCCTCGCTGACAGTACCCTGGAAAGGCCCAAGTTGAGGACATCTAGAGGGTTTGCCACGGAAGGAACCCTTTTCCATCCAGTGGTTCAAGTTTGATGTCTGGTTCAACCATGCACGGCCTGAAACGTGCAAATTGCCTGGCTAGGGCAGGAAATTTCCCCACATCTACCATATTCACTCCTCCGCGAGATCGTTATGATATCGGTGTAGTGGCTTGTAATTGCTGTTGCCCCTTTGCCATCCTACTTCAACTGACGTAGAACTCGCGGTATGTACGAGCCACACGTGGCTGCAGGCTCTGAGGATGTCTCTTACCATGTCAGCTGCCAGCAATGCAAAATCGACTGGTGTGGAATTCTTTGGGACAATTCCCAGGAGGCGATTCTTACGTCTGTTCTGACCAGTAACTAGCATACGGTCGTGTATTTAACTGCTGAGCGACTGCAGCCGAGGCCTGATTCCGCTTCAGTTGCACCGCACATATCTCGTCGAGATGCCTGTCGGCGAAGGAAATAAGCGCAATCTCATCGTTGTCTCAAACCGTCTGCCGCTCTCGGTCAAACGCGCCGAAGATGGATCGTACCAGTCAAGTTTGTCGAGTGGTGGGCTGGTCACCTCGTTGTCGGGCCTTACCAAAACAACCAGTTTCCGATGGTTTGGATGGCCGGGGCTCAACCCCAAGGAGCCAGCGGAAAAGGAAGAGGTCCGGAGGAGTCTGGAGGCCCATGATGCAATCCCAATCTTCCTCGATGAAGACCTTGCGCACGACCACTACAACGGCTTCTCAAGTAAGAATACAATTTGCCCAGTCTGAAACAATTGTAGTAAGAGCAGTTTACTCACTGGTTGACTGGCAGACTCCATCCTTTGGCCCATCTTGCACTATCAGTCAGGAGTAACGTTCAGCGATGGACCTTGGGCTGCCTACCGCCGTGTCAATGAAATATTCGCCGATGAGATTGCGGAAGCGGCTCAATACGGAGACCTCATCTGGGTGCACGATTATCACCTGATGCTCCTTCCGCAGCTGCTGCGTGAGCGCCTGGCGAAGAAAGGAAAAGCAGCAGCCATAGGGTTCTCATTGCACACGCCCTTTCCAGCTCCAGAGGCGTTTCGCGCGCTTCCTGTTTGCAAGGAGATTCTGGAAGGAATGCTCTCCAGTACTCTTGTCGGATTCCACACCGATAACTACCGAATCAACTTCATCGCGAGCAGCCAGCAGATATTGTGAGTTCTCAGAAGCACCCCCAGTATCACGAGACTTCTCTAATTGTCGGACAGAGGCGCGCAGCCCCAGGATAGCACGGTTCTATACAAAGATCGGCTGGTCAAGACGGATAAATTCGTGGTTGGAATCGATCCACAAAAGTTCGAAGATACGCTCAAAAAGACAGAGGTCCAAGAGCGAATCAAGGAATTGAGCGAGCGATACAAGGATGTCAAGGTCATCCTTGGCGTTGACAGGCTTGACTACATCAAAGGTCTTGTCCAGAAGCTCCACGGATTCGAGCAGTTTCTCAGCGACAATCCGGATTGGGTTGGGAAGGTTGTTCTCATTCAGGTTGCTGTTCCTAGCAGAGAGGATGTCAAAGAGTACCAAGAGCTGGAAACCGAAATAAGCTGTACCGTTGGCAAGATTAATGGCAAATTCAGTACGCTGAATCCACCACTGACCAACCTCATGTGAGTTCTCGCTAATCTCTACAGGCAAACCTGAGTCCACGCCCATCATATACCTCCATCGTTCCATCCCGTTTACCGAGCTGACAGCTTTGTATTCGATTGCCGATGTCTGTCTTCTGACCTCGACTCGAGATGGAATGAATCTCGTAGCCTTCGAGTACGTTGCCTGCCAGGCCGCGAAACACGGGGTTCTTGTGCTTTCGCAATTTACCGGTGCAGCATCGTTCATGGGACAGGGCAGCGTCAACTTTCATCCCGCCAATTTCAAGGAGATTTCCGCAGCTGTACGTAAGGGACTCACCATGTCAGAACAAGAGCGCAAGGAACGGTACGAAAAGCTCCGAGATTTTATAAATACGAACACGAGGTAAGAACCCTACCTTTTGCCAGGCTCACGACATCTCTCTGATATAATGATATAGTGCTCGATGGGGGTCGACATTTGTTGAAGAGCTCTCACGACGTTCAGCATAGACTGAAGTTCATGATTTGATTTCTGTAAATAGAATCTAGCAAGAATATGACGGTCGTATTGCAAAACTAGTCATACTCCATATCACTAAGAGATATAAGAAGCATATATAGCGCATATGGTTAGGAAGCCCACCCAGAGAGTAAATGATAAAAATTGCCTAATATGAGAAACATTGTCTGGTGCAGAGTACGAGCGTGAAGCCTGCCTGGGAAGTAGACTTGAAAGTAGGCAACTTTGATACGCGTACTCAAGTAACATTTCTTTTTCAAACAAGTCGGTCGAAGTGAGACCTGCAGCGCTTGCATTGTGTATTTTGTGGAGATATTCTATAGCTGAAGTCTATCTACATCAGGCAATATCATTTCTGACCTTCAGGGCCCATATATAAGATTCCTTTTGATAGACGAGATATCGTAGTCATTAATGAACTCGATTTCGAGGAGGCAAGGTCCCGTAAATCACCGATTCCTTTGAACGAGTCTGACTCTGGTTCTGCCCTGGTCAAAACAGGCAAACATGGGCGCGAGCCCACGCCTTGCCCTAAGCCGTCACGTCCTCGGGGGCCTCCCAGCAGCACATCCACGTACACAATCACGTCCCAGATCACCAAGACGCGTAGAAATCAACAGACAGACCCTTCCCAGCCTCCCAGATCACTTTCTTTCACTGATCTGGGTGATCTGGCCCTCAAATCGCACAAATCGAAGCCATTCGCTTAATTTTTAGCGTCATCTACAGAGATATAAATACCCCTTTTGTCACCTCTTCAATCGACTCCTTCTCTTGTCTTTCTTCTCTTCACTCACTGAACCTCAATCCACCTGACTTCAACTACCAGAAGTGACTTGACTCAACACATTCATCTTATTCAACCGTGATATACTTCTCCTCCCTCCTCTATGCACTCGTGAATGGACAGTAGCTACTACTGATCTTCTACTGGTTTGATTTAGGATCGAAAACACGTCTACTATCGTCCTCCGTCCTCCTCCCTCCTCTTCCTCCTCCTTCTCCTCCCTCCGAACGTCCTCCTCCTCCTACGAAGGAATCTCCTCCTTCCGCCGAACGAACTTCCACCTTCCTCCGAACGAACTCCGATTGAACAACAAATTGATAACATAACAACAACAATAACAATACAACAACTCTTTCCAAAACCTCCAGTCACCAGATTCAGGACCATGCCCACGAGGAACGCGTACACGAGTGGTGTCCGGACTGTACAGTTAACCCCCGCCCGGCAAGCTTCCACACCTCCGCCACCTGCGTGTTGGCTCAGGGGATGATGGAGCTGTAAGACGCGAAACATCCAGTGACGACGCCGTCTGAGGAGTTTAGCACCGGGTGACCAATGACGTCCTGGAGACGAGGTCCTTGAAGGGGGCCAAAGACTGGGTTATTCAATATGGTTCCTGTTTCTGCCTGGAGTTGGTATGCCTTTGTGTATGCCAGATGGCGGACGTGTAATTTACGCTGCCGGACACCTATCGTGACAAAAATTGGGGCCCCATGATCGCTGGCTGATGATGATCTAATGTGAGAGGACCCAACATTGCGCTTTAGCAATTTGGCAGCCCTCTGACTACCACACCTGGTCTGAGGTCAGCGTCTCATCCGTAATGATATTCTCTATCCTGTCCATCACGTATGTGCCTGTATCTAGTCAAGCAATTAAGAGTCCTTTAAGTAATATCCTTCTCCAATCTTGATACGATGAAGTAATACTTGTGGAGTAACGTGTTGTCAGAGTGTCTGATCTACTATATGTTTGTTGTCGAGTTACAGTTTGTGGATCCATCCCGTCACACTACCTCTTACCTAGGTAGGCAGTAACAGAACTTGTTGACGAAGGTCGGATCATCACACCCTTACTTGTCCGAGAATGAAAATATTAGCTTAATCCAAGTCGAATAACCGTCATGAAAATAATGGCAAACAGATAATATCGATCGACAATCTGCCAGGTATCCCAACACGATTCTGATTAGGGTTACCTAGGCTTTAGGGCCAGGGCTCCAAGCTCCATTCCAGGCTTCAGTTACCGCCTCGCCCACGATTCCTAAATTCTTGCAAAGAACTTATTTATGTGGAAAGCTGCTGGCCATTAGTGCAGAAACATCTTACGTCCAATCTCTTGCCAACATCTTATAGCGACTTCATGGATGTAAACTTTCCGCAAGGGGTGACCCTGAAGAGGAAGAAACAGGGTCAGGTGATAACGACAGCTTCGATGAATTTACGACTTGTGAGCATCGTGTAAGAAATTTACAACGATATTCTCAACGATTGGACGGCAGTAGATAATGGGCGACACCTATAGATGGTCAATAGCTTATCTAGGTAATGTCAGTGGTTTTAGAGAATAAAGAAATCTCTGTATTTTTATATAAATTTTAATAGGTGACTGGTTTTTCAAGATTTTACTTTATTGAGTCAGGCAGGCAATAGTATGCTTTTAGTAGGAGTACTACTTATATATATTCTACATACAAAAAATACGTTACGTTGTACTTTACTATCGTTTCCCCTTTGCGTCCAAAAAAAAAAGGTATTCCTCAGTAGATAGAACTGAGGTATTATTCGCAGAGACCATTCAAAAAAAAAAGAAAACAAGTAAATGTACGGCCTACGCAGCCAGTCTCTAATAATCTCCTCCGCGGCAAGGGCACGCCATCCACGCGGCGGATTGCGAAATCACACCAAGGGCGGAGCAGCCAAGATCCATTCGCCCCATGGGCAAATATGAGCGACTAGTGCGGCTAATCCAGAGACGAATTGGCCTCTCAGCATCTCGTTTCAGGACAAGAAAGTTTTTTCACTCTGATGTCTATATGCGGGTTTCAGAGTTGCTACCAAGGCGTAACTCCCGTCTAGACTCGTCCGTCCTGGCAGGCGGTCGCTCCACAAGGATTGCCATGATGATCACCTACACGATGTAGATGTACCCACTGCAGATGGCGCCATTTTCTCACTTGCTTGATTTGCGCTTGTCAGGAACAAGGGGAGTGGGGGTGTCGTATAAAAAAAAAAGTCTGGGGCTTTAAATTTACGTGTCAATGATCCATCAAACGTCCTGATGCAGGTCTCTGCATGGCTCTCTATAATAATTAATTTCAGTCTTGTTCTGTCTTATTCTAGACAGGGTTTGCCATGGCAGAGAATTATGGGAAGGACGCTCTTACGTTCGACACGTTTCCTTCCAACGATGGAGCTGATAGTCGAAATGGCGTCGAAGACGTGGAGCGCTCAACAAACCCGTATACGGCTCCTCTCCATAGGAAGCTCAAGGCAAGGCATTTACAGATGATCGCCATCGGTGGTAAGGTCTCTCTTCTGTCACTGCGTTGAGTTCAATCGCCTGATGGTCGCCTCCCAGGCATTATCGGACCCGGTTTGCTGGTCGGCTCTGGAAACGCTCTTCACGTGGCAGGACCAGCGGGTATTCTGATCAGCTTCTCTCTGGTTGGGATTATCGTCTTCTTCGTCATGTGCGAACCTCAATTCCATATCGTTCGAGACTTGCGCTCAACTTCGCTAGGCAATCGCTCGGCGAAATGGCCACCATGATTCCCGTGACAGGGTCGTTCACAGAGTACGCGGAGAGATTTATAGACGACTCACTAGCTTTCGCACTGGGATGGGCGTACTGGTATCTCTGGGTCACCGTAAGGATCTGTCTCTTCTGGATTGCTAGGACCAGTTTCGCTCACAGCCTTAGGTCCTGGCAAACGAATACACCTCCATCTCCCTCGTGATAGGCTACTGGACCCAGGCCGTGCCCCTATGGGGCTGGATGCTTATTTTCTGGGTAGTGTTTTTGGGTATTTCTAACCTAGGGGTTCTTGCTTATGGTGAGGTGGAATTCTGGCTGTCTCTGTAAGGGTGCCCGTTGGACTCGTTCAGGAACTACGTGTCGCTAAACTGTCATAGGATTAAAGTCTTGTCTTTAATAGTCTTTTTTATTCTTGCGATTTGCATCAGCGCAGGCGGAATCGGACCGCAGACAATCGGGTTCAAGTACTGGCATAATCCAGGGGCATTTGCCGATTCAATCAATGGGGTCGCAAACACGTTCGTTATCGCGGGTACCCTCTATGCAGGAACAGAGATGTATGTGAAGGCGTCTGGAATTGAGAATTCACGCGGCTGACAGGCCCAGGGTTGGCATCACTGCTGGAGAATCAGCAAATCCCCGAAAGGCAGTTCCCAGAGCAATTCGCCAAGTCTTTTGGCGGATTCTGTTTTTCTACATAGGTAAGTTTACAAGTCTTTCAGCTTTTTATTGCAGCTATCTGACCGCTACTGAACAGGGATGATGTTCTTCATCGGAATTCTTATCCCCTACAATGACGAGCGACTGCTTGGGAAAGGATCGAAAACTGCCAGTTCGCCGTTGACGATTGCGCTTACGGATGCAGGAATTCTGCCTGCTGCGCATCTGATCAACGCATTGATCGTTGTGTCCGTGATTTCAGCAGGTAATAGCTCGCTGTACGTCGCATCGCGAACGATTCTGTTTATGTCCCGCAATGGCAAGGCGCCCCGTTTCCTCGGGCGTACCAACAGAGCTGGCGTCCCCTGGGCTGCCTTGATCTTCTCGAATCTCTTTGCATGCATCGCCTTTCTAGACGTGTCGTCTGGGGCGGGTGTTGTCTACTCGGCCCTCATCACACTGTCCGGAGGTATGAGTCCATTCATATACGAGATAACCGGCTGTTTCGTTCTGACGTTTGAACGCTGCAGTTGCCACATTCATCGTCTGGTCCGTCATCGGAATCTCCCATATCCGCTTCCGTGAAGCCCTTGTTGCGCAGGGCCAGGATCCATCCCTGCTCCCGTACAGAGCAGCGTTCTACCCTTGGGGCACCTACGCCGCCGTTGCAGCAAACATCTTTCTCGTCTTCTTCCAAGGGTATACGGCATTCCTCAGCCCGTTCAGCCCGCAGAACTTCGTGATTAATTATATTTTGTTGCCCGTGTTCGTTTTGTTCGTCGTGGTGTACAAATTCTGGAAGAAGACACGGTGGGTGAAATTGGAGGAGATGGACATCTGGACTGGCAGAAGGGAGTTCCCAACGTCAGAGGAACTGCCTGATAAGAAACCAAGTCGATGGTTAACTAAAGTGAGGGAGATCATTGTTGGATAGATATTTCTAAGATATAACCATTTAGATTTTGCTGTTTGTCGATAATCGGAATAGAAACGAAAGAACAGCGTTCTGCTGTGGTCAGTACTTATCCGAAATTGCCCGAAAAAACCTTAGACCGTTATACTGAATTCTCTCTTGTTTTCTGCTACAGCGCCTTGCGGGGAAGTGGTTATCGTGGGTCCTGGCCCCACGCAATGCCGTAGGGATCGGAGATCGGCTGTTAGCCCTGAGAATGAGATCTACCCCATCAAGCACAGGGATGTTTTCTCCCCGGACACCAATCATAGATACGACGGCACAGGACTTATATCTTCTTCAGAATAGTCCCTGCAGCAGGTTTCAACGCCATCATGGATTTCATCACGAACAAGTTAAGTGTGAGCCTCAGGTTTATATCATTGACCTAGCGTCCACCGCCCAGGACACAGATAAGCATCACATAAAGCAGACTCGTCTTCGGAGGCATGCCCGATAACAATTGCCGGAATACCTGCCGTCTCTTTCTTTCCCCGCATGGCCCTCACTCCCACAGGACTCCAGGACGAGAAATGTGGGACAAATATACAGAATGCGACGGATCAATCCAAGATGAACTTCTCAAGTCTTCGTTCCACCGTCTTCTTGAGTGTATATTCTTTCTGTCTTGAGAACCTTGGAAACGATGGCGATCCCCAAAAAACAGACTGTCGCGTGGCTGGAGAAGCCAAAACCGGACGCGATGCTGGATATCCGTCATGACTTCCCCGTGCCCACTCCCGGTGACGGTGAGGTTCTCATCAAGCTGGAGTATACCGGATTCTGGTGAGATCAGACGTCCTGAAGTGGAGGACAATATCTCTACTGACGGACACGCAGCCACTCAGACGTCCATAATATCCGTGGGGAATTGCCCATGACGACGAATATCCCTGGGCATGAAGGTGTAGGACGAGTGATTCAAGGTTAGGAACTCGTGTTATCCTGTAATGAATGTTGTTCGTTGCTGACACGGTCACAGCTGGACCAAATACACCTGCGGACATAATTGGCAAACGCGTTGGAATCAAGTATATGCCCGCGATCCTCAAAATTCAGTGACGACCAATTCTGACAATTTACAGATGGATATACAATACATGCAAGAACTGCGCCATCTGCAAGATCCGATACACCAATTGCCCCAACCAGAACAACTCGGGAAGAGTGAGTCTAGTCAAGCTATTGTTGAGCAATGACTGACGGTGGTACGGACAGAATGTTCCGGGCACGTTTCAGCGTATGTCAAGATATCATCGTATCGTGGTCTGTACTAAGCGTTACCAGAATACATCGTCTCGCCGGCAGACTTTGTGTCTATTATCCCGGAATCTCTCAAACCAGAGGCTGCCGCTCCCCTGCTATGCGGTACGTGAAGAAAACAAAAGTCAGTGAGAATGGAACTAATGATATCAGCGGGTGTCACCATGATCGGTGCATTAAAGAAACTCGATAAGATCTGCAAGAAAGGAGACTGGGTGGTCATCGTGGGTGCCGGCGGTGGGCTTGGTCATCTGTGAGTGTTTCTCCAAGAATCAGGGACTTGGCTAACCGGAACAGTGGTGTTCAAATAGGAAAGGAGTTGGGATATCGCATTATTGCTGTTGACAGGTGAGCTTATCCCACCATTCGAATGGTGGAACCTACAATTAATTAATGCCGTCTAGCGCAAGCAAGAAGGATATCTGCATGGATTCGGGGGCATCGGCGTTTATAGATTTTACGCAGGGAGACGTACGTTTTATTTATATTCTGCGAGGGGTTATTTGAACTGAAAACTGACATCCATCAAGGCCGTCAAGCAGGTCCAGGATCTGACAGACGGACTTGGCGCACATGCGGTTGTTGTCGTGGTGGGCGTGGAAAATGGCTACCACCTGGGGGTGAAACTCCTCCGACCGACAGGCACTCTGGTCTGCGTCGGGATCCCACGAATGGACTTCCACATTCCGATCTCGCCGCTGGACTGCATCAACAGAGGTATGAGGCAGATGAAGAACTCGAATAGCAGGGCCACTTACTGGAGAATATACAGGCTACAATATCGTCGGAAGCGCGGTTGGAACGGAGGATGAACTGCAGGAGCTCTTGCAGATGGCTGCTGAAGGCCGTGTCTCGACGCACTACGAGGTCTTTGATTTCGAAAAAGCGAACGAAGTCATGGAGAGACTGGCCCGATACGAGGTCAAGGGACGGGTCGTTCTTCGGATTCCAGCTTGAGGGAGCTAGATTATTGGACAGCAGGCATTGGTCTTCCAGGAGACATGCGCGGCGATTAAGCGATCGAGTCTTTGGATGCCGCGCAAGATATGTATAGGTCATTTGTCATGATATAATAATCATTGGCAGAATATAGTATCCATTGTGAAGAGATGAATGAGCACAGAAAGGGAAAAAGAGTGAAAAGTACTGATATAGACAAGAGAGTTATGTATGTACTTCTATCGACCATTTAGCACAGATTGAACACGTCAGGTATTTAAAATGTGCTTACCTAGGATGTGCTGTACATACATGTAGGTAGTTCGGACTTCTAACTATCTGGCGGACGATGATTAGTCATCACCATTCCGCGAGCACGTGGGGCGCTAAATCCCCGCATAACCCAAATGAAGCTAGCGTGACATCGACTATGGTCCAGACCGGCTAGCCCCTTCTTTTCTCTTCTGTGGTCTTCTCGAGAATTTTTTTCTTTTCCCCCAGGTATTTATTCTCCAAATCTGCTCCTTCTTGACTTTCCTTCCTACATATCGCAGACACAAGACATACCAGTCACTGTGCACACGGTATGGCTGCAGTGACGATACCTTGATCCCTCAGATGCGTGTCTAGACCTTGGTGGTCGATTTCTCTGTTTTTGCCTTCTTGCAGGGGCCTTGAGACAGTTTCTGTCAGGCCTGTATCATCTGCACTTCGTCTCTGTCTGATGTGACACTGACTGCAGATGGAATAAATAAATCATCACAATGCTCTCTTCACCTCAATTCCTTCTATATCACGTTTGGCTGGATCATTCCATTCCTTCTTATCCTTTCTCATCTCTACTTAGGTGCATTCGAAGCAAGCAAACCACGGTACGCAATTCCAGCCTCGGCTACGGACAGAGCGAAACAGAACAATGACATTCTGCTCTCTCTGTCATGCATCTCCACAAGTCGAAGCTGTCCTCTAGGTACCTAGAATAAACACGGGAGGCCAATAAGCTTGTGACACTTATGAGCCGTGTGTCACTTGAAAGTCTCCTCCCATATTCCTTGTTGAGATAGAAGTAGTAGGTAGGTAGATGAATTCAATGTGTGGTGGACTACTAGTAGTACGGACTGTATGTACAGCAGCGCTTGAGCTCTTAGCCTCTGCTTAGGCGACGTCGCCATGAAGATTGCACAATTTTTATACTCCAGGTGACCCTTTCATATACCAGTTATCATGACGACGATCGACTTGGCGCAGATAAAAAAGTCGCCCCTAGCTGTCCACTGTCTTGGATGTCCAGCCATATCCGTTGCCCCGGTCTTGCCGCGTCCTCCGCCAGGCTCCTGCGACACGTCCACAATTCCATTGTTCTCCCTAGAGCTACCTAGACAATAATGGATCTGAAGACCGTGATTCCTCCGTTTATCATGACAGTGCCATTTTCTACGCATACGTACCTACCAGTCTTCTGCTACCCTCTCTTCAGAGCTCACAATGTGATTGAAGGCAAACTTGACGCCGATACAGTCCGTGTCCAGGAAAGAACTTGACGGCGAGTTTTACCGCGGTTCGGTGTCAAGGTACAGAATTAGGCGCAAATGAGAGAGCTGAAGATACTCAGGTCCTGGGATTCGTGCCTCGAGCTTCTACTAGAAGACGAAATGACTCTTTCCAGAGTTGAGTTAACTTCCAAGCTCCACTTGATCTCATTGAAATACTAGTCCTGACGAGAAACTGTCATGATGGCAAATAAGAGCCTTCTACTCGTCACCATCGGCAGTCGCACGTCGAGGTTTCAGCTACCGTCAGATCGAGTTGTTACGCCAGTAGATATCGATATCGCCAAATGAGTGAACTGCCCAGACTATCTGCTGGAGAAGATACAGCTCTCGAATGCAGTCACCATATATAATCTGAGATGAATACGAACACTTTGGCTTAGACATATGCAGACGGAGGCATAGGCGGCCAAACCCCAGCTGTGGGGGAATTAAAAAGAAAAAGGAAGAAGGAAACCAGACAGAATGAAGAGATTTATAAGCAAGATTGTTTTGAACAGGTGGATATACTTCGTGGACTTTTCCAGAGTGACAACAGCGTTGGCTATTACGCTTCTCTTGTCGAGTCACATGGCATATCAATCTCTGCCAGTCTGGTTTGATATAGTTTGTCACGTCCACGCCATATATACACATACTGATTAGCTGCAGGATATAAAGTCTAGCCATACAGACCGAGAAACAGCAGCAAAACTACTTGTGTTGCCTTTGAAGATACATATCCTTCGAATGAGCCGAGACATCCGTTTAGGCCCCGGCCCTGGACTAACCCTCAAAACAGACAATTTTTCCGTTGAAGATATACTTTCCTAGGGATCGAGAAGAGAAAATTACGCTACTATATTTCATGAGAATAACCAGTATGCTTTTGCGGGGATCGTGTCAATGCATTATTGTACAGACTGCCAAGATCACCAGCATGCGCTCGGTGAAATTGCATACTCTGATATGACAGACGCTAGAAACGAAAATAGAAAGGTTCAAGTGCCATGTTCGCTTCTCCTTAATTTTCGAATTTCCTCTGCTAAAATCAAACACGAGATTGTTGCGAGTGATACTGCTATTTCTGTATCTCTCGAGATACAAATATAAGAACAACCCCAACACAGTCATAGTCGCAAGAGATCTGGCAGTTTAGTCGAAATCAGCATGTCGAAATAAATATATTTTCGATATATTTAAATTTATCAGAAATCATCTCTAAATACCTCACCAAGTATAATTATTATTATCATTGTTGATGTTGTTGTCTCCCACCACAGCGAATGGTGTCATGACGCAATCTCCTTGCGTGATACAGTAGCTCTTGCGAGCCATGCAGTCCGTACAGTAGTTAGCGACAACACCAAAAGTGCCGAGACGATGGAGCACGGCATGTCGACTGTCAATTGTCAGTATTCTGTTATCGCAGCGCGACGATTAGCTCTCTTGGCAGCATATGGTATCATCATCATTGCCTGTAGGCACTCGATGTCGTGCGAGTTTACCAGGATGGCGTTTTGCGTATGAACTGATATGTCCCTACCTTAGTACTTTGCTTTTTGGTTTATTCCCCTCACGATAAGAATATTATACTACTGTCCTGCTGGATGAGTATAAATTCGGGATTGGGCCCGTTAAAATGGGTTGTTGATTGACAGGGATGTTTGAATGAAATAACGTCTTTTTTCCCCCTTGATTCTATATTTATTTTCCATCCTCTCTCTATATATAGAGACTTTGTATATACAAGATGAGTACAGTTCTCACGGCTCGAGCAGCGGCCGCCGCTCGAGCGTTTAGACAAGGGACAACAACCACCGCCTCCTCGTCCTCCCCTTCTATCGACAACAACAACAACACCGACACAACCACCAAATTAAACCCCACCATCACCAAAATCCCCGACAACGCGCCCCTGAGCGACGACGACCAATCGCAAGAACGACAACGCCGCTTCTGGTTCCAGCGAAGCAAAGTCCGATACGATCCCAACGCGATCGCGACGCAGCCGTCGGTATACGACGACCCGGAGACGGCGAAGGAGTACCAGCCACGGCCGGACTGGGAGAATCTGCACCGGTTCGACCCGTCTGCGCGATGGACCTGGGGCGAGGAGAATAGGCTGGTGCGCAAGATCGATGTGCGGATCCTGATTTTTGCGTGCATCATGTTTATGGCGCTCGAGCTGGATCGGGCGAATATTTCGCAGGCGCTGACGGATAATTTTCTGACGGATTTGAAGATGAATACTAATGGTAGGGTCGTATAGTAATTTTGTTTCTGTATGTGTATCTAACTTATACTGCTAAACGGCTGTATAGATTACAACATGGGCAACACCGTCTTCAAACTCGCCTTCCTTTGCGCAGAGCTCCCCTCGCAGCTGATTAGCAAATGGGTCGGTCCAGACCGATGGATCCCCGCGCAGATGGTGCTCTGGTCGATCGTGGCCTCGTGCCAGTTCTGGCTATCGGGACGGTCGTCGTTTCTGACGTGTCGGGCGTTGCTGGGGATTTTGCAGGGGGGATTCATTCCGGATGTAAGTGTCATTTCAACGGCAGAAGAACTTTGATCCTGAGTGAATTGGCCTAGGTCATTCTATACCTCTCTTACTTCTACAAACACCATGAGCTCTCTATCCGCCTGAGCTTTTTCTGGACCGCCATGTCCATTGCGGATATCCTGGCCAGCTTCCTTGCTTTTGGCCTGTTGCATATGCGAGGCGTGAACGGCAAGGCTGGCTGGCGGTGGCTGTTTATGATTGAGGTATGCCTGCTGGTCAGTTGAATACAGTGATAGCAAACTGAACGATACAGGGCCTGCTGACCCTCGTGATCGGAATCCTGGCCTTCGGTCTGATGCCCGCTGCGCCGACCAGAACAGCCAGCTGGTTTAGAGGAAAGAATGGGTGGTTCACGGAGCGGTGAGAATGACCACCCTGCCCAAAAATACTGTAGATCGATTATTGATTGACTTTCCAGCGAGGAAATCATCATGGTCAACCGCGTCATCCGCGAAGACCCCAGCAAAGGGACAATGCACAACCGACAGGCGATCACACCCAAACTTCTCTGGCAGAGCCTGAAGGACTACGACCTCTGGCCGCTGTACCTCATCGGGCTGACGTTCGAGACGCCAATGACAACTCCCACCCAGTACCTGACGCTGTCGCTGAAGGGGCTGGGCTTCAACACGTTCCAGACGAACCTGCTGACGATCCCCAACACGGCCCTGCACATCGTGCTGATGATCGCGCTGACGTATGCGTCCGAGATTGTGGGCGAGTTGACGCTGATCTCCATGCTGGGCCAGGTCTGGGCGTTGCCGTTCCTGGTCTTCCTGTATGTGGTGGACATTAACAGCGTCAATAAATGGGTGGCCTGGGTTGTGATGACTTTGTTGCTGGCTTATCCCAGTGGTGAGCACAATCTCTTCTCCCACAATCAAAGACCCGTGTGTACAATGCTAATAATAATACCTGACGTCCAGCACACCCGATCCAAGTCGGCTGGAACTCGCGCAACTCGAACACAGTCCGCTCACGCACTGTCTCCGCAGCAGCATACAACATGTGCGTCCAAGCATCAGGCATCATCGCATCGAACATCTACCGAGCAGGTAATCTCCCTAAAAAGCTACATGTACCTAACCTCACACTAACGTGGTGGTGGTGGTGCTAGACGACGCCCCCCGCTACCGCCGCGGCAACCGCGTCCTCGTGGCTCTCGTCTCAACCAACATCGTAATCTACCTCCTGACCAAAGTCTACTATGTCTGGCGCAACCACACGCGGGACAAGAAGTGGAACGCGATGACGGAGGGGGAGAAGCTGCGGTATCTGGCGACGACGACCGACCAGGGGAACAAGAGGTTGGATTTTCGGTTTGCGCATTGATGCAGGTACAGAACTCGTATGTATATACATATGGCTATAGTATATATCCAGAGGGGAAAAGAGGAATGAGAAGAGTGGCAGGGTAGATTTAGAATTAGAGAAGGGAGAGATGCCGTTTTTACTACCATACGTATAGCGGTGTGGATTGCCCAGGCAGGGAGGTATCTACCTATATATCCACATCTGTATTTGCATTGCATCTGCATCTGCATGGCATCATTAAACGACATGACGTGTCATGACACTGCATTATACAGGCTCTCTTTCCATTATATGCCTACTTCTTTATGTGGTGGTAAACCTACGGAATACTTCCCAACACTTCCCCTTTCGGACAGCCCTAATTCGGCCAGTAAGAAACTCTACCCTATCTCATCACGCGGCAAACTTGAAAGACCAAGAACGACTTGTATATTCAATGTTAGTGTCATGCATGTGGTATTCAGAATCTGCCTATCTAACCTGCTTGCTGTGCTCCCTCAATGCATACTATACATCAATACAACAGTATCATACAGAAGCCGCTGTAAACAGAACGAGCCCAACACCAACGTGCCTTGCCCTGACTCGAAAGAATACATGTATGTACATATGCACAGAAACAAATGGAATGGTGATGAGAACGAATACTCCAGTTAAAAACTGAATAGCCCGCTCCGCCGCTTGCCATACGGGTAAATGACCAGTGCTGCCAGGAATAGGCCCACCGTAATGCCAATGGCCACCTGCACCATACCAAATCCCAGACTAAATACCGCCGTGTTTGAAGCATTGATCATGGACGCCCCGTTTCCGGTCGACGCGTTCGTCTTCCCCCCAGTCACATTGCTTCTTATCTGGTTGGCGGACTGCACTCCGGAAATCAGTGACCCTGATGCAGCCAACCCCGACGGAACCAGCACGAAGATAGCTGGCAGAATCGCTGTCGCCGCGTGCCCATGCCATAGCCGGCTGTATAAGTTTCCCAAAACTCCGATGGTGAACGCCCCCAGAGTGTTGGCCACCTCCGAGTTCGATCCAATCCGTTTCGTGCAGAGGTAGTTGACCACATACCCTGTAAATGCAATAAAGATCATCACCGGCGCCTGCTTGAATTTGCCCTGGTTGATAATGACTAGCCAGAAGGCCATCGCCAGAACAAAAGGGAACCGCTGCAGGTATGGGTTGCTAATCGGAGATGGAGGACAGTTGGTATTCGAGTTGGCGTTTCCGTCTATCAGCCCGTAGATGGTCGTCCCCGTGGTGATGCCATACCCCAGGAACAGGGAGTAGATGATGGCATACACCATCCGGATGGAGCCTGCAATGATCTGATGCGACTGCAGCTCTAGACTGCTCGATAATACCAGAAACCCCGGCAGAATGAGGGCAATCGCCGACTGGGCCACCGCCGAAAAACAAAAGAGATACTGCTGCTGCCCGTTCACTACTCCCCACCGAATGCTGCCAAAAGCGCGCGCCAGAAAGGAAGTGACAACTGAAGCAAACACCTCGAAGACATTGGAATAGAGCGCAGATCGTGCTGCAAGGACCAGCTGCATGAAGCCCAACATGCACCCCAGCATGAAGGCGATGGGCATGTCAATAGGGCGGGCGGAGAAGGCGAATGGTCCGACAGTCGCGCTCACCAACCCGTACATAAAGATGAGAAACCAGGTGGGAAATCGGGGTTTGCGGTTCATGATTTCCTCCAGCAGCTTGGTGGCTTCGTCCACGCCGATCAGGTCATGGACCACGTTCTTGTAGATGCTGTGGGTGTCCGCCAGACGACTCAGGTCCACCCCCTGGGGGATCCGCACCAGCTTCACCTCTGTTGTCCGCGTGGCAGGGTCGTCGAAGGACATGATCATACAGCCGGGAAGATACAGAAACTGAGCGTCCACCTCGAGAACGCGGGCGGTCATCTGCATATACTCCTCCAGGCGGTGGGTCGGGGCCCCGAACTTCATCAGCGCGCGGCAGAGCTGCATCAGGTAGCGCTGGCGCGAGATAATCTCAGCGATGTGCACCGTCACCCGGATCTCATCCTCCAGACGCGGCTTGCCGCTCCTGCTGCGCCGTTTGGCCGCGGCCGACATCATCTCGCTCGAGTGATAGGGAGAACCGGCGGCGCTCAGATTCGACGCGGCGCCCACGAGAGACTGGGTCGACTGGTTCTGCGACTTCTTGTACCACTTCAGCTTCTCCTTCCTGGGGGTTTCGGCGCCAGAGGAGTCGCCTCGAGGACTGGTCCAGCCAGGCGTGCGCGTACCTTCCGATTCCTGGTCGGTGCTGTCGACGCGACTGCGGTCCTGCCTGCCGGACACGTCTCCGGACGACTGGTTCCCCCCCTGACCGTACAGCTTGAGCAGGTTCGACAGGATGCCTCCGCCGCCCATGCGCGCTGCCACCTCCGACTCTGCGTCCGAATCTGCCGGCGTGGACCGTCCCGAATCCGACGGTTGCGCCGGTCGCGGGCGACGGCGACGGCCTTTGTGCGACTGGGTCATCTCCCGGACGAGGCGATGTGCTTCAGACGTGGCGTTCCTCTGGTCTCGGCGGCGGTCTTCATCGCTCTTGTGTCGGTTGTCCGTCAGGTCGGAGAGCGGCACGTCTCCTTCTCCACCCCAGTTACTGTGTGGCACCGCCGAAGTCAGGGAGTCTCCCTGCGTTTGCGGCCGTCCCAGTCGAGTAGCCCATCGACGAGCCGTGTCCTTCGCGGCGTCTACCTTGAAAAATTTTTTCGCTCGTTTGCTCGCGCTCTTGTCCTTGTCCTTGTCCTCCTCGCCCTCAGACGGAGGGAGCCTGTCATTCACGGAGGTGTCGGTCACGTCTTGGGAGGCTTCTGAATCGCGTCTTCTGGGCGGTGATGGGCGACGCCAGGGAGGTCGGGAACGGTCTGGAGCTGGGTCCATTCGTTCTGGGATGAGACTGCGCCTCTCGACGCTGGGCTGGCCGGTGTCGACGAACGAGCGAAACCGGACACGGGGCTCGCGAGGCCTCTCCTCGCCAGCCTCGCCAGCCTCTCTAGCCTCTCCATTGCGAGGCTGTTCTGTGTCTGTCACGGCCTCGTCACTGGGCTGAATGTTGACAGTGTGCTGGGTCTCCGTCGACTGGACATTGTCATGATGCTCATGGGACATGGGGATGTGGTTCACAAGCCGATATGTGTCAGGATAGAAGACACCTCGAGCTTTCCTTGGTCCAGTTTAATTGTGGTCCTCCACAATCCCAGTAGTGACTGTATGTCTCCTCAGCCACGAACTTGCAAGGCGTTCGACTGTCGTTCCTGCCTTTCCTGCACTAGAATGACGAAGAGGCAATATAGTATAGCGTGTAGGTAATTCGTGATGCACTCTGCTAGCTCTGGGAAGCGACGATCTGCACGAGTGGCCACTTTGGTGGCTGCAGGAGTGGCACTTGGACACGACGTACGCGAGAAGAGCTCCTTGGAAACAGCCTTGGTCAACAGTCGTCCATCTATTAGACTGGAACTCAAGAGGTGTACATACCATGGAGACGTGGCGCAGTAGGGACACGAGCTCTACGCGAGCTCTGTCCATGCGGCAAATTCTTTCGGGTGAACAGCTCATGTCGCGACAGGGATTATGAGCTCATGTCTCGCCGACGTGGCTGCGAGATCGTTGACGACAGCGTGTTGTTGTTGAGCTTGGAGTGCCACTGCCACCGTCTGCCGTAGCTTTCCGAGCCAGTCGAGCGATGACGATGGCAACAGAGTTCGGGAGGGCGGCAACAGCCGTCGAAGTTAATGTCGTAGAAGGATGAATAATCAGAAGTCTATTTGTATCAAATAGCTGGTATCATTATATTCAGTAGTTATCAAGAATACATGATATTCTACCTGGCCATAATTTCACGTAACTAGATCTGAGCCCTAACTAGTAATTACTGTATCTGTGGTCAGCATTCTCGCCTTTTTGTTTTGCTTTAGCTATATCTATGCTATATACAAAGGTAGCTTCAAAGAAGTCTCTCTTAAGAAACGAAGTATCTCTGCTGCAGTCCGGTACAACAGATATACACTCGCGATGGTGTTAAAACGGTCCTGAACCGATGCCTCGTCACCGCAGAACATTGCTCTGCAACAACAAAGGAGGTCTGTGTATAGGCCAAGACAGCTCAGCCAAAAATGGGCGTCAGTTCTCAACTCATTCATGGTCTCGCTTAGACCGACTTCCACGACGAATTGAAGGTTTGTCAGTTTCGCTCGTCCGGTTGTTAGATGATCCCCCAAACACCTAAAAGATTTGTGGAAAGCTTGTAGGATTCCTAATTCCAGACCTCCTCCTCGAACTCGCCGGCGAACCCAGATGTAATGTCATAGTCATTTCTCAATTAGGCAACTGTGTGATCTTCACGATGTTTCACGCCACAAATTCGTCAACAGAGGCCTAGTAATCTACGTTCAAAATACCCTGGTGACCCGCGTCTCTGGTGTAATGACACCGGATATCGATGTGTTTTGACCGCTTGGTCGTGATTGTGGCCGTCATAAGGTCTTCTGCACCTTTGTTATCAATCTGCAGTGTAGGTGGACGCCGGTGCTTTGCCATCAGCAGATTGTTTGTCCAGGAATCCCATATTGGTCATGACGTTCCGAATCCGGTAGAGCTGCCCCAGGTGTTGCCGACACAGCTCTGAGTCGGATTTCCGTCTTCCACGATTTTCCACCATACACTCGCGGTTGTAGAATTCAAGGGTGTTCAGGTGCGTGGGGTGTCAGTTCCATCGAAGAAATATGGCGGCTGCTGGACAAACGGTCCCTGAACGGGTATTCATCATCACAAAAAGTCTGTTCAAATCCTCGAGGCTCGCCATAGCCAACGAGCCCATTGTCCCAGGTTGTGAGTTGTTGATATCCGTGGTGCAGGACGAGCGGATTTGGTTAAGATGGATTTGCTGTCGAAGCTGTTCTGGTGTGAATTCATCGCGATTCTTCCTCTTCTGCTCCCTTTCCTGTAAGGAAAACACAACACTGTTTCTAACCTATCTAGGCGTGTACCTCCATAGTCTGTAAGTCGGAGGAAACGACGCCTTTTCTAGCGTCAGTAAAGCAGCTTCCAACTCGTGTAGGTTTCTCACGAGCCCATTCTAGGAGGAGGGCAAGGAAAACGACAGTTTCCGGTTCTGCACACCGAGGGAAACAGATGAATAACTTTCCCTGCAATGCCTCAGCGCAACCAATGCTTTTCCTCTTCCTGATCGCCGCGGAGCCAAGCATTGATGGAATCCTGGGAATGATGAACTTCTTTTTCGTCTTGTGCGTTCGATCGCCTTCGCACATCCAGGGATCTGCCTGAAAGCCATTCATTCCATTGGCAATGCTGTGACTTCGCATGACTTTGTTGTTGCCATTCCAAATCCCATGGATGCAAATAACGCAGCTCAGGGAGATTTTCATACGCATTCGTGGTTTCAAAAATATGTATTCATAGCGACTGTAATAATGCCAACGAATTAACCGATCTGTCACAACAGAAGCAACTGATTATTTTTTCAACTGCTCCAGGATTCTTCCAACTCCCGCGCTTCTTTGCTATCCTGTTTTGCTCCTCTGGGTGAACAGCCTATATCGAATAGAGTTGTTCAATTGAGTCCCTTAGGACCACACACGCGCGCCTCGTCGTGAATCCAGTGCGAGAGGTTAGGAGAAGCGACGAGGAGATCAGCAAGCAAATCGCTGAGAGATTGAAGGGAAACGGATGAGAAGACAAGATAAGATGAAGCACTTAGGCTAGTATTCCCAAGATATGCTCCTGGACAGAAGAAGAAAAACGCAAGACGCGAAGAACACAAGAAAACGCACAGAAATTCTCCCGACAGGCGGAGACAGGCAAAGGACTCGAAACAGGACTAATCCCAGTTGTTCCATCCCACATAAAACAATAGGAAATGTCTCCCAGGCTGTCCTTGTTGTTATCTAAGTGCTTATAAGCAGACTTTGTGAGCCCGAGAATGACAATGAAGTGATTACTGCCTTGTGATGCTTGTTCGAATTTTCGTAAATTGTGAAGACTTGTTCTTGGAATCTTCTGACTGGTTTGAATGATCCTGGCCATCTGAGGCCAAACAAATGGCTTGCTTTGACTGCTGAAGAAGAACTGCGAGCTCGGGAGGCAAGAAGTGCAAATTGGGCGTCTGACCTGTGTGTCCACCCCGAGCAGGAAAGATCACGCCTGACCCTGTCTTTCTTGCAAGCAGGATGTTGGTCATCGGCATCTTTACTCTGGGCTGTTTGTTATGTGGGAGTCGACATTGCACCCTCGAAGGCATTCATGCTGTGGAACTGGAATCAATCCCTCGTCTGTGTCCAGCCAGCTGTTCGCACCGGATGCCCATACGCATAAGCTGGACTGCCATTGATGTCTCCGTTTGCAATGAAAACTCGTCAAATGTTGGGTCTTCGCGAGCACTGATGACCGCTGATGATGACTCCAAGAATTCTGTCCAAAAGCAAGCTTTCATTATCGGGATCCCAACTATTGAATTCGGTTTCCTTAGGATCTTCATCCGCGATGATAACATGGCGACAAACTTTTCTAAACACCAGGATAGTCTTGCGTCGATCGGATATCACGTTCCCAACCACAGAATTTCTTCTCCTTTAGGAGAGCAAGAAATCTCCGGATATAACTCCATTTGGTGTTAAAACTCGTTGAATTCAGTTAGGATCTTCATAAGCAACTGATGGCGTGGGTTGATATTGCTTAACATCGCCACTGCTGATCACTCCAACGACTTTTTCACCAAAAGCGAGCTTTCTTCGCGGGCAGCTGATAGCAATAGGTCGAAGTTTCTTACCACTGCTGCTGCTGTTTGATGACTGCAACAATTCTGTCACAAAAGCAAGCTTTTGTTATTAGGATATAACTGGTGACATCGGTTTCCAGTTAGGATTGTTGCCAGCGCTGCTGGTGACATCAGGTCGAAGTTGCTTAACATCGCCACTGCTGATGACTCCAACGATCGATTCTGTCGCCAAAGAAGTGCGAGCTTCGCTACGGGGGTCCAACTGTTTACTTCAGTCTCCTTAGTTTGGATCTTCGTGAGCACTGATGATGACTATTCCGCTGGCAGACTTTCCGAATTGAGAGGTGATCACGTCAGAGGCGACGTCGTTGTTGTTAGTAGACACAACCAGTTTCGCCTCTTCGATAACGTGGTGAGAAACCTTTTTGAATGCGAGGATTGCCTTGCGTCGATCGGATATCTTGTTCCCATATCGCGGAATTTCTTCTCCTTTAAAAGAGCAAGAAATCTCCTGATATGAGTCCAGTTGATTTCGGGAAGAAACACATTGGAGTTATCGTCTTCAATCGTAAACCGTCTTTCTTCGATGGTATATATGTCTTTCTTTGGCGAAGTAAGAACGAGAAATGCAGTTGTGGAGGACACATTTTGCATGTAGTACGCCGAGCCAAGCTTTTCGCACGCGGGATTAGCACAATCTTGTTCACTTTGTGACATAGCATAGCGAACGAAATTGTGCTTGAGATTCATCCAGTCAGCCTCTTTGAACTTTTCAGCGCGGTCGCATCGAAGGAAGTATTCCATCTTTAATCATCAGGAGGGAATGGGTCCACAATTTAGGGTTCTTACCTTCTATAGATATCATCTCCATAGTCTTCCCAAGATCATTTGTTTCCTCGAAAAGCCATCTCATGTCTATCTGTAATGCAGCCCGAAGCTTATGTACTGTACGCAGGTTCGTTTGGCTTCGGTGGGAGGCAGCAAGCAAGCACGAGGAAATAATATAAATACTCGCGCAGGAGCACAGAGACCTGACCTCAAAACCGAGGAGGGCACGGGGGCACCAGCACAGCTCCAGTTTTACGCGACGAAATGACCAAGAGTCCCTGTCGCTCCGTCCGGTGCTGGAGTTGTGAACATGTAGAAGGTGTCAGGTGTCGAATAGAAAATCATACCGCTCATGCGATCAGGCATGGCAACACAAGAGCTCTGAAAAGGGTCCAGGGCAAGCTAACAGACAAAGAAAAAAAAGGGGCACCCTTATAGACAGATATGCACTGTTAACCATGCCACCAGTGCCAACAAACGATTGCTTCTTGACTTTTCATGACTTTCATGACTTGACTTACTTCCGACGACAGCACAGGAAACGGCTCCATCATCCCCATCTCAGGATCCCATCCCAGCGACCAGTGGTCCATAGGGGATTATTGGCGTGCTTGTGAGTCAGTGTCAGCCTCCCTGTCTGTCCATATATATGCCAGGGAAGCTGTGAGGGTTCGTTGCGTTTGTATAATAAGGCTTTTCTCGATCCTATCCTGTCCGGAAAAGAAAAGAGAAGTTTTGCTTCGAGAGGAAGGGGAAAAAATAAATAAAAATATAAATGTGCAGTAGTTTCAACAAGGAAGGAAAGAATATGAAGAGGAGTTAGTAATATCAATATCGATATATAATCCAACCTCAATAAATAAATAAGAAGAAGGAAGGGATAGTTATATAGGAAGAAGAAAAAGGCTGACGTAAGACCCAGAGCACGTCTGGGTACAAGAAGAAAGTAGAGAAAGAAAGATGAGAGAAGAGAGAAGACAGCCAGCCAAGCGGGAGAGAAGATGGGCTTAATATACCTACCTAACCTAGGTACCTAGCCGAAGGGCAAGAAGGGCAAGAAGCAGAACAGAACACCTAGAACAGTGACTACTTATTACGGAGTACTCCGTAATTAATAGTCACTATAATTAGAATTAGGGCTGGCTGTAAGCGAGGTACTGTACAGTACAGTACCTAGTGAAGAAAGGAAGAACCCTGAACCTGCCGGAAGGAAAGATCCTGCGCAGTTAACTATTGTTATTGGACATAATCCTCTAAATTCACTGCAAACAGCGGATACTTCCTTCAAAAAGTGTCACATTCCGGGTAATTTTCTAAAGAGTGGCTATTATCATTAACTATTAGCTGGCCAGTAGTAAGTAGTACAGAGTACAGAGAGTACGGAAGGGAAGAAAGCAAGAAAGAAAAGAAATGGTCTGGTATGATATGATTTGATTCACTGTCAGTATTCATTTCTTCGTTGATCGGTTGGTTACCATTATTCACTGTAAGACAGGACTTTCTTTCCGGCTATAGGGGTCGTCGTTTGCCATGTTGTCTAAGATGTCGGTTCCCGCGGGAAAGGAAAGGGAAAAAAAGGCAAACAGCTATTCAATTCTACCCCCTAATCCTAATACTCCGTACGGAGTAATACTCGTGTACCCCGTAGGAACGAGATAGGATAGGATAGGATAGGATAGACACCACACCCTTGCTGGCCGCTGATGCTTGCATAACCAACCGTCCGTTCCGTTCAACCTTCAGGCTTGATTCAGGGCTTTTCGGACGGCACTAATTAAGTAAGAACGAGGGCTAGATTGGTGGAAAACCATGATGCTTATCCACGATACGAATTATTTCGAATATGACTGCAGCGAGGGCAGACGAGCTAGTGACCGACGACAACTTCTTACCTAGCAGGTCATCAAATCTGACTACTGACTATTATAGAAAAATCAGAAAGTCCTATCGAACGTGTCATACATAAGCTATATGTCATAGGATCCCAGCTAGAGGCCAGTGTCATGCCATTCCTTGTAGCATTGCCGGACGTAGATATTAAATTAAGAACATGATTGTACTGTATTTTCAAGCCTAGTATCGTTTATCGTAATAAGACATAACATTGACACCGTCGGCCATCGTAACTTTATCCCAGCTGTCCTTCATATATCGTCTTTTTTTTTTCTTTTGCAACAAATCTATCATCCTGTATTGCCTGTATTGTTGAGAATAGATTGTAAGTATCGACCCGAAAGCTACAGAAAAATAATAAAAAAAAGAAAAACAGTCAAACACACATGAGAAACATACATGAGGGGAATCATAAACTCCATACACATCTGTAAATGCATTCAATTTAAATTGTTCAAGCGCTACGTACTCTCAAAACACGTCCAACCCTCTCCCGCATGAGTCGGCGCACCTGGCCCGGTCTTGGGCCGTCCAGACAACAGGTCGACAAGACCCTGCAGCTCGAGCCAAAACTCTTTCTTCGGACGTCGTCTGGCCCAGTCAGTGTCGGTCTCCTCGAGTCCGTTTGGCCCGCCCATAGGCGAGAAGAGCACCTGCGAGCCCTTGACACCAATCACCGAGCACGAATACTCGTCAGCGGCAATTTCGTCCTTGGATTTGCCGGCGTAAGTCTCGATGTGCTGCATGCACTTGATCGCCATACGCAGAGCTCGGATCCGGTCCATCGGCGACGGCTTGCCGCCCTGCTGGAAGTGACCAGGCACGGCAGCCCGCGATTCAAACCGACCCTTGGCCTCCTCCTTGATCATGTCGGCAATCACCTGGGTGGTGTAAGTTTCCGAGGCGCATTCGTTGCGGAGGATGATCTTGCCCGCCCGGTTTGCGCCCCGGTCGCTGGCAAAGTTGGACCGCAAGAATTCAATATCCCTAGACAGCATCTTGATGTCGATGCCTTCCTCAGGGATGTACACGGCCGTGGCACCGACAGCCAGACCAGCAGTCGTGGCAATGTATCCGGACATGCCGCCCTGGGTTTCGACAACGAAGACCCGACGCCGGGAGGATGACGCAGACTGGCGGATGGCATCGCAGAAGGTGACAAGCGTGTTGAGGCAGGTGTCGCTGCCGAGCGAATATTCCGTCCCGGGAACGTTGTTAGAGATGGTGGCCGGCAGCACAACAATCGGGATCTTGAAGGCCGGATACTGTTCACGGGCCTTCCGGAGCTGACTCGCAGCGGTGAACGCCTCGAAACCGCCAATGATAAACAGGGCGTCGAACTTGTACAACTCAAACGCTCTGGCGGCGCCCTCCATGTCCTCAGAGGGAAGACCTCGGTTCGTTCCGATCTCCGATCCACCCTCGTTGACCCAGTTGTCCGACTCGAGCCACTGCACCTCTCGCACAGAACCCACCGGCTTGTCGGAGTGATGGCGAACGAGGCCCGGGAAACCGTTGTGGATGGCAAGAGGAGTGTGGCCTCGCGTCAGGCAATAAGCGACCGCGGCACGAGTCGCAGGATTCATACCACCGGCGGGGGCACCAACATGGATGATGGCAATCCGCATTTTCTTGTCGTCTGGAACGAGCATCTTGGGATGATCGGCGGTGGTCGTATTCAGATACGCTTTATGATACTCTTTGAACTCGGGGTCGCGCATGTTCATGGCTGCATCAAACTCATTTGCCTTGATCAGGGACGCGCATTCCTGGGTCATCTTCACCGCCTCCATCAGAGGCATCCTTTCGATCTTATTCTCGCGGATGACGATGACGGGAGACGGCGAGTCCGGTTTGACCTCCAGGACCGCCTTAACAGCTTCGACGCCTTGAAGTGTTGACAGCCATCGGTCGTAGGCACACGCGGGACCGCCTCGCTGGGTATGACCGAGAACCGTAACCCGAGTGTCCAGACCCAACCTTGTGCTCAGCACATCCTTTACTCTCTCTGAAGTGATCTTGTTGAGATTGCGGTCCTGCGCACCCTCGGCCACGATGACGATGGTTCGTCGTTTGCCTCGTCGTCGGTTCTATCAACCGTGAGCAGGAATTCTTAGGCGTGTCGAACAAGCAAGCACCAACCTTCATAATAATCGAGCACATATCCTCCTCCCAGCCGTCACGAGGCGGCATCTCCGGAATGAAGAGCCAATCCGCACCAGTGCTAATAGCAGACATGAGAGCCAGCCAGCCACAGTGTCTACCCATGACCTCAATGACGAAGCCTCGCTGGTGAGAGGCGGCGGTATCGAAGACGTCGTCGACGGCATCGCAGATCCGGGTCAGAGACGAGTAGCAGCCGATGGTGGCGTCGGTGCCCGACATGTCGTTATCGATCGATCCCACCAGACCAACAATGTTCAACGTTTTGTATGGCTTGATCTGAGCTTCGGTCAAATCGCCCTTGGCGACCAATTCCTCCAACAGGCCGGGCCATTCGGCACGCAAGACGTCGGCACCCGTCAAGCTGCCATCTCCTCCACAGACGATCAGAGCGTCGATCCCACGGAGAACCATGTTCTTAGCCGCCATGAGACGGCCTCTCCGCTCGCGGAAGCTGGCACAGCGGGCAGAGCCGATCAGGGTGCCTCCTCGCGAGAGCCACCCTCGGACATCCTCCCAGTGGACCTGTTTGATCATATCACCGCCGTTGACCAGACCCTCGTAACCTTCGTGGACGGCGTAGGCCTCACAGCCGCTGTGGATGGCCATGCGGACGACGGCGCGCACAGCGCCATTCATACCAGGCGCATCGCCGCCCGAAGTCAACACGGCGATGCGCTTTTTCTTGGCGGGTTCAACGGGAGGTTGTTGGGACGAAGCCATCGTGTCGACGACGGTCCCGCTGACAGCAACTAGACGAGAGCTGAAGCAGGTGAATATCTGCGAGATTTGGTTCAGAAGAGCGAGAAAAAAAGTTGAGATGAGCAGGCGGGCGAAGCGCTGTGTGGTGGGGGGGGCGTTCCGGTGAGAGAAAGCGGCGGCGGAGCTGGATACGTCAGAGCGAGCTTATCGGCCTAGCTGGCAGGCATGGCGGCAATGCTGAGGCACCGGCGCAATTGGTCGAGTATGGGAAAGGAATATAAGAAAAACGGTCAGAGGCACAACCAGATGCAAATATTTATATCGAAGACAAAAGAAACGAAGACAGGCCAGACTCCCTTGCAGGATGAAGCCAACGAAGACTCGCCAGATCGGCGAATGCATCCCGCTGTCCGTAACGGGCCTAGTGCGGGACAGCACGAGGCCCCACGTGATGGCCATATCGGTGAGCGAGTCAATATGTACTCTTGACATTAAATATTATTGCATTAATTATTGCGTTGTTGAGATTAATGCCCGTGCAATGTTAGCTGCGTGCTATTGGTCCAGATGTATGCAATATGTGCTGATCTGGAGATCATTCAGTTTACGCAGCACCACAGTTCATCACCGAGATATCTCTAGATTATGCCCAGTATACGCCATATCACTCATACTGATGAGGATAGCATGTGAAGAACCACAGATAGCCTCAACTTCGATCTCACAATGTGTAGACAAAGTCTGGCCGTCGGTCACCCAACATGCGTACTCCTTCTGCATCTAGCCCCTCAACGACATGATCGCGTTCGCCCCTGCGTCGTTTGCGGTTTTCGCGACGCAACAGCGCGTACTGGACGATCGAGCCAACCAGCTGGAACAGCACCAGGTATCCCAGCACGACGCCGTGTCCGACAAAGAAGTGGGGGCGTCTTTCGCGTTGTAGATGTTGCTGCTGACGATCCCGTTCAAATTGCCCCAGCCCACCATGATGCCGAGGGTGATGCCTCGTTTGTACGTTCCTGCTCGACGTGAGCTTGATTCTCAGATCGATGGAGGAATCACCATCCTTACCTGCCGTGTTATTGCTGATCCAGGAGACACTGTTTGGCAAGGCGGGATAGATGCCCATGGCTCCGAAAAACGTGCCAGCGTACCGGGCTCCAGGGTGGTCACACCCCAGCAGCATGCTGAAGCCAATCGCACCCAAGAGCGACACGATGATGTTGCAGATGCCTCGCTGCCGGGTGCGGTCTGCGATGAAGCCGACAGTGACCGTCAGAAGGGCGGCGGCGGCGTACGGAGCAACGCTGAGAAGTTGTGCCTGAGTCGATTTATATCCTACAGTCGTTAGTCCAGGATAATTACAAGCCATTTGGTCAGTAGTTACCCTAGTCAACGTTAGCATTTGTCTCGGAATTTTTGGGAGGTATGCTCACCATTTCATTAATGATCGTAGGCACAAACAGCGCAAAAGAGTACAGCGCCCCGTTCACACCCCCGTAGATCACACAGGCAGTGTAGGTTTTCCAGTCGCGCAGAACCTGCCAGAAATATGCCCATCGGAACTGCTCCGGCTCGACGCTCGTCTGGTGATCGACGGCAAGGCGATGGATGACCTGCCGCCGTTCGGTCTCGGTCAGGAACTTGGCATCCTCGGGGAAGTTGGGCACGATCCAGAAGGCAATCACGCCGATGACGACCGTGGCGAGTCCCTCGATGATGAAGATCCAGGCCCAACCGCCCTTCCCACCGATACCGCTCATATCGGCAATGGCGGCCGCGAGCAGTCCGCCAAAGCTGCCAGCCAACGCGGCGGCGGAGAAGAAGATGGCGACGCGGACACCCAGCTCGGATCGCTTGTACCAGCAGGACATGATGTAGCTCACGCCGGGGAAGAGGCCGGCCTCTGCGAGACCAAGGAAAAAGCGCGCGGCGATCAGACCGGCTGCGTTGTGCACCAGACCCATGCAGGTCATACAGATGCCCTGGAGTCGTCAGTCTCGAATCAGCCCTCAGCAGGGAAAGATGCATACCCAAATGACCATAATGGTGGGAATAAACACTCTGGGGGTGAATTTCTTGAGCAGGACATTGCTGACCGACTCGAAGAGGGCGTACGAGACAAAGAAGACACTGAGCGCGGCATTGTACTGGCTATTGCTCATGTGGAGGTCTTGTTGCAGGTTATCGAGCTTGGCATTGCCGATATTTGTGCGATCGAGGAAGCTATAAGTTATAACCAAGTGAGAAGTGATTCGTAGTCATTGACGTCGTGTTTGCACTCCTTACCACAAGAGATAAAGGAAAGACAGGATCGGAACGACTCTGAGGTCGATCTTGCGCAGCAATTTCCGGTGCTGCGTCTGTTAGCTTGGTGAGAGTAAAGGTTGCGTGCAGCACTCACGCTCTGCTCCTTCTCCTCCTCCGTCAATCCCTCATCCGGGTCCAGCATCTTCACGTCGCCTTTCTCGGCCACGTCGACATGTTCGGCGTCGACGACGTACTGGCCAGGTTTGGACTGTTTGTCGGGGGAGGAAGTGGGAGGTGGGCTTCCCATGTCGAACTTGACAGCACGGAAGAAAAACAGACACTCAGACTCTAACAGAGGATTTAGAGACCTTTCATATCCTCAATCCAAGTTTATATATAGCTATAAAAAAGGGAAGTCAGATAAAATAAGGTTTGCCCAGGATATTATTACTGACACTTTCATCTTCTATTCATCCCATTCCACGTTCGTGGAGCAAAACGCGGGGTAAGCTGGCAGCTCGTCGCCATTGGCCCTGCACGCCTGTTTGCGGGGAGAGTCCGATCATCCACCAGCTGTTAGTCTATTACCCCAGACGAAGCGTGGATGTGGAGCACGCAGCGTGTCCTTGAGCTTGTCCCGCAATTGGAAGGTCGCCAGCGAGGTCTAGATATTTGTGTGGCGCGCGGTACAGCGGAACTTGCCGTTCAGGCGAGGCCCGACTCGCGGCGCATCGGCGCGGCCGGTCGGCATGTCCTTTCGCCAAAGAAATGCCGATAAACACAGTAAAATAGAGTCATAAATTATAGAATAATTTTTTAGCCTAATACTGCCTGCTGTAGAGAGTACTGGATGAATTTACGGAGTAGACTGGAGGTATGTGCATACAGACCTACCCAACTAGGCAAGTCAGCAGCTGACCGCCAAGCATTCGCCGGCCGAACGCCGAGGCTGCCCGCACAGCCAAACTAAACTTACCAGCCCAAACAACTTCAATACTTGATCTTATACTTCCAATCTTTCAATAAGGAATTCCTTTCAGCAATCTGTATACCCGTCCAGCACCATGTCAAAACTCTCTCCCGCGCTGAAAGCGCTGATCAACGCTCCGCACGCGCGGGCAGGCACCGTGCCTGCTCCTCCCCAGATCTACGCCGTGTACCAGAGCATAGCCAAGGAGGCCGAGCCACGGAATGTCGGGCTCAAGGCGTGGTTCAGTGCTGCTGTAGGACTCTACATTCTGTTTATTATTCTTTTTTTTTTCACTGATAGCATGCTAATTTTGTTAAAGACGGCAGCAACGATGACCATGAACTCGCCCGAATCGCTGCTTCAGCTGCACAAGCTGGCTTCGTCGGAGAAGACGAAGGAAGAGGCGGTTTATCTGGCTGAGTTGATAAGAGAGATTGGTCTGAAATGTATTGGGTTTAATGGGGTATGTTTGACCTAGTTTATAGCAAGTTGTTTTTTTCTTTTTTTTCTTTTTTTTTCTGATGGTGTTCGCAGATACCACGCACAATCAACTGCTTGGGCGAATTTCGGGCTGGTCTACCAGACGAAATCACCAGCGCATTGGCAACGCAACCTCGTCGGTAGGGTTTTCCGTCAACAGTCTCAACAGTCTTTTACAAGTTATGTTTGCTGATATCTGCAGCTCATTGAGACCAGACAACATCACAGCAGTTCTCGAACGAGGCCAATCGCTATGGAACTCCATCTACCGGCCGTTCGAGGTGAAGCTAGTCGAGAAGCTGGCCCTGTCGCATCCAGACCTGCCCATTCACATCCTCGAAAGCGAATACGGCAATCTCTTTTCGGACCCGCAAAAACCACCCAACGGGGCAGTCCCCGCCAAAGTCGGCCGGGTGCTGACCTCCATCGTGGCTGTCGCCTGTCTCCGGGCGCAAACAGGGGTTGGTCCGCAGGTGGTCTCGCACATTTTTGGCCTGAGGAAGGCCTACGAAGACGGAACTTACAAGGCGGAGGGCGAGGGAGGAGATCCAAGGCGGAGAATGGCTGGCGAGTAACGAGGGGAGCATCTGGCTGCTGGAGATGGTCGATCGGATCGTCGAGGCGATCGGGGGAGGACGAGGGACGAGTTTTGCTCCGGGTTGGGGGCGAAGTTGTAGCAGGGAACCATATGTATCTGTACATAAATTAGACGATTATGAGCCAGTTTGTAAATATAAAAATAAAAAATAAAGCACTGTAAAGCAATACTCTCGGAGTTTGTCATCTGATAAATATAACTAAGTTAGTTAACTGGTTAAAGCCGCTGCTTTACGTAATTAATTAATGCACTCCACTTAATGCGGGGATTGCCCGATCGCTCGAGCGGATAACGACCGCATTTCCGAACCGAGCTCCGTAGTAGACAGGTAGAGCAACAATAAATAGGTAGGTAGCCCAGAGGGCCGTAGTCTAGCTGCAGTTATAACTAAGTACAGCACATACTTATATAGCGTTCGATGGCATTGCATGTACAGTACACTTTTAGACCTGCGACCAACTTACGGCAGTAACTACAAACCATGGCCAAAGCATTCCCATTTCATCATGGGACCACCACCACTACCTCGACTTTCTTCTTATCGCAATGCAGGATATTACTCTCAAAAGGAAGAGGCAGCAGCAGCAAGAGCATAAATGCCCGATTGGTACCGATCCGTCGGTTCCAGACGACGACGGTCACGTTCCTGGCACGGCCAGCAGATCAGGTGACGGAGCGCAAGAGAGGTGGCAGCAAACTATACAAGAGCGCAGATGACGCCGTAGCCGATCTGAAGAGCGGTTCTGTCGTTTTGAGTTCGGGCTTTGGACTCTGCGGGACAGCAGGTACCAACCAACGGAACAAACCCTTGACAAGTTGAATCTGCCCTGCTGACTTCTCCTAGAAACCCTCATCGCAGCCATCCGCCGCCGAGGCGTCAACTCGCTAAACAACCTAACAGCCGTGTCCAACAACGCCGGCGCAGGCACCGCCGGGCTCGCGTCGCTCGTGCAGTCCGGGCAGATCGCGAAATGCATCCTGTCGTATCTGGGGAACAACAAGGATCTGGAGAAGAAGTACCTATCGGGGGAGATTGCCATCGAGCTGTGTCCGCAGGGCACGCTGGCGGAGAGGCTGCGGGCAGCGGGGGCTGGGATTCCGGCTTTTTACACGCCGACTGGTGTTGGTAAGTCAGCCCCTTTTTTGACTGTACTGTACTGTGGTGTAATGTACGTACTGACTGACGACGCAGACACATACGTCCAGACGGGCGACATTCCCGTCCGACTTGGTCGAGCCGCGGACGGCTCCGGCACTATCACGTTAGAAAAGGGCCCAGTCAGGGAGACGCGAGTCTTCGACGGGAAGAAATACAACATGGAGACTGCACTGAAAGGCGACGTGGCCATCCTCAGGGCTTGGAAGGTCGACGAAGCTGGGAACTGCGTATTCCGGTAAGCCAGACAATCCAACACAATCCAACACAGTCCAACTTCTCGACAGCAATCACTGAGAGGGACTACAGCTACGCGACAAAAGCGTTTAGTCCGCTCATGGCAAAAGCCGCTCGATTGGCGATCGTCGAGGCAGAAAACATCGTGCCTGTCGGAGCCATCGCACCCGACGAGGTCGACTTGCCCGGCATCTTCATCGATCGGATTGTTCCCGCTACGGAGGAGAAGCATATCGAAATCAGGAAGACGCGTTCCGCTGCTGGCGAACCGACAAAGGAGGACGCAGCCAAGCCAGAAGCCCTTGTTCGGAGAGAACGGATTGCCAGGAGGGCAGCCAAAGAGCTCAAGGACGGCTACTACGTGAACCTGGGCGTGGGCATCCCGACTCTGGCGCCGTCCTTCCTGTCGCCGGACGTGAAGGTGTGGATTCAGTCGGAGAATGGGCTCCTGGGCATGGGTCCCTACCCGACGGAGGACGAGGTCGATCCGGACATAATCAATGCTGGCAAGGAGACGGTCACTCTGCTGCCGGGCGCGTCGACGTTTGACAGCTCCGAGTCGTTTGGGATGATCAGGGGAGGACACATCGACGTGTCGATTTTGGGGGTGAGTAGAAAGACAATGAGAAAGAGAATTTACAGTCGTGACTGATCGCTAATTTTCACAGGCACTGCAAGTCAGCGCCAACGGTGATCTGGCCAATTACATGATTCCAGGAAAGGTAGGAAAAAACACCATACCCATAAAACAACGACAGGTTCATTCCCTAACCGATGGATATACAGGTCTTCAAAGGAATGGGCGGAGCAATGGATCTGGTTTCCAACCCAGACGAGACCCGCATCGTCGTCGCTACCGAGCATGTCAACCACAAGGACGGGTCGCCCAAGATCCTCGAGGAGTGCACGCTGCCTCTGACGGGGGCACGGGTAGTCAGTACCATCATAACTGATCTGGTCAGTCCCAACCTGTCTCGTGCTGTTTGATTGAGATTCGCTCGCTGACTCGATGATTAGTGTGTCTTCCAAGTCGACCGCGTCAACGGTGGACTCACGCTGACCGAGCTGGCGCCGGGCGTCGACGTGGACGAGGTCAGAGCGAAGACGGGGGCTAAGTTCCGGGTTGCAGATAATTTGAGGAGCATGGAGTAGATAAACCTGTGCGCAGATGTACTGTATATACGGGACAGTTTGGAAGTATAGTCATATCAGCCTGCATTGATTCGTGAACGTGTTACACTGGAGTAAGGAAATCAGGTGGCATCTCGAGAATCAGCTGACTGGACAAAAGCAGACCAGCTCGACGTGCCATACAAACATCAAATTAGAATCCTTATTCAGTCTTAGAGATATAGCAGGGACATTATTCAGTTCAGAGATACAGCAGGACAGTGTAAAGATATAGATAGACTACATTATACCCTTTTCACCACACATCCATTCAATCTAATACAATCTTTTCATTCAAACCCTACACTCAACAAAACAAGCCCTATCCTATCCACATCCACAGCCAAAACAAACAAAACCAATCCCCTCACGCACATCCTCCTCAAGTACATACATATCTCCAACCCTGACTAGGTCTACTACCGAGTAGTGTCTACCTCGTAGTATACCCACCATTCGCAAAGATCGTCTGCCCAGTAATCCAAGCCCCCTCGGTACAGAGGAACCTGATAATGGGCGCAATGTCGCCGGTCAGGGTGAGCCGGCCGCCCATGCCATTGGACTTGTGGAACTCGACGGCTTCGGGGGTTTCTTGGGGGTAGAAGAAGGCTGGAAAAAAAAGTGATCAGTGGACTAAGTATGACTTTGTAAGGTATGTAGGTATGTATGGATGCACTCACGCGTATCCATCGGCCCCGGTGCCACAGCATTACGCTGATCCGTCGGGATTGCAGTTCTTTGCACACGCCCCTGATGGAATCAATCAGCAAGCAGATCGATTAAATACAACGAAGTCCTTATTTGAGTTGGAACGCACCTCGTAAATGCTCCACAGGAGCCTTACTCCCAGCATACGAAGTATAAAAGCCCGTAAAAGCGCCCAACAGCGCGGTAACGATGGTAATAATCTTCCCGCCGTCGGTGACATGGATAGCAGCTTCTTTGAGGATGAAGAATGCTGCCTTGGAGTTGATCCTGCACCGTCTTGCTCAGCTTCTATATCATATATATAAAAAAGACTATGGCAGCACTCACGCAAACATAGTATCATACTCCTCCTCACTAATCTGCGTAATGGGCTTTGAGGACTTTACCGATGGTGTTGACCACGATGTCGATCTTCCCGAAATCCCGCAGGACGTCCTGGAAGAGCTTGCTGACCGCCGTCGCGGTGGTCAGGTCCCCTGATAAAAGACGACTTTGAGCAAAGGGTATTTCTGCTTCAGCTCCGCCTCGAACTTGATGGCGTCGTTCTTGGTGCTGGCGGAGTTGTAGTGCAGGGCCAGGCTGGCGCCTACGCTGGCCAGTTCGCGGGCGATGTCGGCGCCGAGGTTCTTTGCGCCGCCGGTGATGAGGGCGACTTTTCCTGAGAGAGCGGCCATTGTAACAGGCAATCAATTTGATTGAAACAGTAAAGTATAAAGTAAGTATCCTTTCTGAGAATTCAATAAATTGAGTTGGAAAACTCTCACAACTCTGGGATAGATGCCCTCTTTATATACCTCTATACCTCTATGTAGTTCTAATGCCGTCATACCCTCGGCATCTGAACAAACGCCTAATCTAGAAACAGAGCGCTTCGCATACATGAACCTTGACCGAAACGTTACCTTGGCTCAAATTTAACTCAGGATGCGTTATCTGTATGTGGAATAGTAGATCATACTCCGGAGTAAAGCGCTGTATGCTGTATGCATGTAATCCGAAAACGGAAATGCTCTTCCCCAGCCAATCAGAGCATTCCATTAAACTCACTTTTTAAAGTTTCCTTGCGTTAACTTTGTAAGGAATGTGGATTGGTTTTAACCTGCTGATTGGCTCGTCTGGATTTAATACTAAAGCGGGCAATGAATAAGCTTAGGTATTGACCAATCATCGCTGTTCGTATTATCCATCGAGATTTACGGAGTATCTAATCTCTGCGGAGATGTGGAGATGAAGAACAATTCCAAGTGCTTGCATCATAACAATTATCAAGGTTTCTCCCAGACAAATCGCTTCTCATTGAACTGAGACAAACACGCAAGGCGAGGATCTCGACCTAGGACGCGCCAAGGAAATGACCGGGGTTTGGATCAGGAAGCGGTACCCCCGGGGCAAAGGTCGCCCCAGGGAAGTAGAGCGACGACCCATTAAGGAATGCCGCATTGCGATCAATCCAGATGACTATTCGGCGAAGGAGACCGTCCAGGCCCAGCGACTCCAGCCCCCCACGTAGACTGACCATGCGGGCCAGGCCCTGCATATGCAGGTTGTAAGTATCCAGCGTCCCGAACATGGCCTCGTAGCTGGCCATCTTGGCCACTGCTCCGATGAGTGCGTCGTCCGGAACCTCGCCTTGCTGGGCAAGGGCTTCATTGATGGCCTGCACGCTTTGTATCGCAGCCGCAGAAGATCCAGTCTGAGAGCACTAGAACTACCGTTCACGAAGACGTAATTTGACGCCGCAAGCAGGATGATCACTAGGAACAAGGCCTGCTGGCTTATCACCAGGGGAAACCACCTCGTTCGAAGCAGGCCACGGTTACCGGGCTGGTCGAGCTCGGGAATATCCACGGCCATTGTCGTAAGGTCTGTAGAAGGTTAGCAGTAGCCACATGTACATACAGTACAGTAGATATATCTTTAAAGACAACACGCACAATAATCGACAAGAGGTGCAAACACCGGCCTCCACACAGGATACGATCGAAAAAGATCAACCCGAAACCCGCCCAGCAGGCGAGGAATAGGCTGCAATACCGCGTGCGAAGCTTGATCCTCTTCTGACGGATTCATCTCAGCATTCAGATTCAGCGCAGCGCAATCCAACTCTATCCGGATCGGGAGAAACTGCTCTCGTCTCCTTTTCCTAGCTGCTTCCTTCCTGGCGTGGTGGCTCTGCCATTGGTAGCGGGTTACATGGGAACGCACGGCGGGGTCTTTGCCTGAGATACCGAATTCTTTGGGATTGGTGATGTTGACGAAGCGGGGGACGATCCGAGATGGTGGCATTTTCCACGAGGGTGAGATCTCGTGCAGGTGCAGGAGCGTTAAGGATGTCCTCCTAGTCGTGGTATTTCTCCACTTGTGCGAATAATCAAAGAAATGGTGTTGGTGGTAAGCCCAAGTGTGATCATACAGCTCAGCCCTCACTTTCTTGGTCAGCGATGTCGATCATCCGTCGTCCATCTGCATGTCATCGCCTTGAATGGACGCTGGAACTCCATCTTGCTGACTTTCGAGACTAGAGAGGCTGATATGTGATTCGCAGCAGTCAGGTACATAGCACATTTCATCAGTCAGGTATGGAGTCATTACAATGTCAGTTCATTGCTGCATGGATACAAGATAGTATATTTGGGCAACTCGAATATCTCTTGCAGCGACATGACTGCCCACAAGACGGCATATTTGTCACTAAACTCACAGAACGAACTATCCCCCAACAATCATCTTCTGACTGACTCCTGGTTCTCTCAGGCTCTGTTTGACAATGGCTACAAAGTCAATCAGTACTTTTATTTTCAAGAAGTATGCAATATCAAAGACATCCATTCTGTGCAGTCGCTATATGGAACTGTTATCTTAGCCTTTACCATCGTCCAGGCTTCATCCCAGGATATTCAGGTTCTGGAGACAGAGGATACTAGATCGGAAATCCTTGGAGGAACCCGGGCATAGGCACAAGATCAACCATTATGAAGGAGTACTGTTGGACTATTACTGAAACTTAAAATGTTACTCCTAGGGCAGCTAACTAGAATCAGCCGTGGTCCAGACCACCTTCCCCGAAGCATCCAGAATCTCAATCCACGGCGCTGCATTCAAGCAATTCATCGTCTTCCCAACCCCAGCCGTGCCAGTGCTCCACAGCGGCGTGTTGTTATAGTACGTCACCAGGTTCCCATCACCCTGGAAACTCAGATGACACAAGCTGGGGCTACCGCAGCCTTGCGACACGGTGTGGCCCGACGCCCACACGGGGACGTAGTCCCCCGTTGACGTGTTGTACACGACGACATTGCTGTCTCCCTGGTACTGCATCACGATGTCGCCGTGCAGCGTCGCAAAGGGGGCCGAGTCGGAGACGATATTGAGTCCGTTCGCTTCGTAGGTCTGCTCGCTGGGCAAGAGGCCGGTCGTGCAGATGAAGTTGGTTGCGTTCTGTGTCGCCTGGACGAATCCCGACTGGAGGTCGGTGGTCCCCGTGAGGCCGGGAGGATAGTATACCAGATCGGCGTTTTCGTTGAACAGCGTCTTGATCTCAGCGCTGCAGGTAACGGCGTCTGCGAATAAGGATCTGGGCTTGGTGACTTGAGAAACATCGTTGCCGGTGACCTGACAGTTTTCCTACGTCAGCTGAGTACTGCTGTACTATGAGGAACCGATCTCACCGTAAGACCACCGGTCCACCCGTTGATGGCAATCGGAAACGTGATATTGCCAGCAAATCTGTTGTTTGTGATCGTCGCCGGCCCAGACAGGAAGAACGGGTCGTTGAAGGACCAGACGTACGCGCCGATGGAAACGCCGACGCTGAAGAGCTTTTGGCCGGTGATGACGTTGTCAGTCACAAGGACGTTGGCATAGCTGCCGCCGTACAGGTTGTCGACCATGTTGATGGCGCCAAAGCCTTTGTTGGTGGCGGAAGAAGTGATCGTATTGCCGGTTACGGTGGTGCCGGGAGCGCCGAACAGGACGATTCCTCCGTCAGTGCTGCCGGTGATCTATAAGCGTCAGTGAGAGCCAACAGGCAAGGAATGGAAACACTTACCGTGTTATTCGACACGATCGAGTTGGTACAAGCAAACGAAATGCCATCAGCCCATTGACCATTACCCGCTGCGTTAGTGCCCTCTTCACCACAGGGACCGATCTCATTATTAGAAACAGTAGCATTGGTGCAGGGCTTGCTGTCATCGCCAGACTGGATGATATGAAGACAGCTCCATCCGCGGGGGTTTTTGGACACGATATTCGAGACAACCTGGCCGTTGCTGGCACCACCGATTTCGATATTGGCACCGCCACCTATCCCAGTCAGCATCTCGTTGAGACAGAATAAGAGATCATAACGAGATCACAGCATACCAACCACCATCCCATTGACAGGCCTCGTCCCATCCAGCTGGATGTTCTTGATACGAATGCCATCAAACGAGTTCCCCGAAATCAGCGTGCTGACATTGCTGCCCGAAGCCACTTGGATGGTGGCGCGCATCTCGTCGGTGGGATAGCCCTCGGTCGAGATCTCCTGGTCATTGGCCGTGAAGCTGATCGACTCCGAGATGGAGATGACCGCTCCAGGGCAGAGCTGGACGACTGTTCCGGCGCCACCTTGCTGGAACGCGTTGTTGATGGCGGTCTGGTCGCCGGAGGAGATGCAGGCTGCAGCTGCGAGGGCGAGAAGGGAAGAGAACGAAAGGAGGGGAGAAATCAAGGGAGCCATTGAAAAGAACGAGCGCTTTTAAACAATCATTAAAGAAAGAAAATGTCGAAATATATATGCACAGTTTAGAAGGAAAGAGTGTTAGGCATGTACTTGAAATATGTATGTATGTACCTAGGTAGGTAGATAAGTAGGTATTATAAACAGAACAATCTCATCCCAGATTTAGTACAGAGTATACAGTTAATATATCCTCCACGACAGCAACAGACAACAAGAGAAGAAAGATCTCAAATTATATAAAACAACACAGAAACGAAAAATTGAGAAAGTGGGAAAGAAAAAGAAGAAACAAGCCACCACCTAATTGCCCATGTTTCACCATCCAAAACAAGAATAAGAAAATAAGCAACAAGAAATGCCAAATCGAGTTAAAATTAATTTAATTTAATGTTAAGCGGGTCAGAGGATTCCGTCCAGGGGGAAGTCATCTTGTGACAAGTTGTGACTGTCAGGGGTTGTTTGGTGGAGAAAGTTTCTAACTAAGCGTCGAAGCCGACTTGGCAGATCTAGGTCGGTGTTACCTTAGCTGGAAGGTAACATTATTCAAACTATAATGAGGTCTCTACATAACCTACCTATGCTTAATTTGCTGCATACCGGAGTAACTACATACGGAGTAATCATATGCATGTATGCATATACATGCATGATTTATGTAGGTGTTTCTGGATTATGTATTACTGTCATTATGTACAGTACTACTGCTATCCCGAAATTGAATCATGCATGGCCAGGACAGACTACAGTGTATGACTTGAATGCAACAAAACTACGTGTACGTGTCCCTAGTTAGGCATGTAGCTAGGTAAACTCGCCAGCTAAGCGAGCTTGTCAGAGTCAGACGCATTGGTAATAATCAAACCTATGTATGTTTGTACAGTCAGCAGATGTACAGTCAGCAAACCGGAATTAGTGAGCAGTGGGCATAGATGCTGAGACGTGAGATTTTAGTATGCCGCCCCTGGCTTCTACTCCGTATTAATAATAACGCTATGCTATTCTCATAGATAAAATCTAAGTAGATCTCAGCAGGAGGAACAGATGCTTCGACAGCATTAATAAGCCTGAAATCTCATGACATAATTAAGTCGCCAAGCCCATGTAGTCAAGCACAATGCCATAACTATATCCCTGCAGTTCTATAAGCGTCAGTCTCTGTCTTAATTGCAAGCCAATCATTTTTCTTCCAGGAATGCAGAATGCGGGGAAAACGCGGAGAGCACGCGAAGTCACGTGATGGCTCGGGCCCAGCAGCCGACCGACGCTTCGGGATCCATCTCCCACCGGCGTCTGGCCGATAGGATCGCCGTCACGTTCGGGCCAGCCATCCTGCGTATATACGCCTCCTCTGAAAGGAAGAAATTCTCTTTCTTGCCAGCATGGATGGTGAGTCCTTCACCCTCCCTCTCCGCCCGCTGGTGGAGAAAGGCGGCAAGAAAGACACCCTGCCCGTGCGGATAGCCCAGATCAACGCCCAGCGCGGATCCTTTCGCGACGTCACCGAGGAGAGCTTGCAGGCGGAGATCGAGGCGCGTAAAGAACGAGGCGCCGAGTTGGAAGAAGAAGAGGAGGAGGAGGAGAAGGAAAAGGCTGTTGAAGAGAAGAAGCCCCCGGAGCTGGACGCTACCGAACGCCATGAGCTGCTGTACAAACGTCGTGCAGAGATCATTCAATTCGCGGCGTAAGCTTGGTTCTGAGATCTGTTCCAGGAAACTTTCAGTTCAGTTGGCTGACGACAAGCCTACAGCCAAGCTCACATGGAAGCGATTTTCGCATTGGACTTCATTTCCCTCCTCCTGTCGAAACACATGCCCCGTCAGGCCGAGACGTCCATATCTCCTCACTTGAAGCAGAAGGTCCCGCTAGGCTCGCTGAACGTCGACGTCATCAAGACCCCAGAAAAGTCCGCTTCTGCTCAGCGAGATACAACTACGGTCGCGCGCGGATGGAGGCTGGAGAGCTTCAATGCGGCGGCCAACAAGCTTCTGAAAGCTGCGTCCCGACTCGAGAACGAGGTCGCCGCAGAAACCAAGTACTGGGAGGAGGTGCTAGCAGTGAAGGAGAAAGGTTGGAAAGTGTGCAGACTCCCAAGAGAACGGCAGGCGCTGGGTGTGCAGTACGGGTTTTTGGAAGGTCAGCCGTCTTGAAAACTCGGGTAAAATCCGCAAATAACTGACTGATGGCCGCAGCTACGCCTACTTTCCGCGACCGAGGCCTCGCGTCCTTGCGGCGAGCCGACGACGGCAGTTTGGTATTGGACCGGGGTCTGGCACCATCCCGACCCCGAGTCGTGCGTATTCGGGTGAAGAAGAACAACCAGGTTACTGGATGCTCAAAGTTGTCGCAGTTCATGGCCGCTGCCGACGACTCGATCGAGAACCGCATTCTGCGGTCCCGAGATATACTGTTTGAGGAGGAACTCTTTCACGAACTTACTCGGGAGGCGCGCATCCTAGCCAGCTCGGGCGTCACCACACGGCGGAACCTGATCCAATTCGAGTTCAGCGAAGGAGAAGAAATTCTCTTCGATCTCGTGGACTTGGACGATGTTCCGGACGAGGCGGACGTCACCTATCGGACTCCAGAGCACGATACCCTTGCCGAAGCGGTCGCTCATGCCGTCCGTATTCTGCTGTCATATGCACACCGACAGAACCTGCAGCGGCGGACGCAGATTCCGCCTCCCCTGACGACGAAGAAACGACCTGTTCCAGAGTATCAACTCCTACGACCGATCCTTGCCTACCTGCAGCACAGCTCGCACGTGCAGTCATTGCGGTCCTTCTTACGGGATCTTTACCGGATTCTCAAGTCAGCGGGCCTCAAATCCGAGTACACCGCTGCTCCGTTTGCCTCCCTGGATCTGTTGCGCAAAGAAGGCCATGCGTCCGCAGTCGAATCATTAGTAAAACACTTCCTCGACCCTCTCGAGTCCAGATTTTCGGGAACCATGGCCAACCAAACCAGCACCTTTAATGCCAAAGTCCGCACGAACCTGTCTGGTCCATCCCTGGGGACGGAATACGAGTTCTCGATCCGTCTACCCAACTTCCCCCACACACAGCCGCCATCACGCGTCGGACTGAAAGACGAGGTCGAGGCGGTAATACGGCATCTGATCACGCTCGATCTAACGACTTTTATATCGTCGATCTCCAAGAATGCCTCCAACGCCAAAGCTGCTGCTGCTACTACTCCTACATCCGATAAACTGTTGGTGTGGGAGGCGCCATTCGCTCACCATGGCGAACTCGTCGCGCTCTCTCCATCCACCCAACGCACCAAGAAGCTGTCCCTGCATCTGTCGCGGACCGAACTGACTCTTCGGACGAGCTGGCTCGGAGACGAGTCTGTAGGGGGTGTGGATGATGGACAGAGACAGGCGGGCAAGCTGTTGTATTCGTGGACGCTCGATGATGCGGACAAGCCTGGAAGAAAGACGCTGGAGGAGGTGATTGCGGAAGCATCCAGAGATGAGGAGGTCAAATCAGAGGCATGATGGTTGCACACGCCGAACGGGTTTGGAATGACCACCATAATGACAGGATTCGGTGTCCTAATACCTATCCTGATACTTAATGTATGCATGAAAAAATGAAGATACCCAATAAAATAAAATAAGAATAGAGATAGACCTGGTTCGAAATCTCTCTCTCGTATCTTAGCGTTATTAAACATGATATATCGAATATAAGGACAGGACAGGACAAGTCAATAAGGGTATTTATTGATTGCTCCACAAAAGGGGGGGAAAAAAATAAGGTTCCCGAGAAAAGAAGTCATGGAGATCCCGAAATTATTGCGATAACGATCCAAAAAAAAATTGCTGGCAATTGCAAGTCGCCATATACCTCTGTAAACAAACCTAGGTAGGTACGCCGTGTCTAGTTTCGACCTTCCAATTCAGCCAACTCGTCCAGAAGTTGCACCGTTTCAGTCGGACTGGCGATCCAGGCCGTTGTGCATGCGAGTCGAGCCTAGCCGAAAAATGTCAGTAATAAGAAGAAGAGAGGGAAGAGTAAGGCAAACCTTGAAATCATTGGCACCAGCAGACAGGAATTGATCGCCGACATGCAGCGTCATGGAAGGGTCAATTCCGCCAAAGTACCGCTGGCAGGCTCGAACGCCCCATGACTTGTCGCCAATGTCGACGAAGACGTCGTTCCCACCTAAATACATGTAATTAATATATAGAAATAAAAGAAATCTGGAGATAACGCACCGTTAAATGCGCAAAATGGTAGCCGTCTGCCTACTTCCGACTTCTCTACCATGCTCTGGACCACCAGAACCGTCTCCTCGAGCTGCTCGCGGTGCATCTTGTGCCCGTCCAGGGGATAGATGCCCACCGCTCTCTCCTTCCTCAGGACTGCCGCGGGCAGGTTCAGGTTGCTGACGCACTCGCGGAGCGACGCCTCGGCCACGTCGAGCAGCTCGGTGATGTCCTCGTCCCGCCAGAGTCGCATTTCATCCAGCATCCATTCGCTGCGCTCCACGTACGTCAAGAGGTCTGGAGAAGATTGATTGTATCGGAATAGGAAATTGCTCTCCCCTCCCAGCACGACCAGGCCGTTCTTTTGCTCGTCCGTCAACCCCGGGTGGCTGCTCACGGCGTCAAGGAGGCCCTTCAGGCGGCCGTAATACTTGGATGCATCCGTGTAGCCTGCTGCCGTCACGATTCCCACCTTTTTCCCTTGCTGCAGGAGGCGGATCAGACGTGGAATCACCGGGCTCCCATCCAGCAGGCAGCAGCCATCTTCATAGAGCGTCACGTCACCGTCGAATGTCACCAGTCGGAGTTTGCTGCGGCGGATGAGCCCCATGAGCTGGGCAGTATTCAAAGTCAAACGGATATCATTAAATGATGGAGCCACAAAACGCCGTTTGCTAATAAACCGACGCTGGTCCTGGTAGATAAATGCCTCTTCGAGCATGAGAGGAGTAAAGAACGTCCCCACTGTGGGAACAAGCAGCTTCAATTTGGACTTTCCCGGGCGTCCGGCTTTTTCATGTTCAACTAGAGCAAATTGTCAGAGCAGGCAGCTATTGTGGAATTGGCTTACGGGGATTAGTTTACTGTGATCGTTGACAAGCTGTTCCACATCGCGCATAATCTCCGCATAGCGTTGATGCGTAGCTCTTGCTACTTCTGCCAGTTTGGCGCTCTCCTCGTTAAAGATGGCCGTAGGCTGCGAATGCAGCACGAACGGAACGGCGAGCAATCCCTAAGACAAGACAGCTCCATTAGGTTGTGTGACCAAAGGCAGCAAGATTTCGTTTGCTCCGTCCCAAGGTCCAGTGTTTGGAAGAGAAGCAAGCCTACCTTGATCCATTCGATCTAGATGGATGCTGATTAGCAGACGGGAACGGCATGCTTAAATAGAGATAGACAGGGCTTGCACCTACCAATTGATCGCGACGATGAGACTGGCGGCATCAGACAGGCAGGGATGTCAGTCGTGACAGGTGTTCTCGCCGGACGACCAAGAGGATGGAACGAACGAACCTTGAGGGCGTCTACAGCAAATCAACACAGAGCAATCGTATAACGGTGAAGCTACTTACATTCCACGCGATAACGAGTCGTCATGTTTGTTGATGCCTGGAGCTAGCCAACCTTGATAGCTCCGGGGGCTGAGAGGAGGGAGAGAGCAGGGATGAGCGCGGTCATTAATTAGCGGCAGTCTCTGGCGGTATCGAAGACGACAAGCTCAAAGGGCTGAGTCTAGATCGGTGTGGACAAACACGCGATGATTTGGCATGGGCGTGGGGGAAACATGCACGAGCGAGAGCGGTGAAGGCTATGACGCATTGCCAGGCACCGCCTCGGTCATTGCGGCTGGAGATCAGCCTCCAACGTTATCACAGCCCGACGATATTATTCATCAACAGTGCACAGGAACCGTTAGCCCGATTGCTTTGCTTGCATGAAGCTTTCGTGGCTGCCTCTGGCCACGTGCCCGGTGTCATCCAGCTGCAACCTTGGCCGTCTGAGTCACGACGATCGTCGCGGTTTGCCCGGCCTCAGCTCGCAGTAAGGGCCCTCGAAAGGAAAGTCCATGGCTGCAAGACCGGCTTCGAGTTACCGTGAATGTTATCAATACGGCGGATATGCGGCATTTATCCGTCTTTCTATCTAATACCCGATCTCTTAGGGAGCCTCTCGAGAAGGTCCCACGCGCCTGCAGTACTCATACTTCATCATTCTGACGACGTCAGGATGGTGCGCTTGTCAATTTGCTTAGTCTGTGTGACTGCATTGACAGAGATTCTATCGCCAATTCCTGGTAGACAGGCAGAAATATTGCTGACAGCAGATGGCGGTCCATATAAATAATAAGTGTATGTTACTCAGGCTTGCCCAGAAATCTTCCCTGTCCTCTTCTATGGTACACAATACACGACTCCCTTTTCTCGTGTACTTCAATCTGTCGCACTTGCTACACTATATACATTTATCGACTCAGTAAGATTTGACTCCTCCAATGACTGTTTCTAGCCTGCCTCGAGACCCTCGTCATCACCCGTCAGAAAAAGACATGAGTCATCCATTTTACTCCGTCGACTTTGATCTGCTCATGAACAAGAAGCCTGGTAAAGGAGCATCTGCGGTCTCCTCTCAGAGACCGTCTCCGTTGGCCATGGATCCAGAGAATGACGGGTCGTCGTGGAGGGATGACACCGAATCGCTGTCAGACTACTCCGACAAAGCTCCTCTGCTGTTTCCCTCGAGATCTGGTGAGCCAGGCCTGGCAGACGAACGCCTCCTTTCCCGCGGTCTCCAGGTGCCTTCCAAGTCGTCTCTACTCACGTCTGGCTTCGAATACCCGGCCGTGCTGGCAAACTACCATGTCTCGGAGGATGACTGGGCCCGTTTCACGCGCGAAATTACCGAAGGAGCGAAGCTGTCCGCCCGGCAATGGAGCACTGTGATCGGCTCTGGGCTGGGCACGTTGGTTATCGGCGGAATGATGGTGGGATTCTTCAGCCCCGTCCCGGCCGTGATGGTAGCGGCAAAGACGCGACAGTCCAAGGAGATGAAGAATCTCGCTGCAGCCGTGGCAATGGGGAGCGAGTCGACCCTCCCTCGGAGGATCAAAGAGTGGAATGAATCCTTCTTCAAGCCCCGGGGTGTCATGATCCGCGTGGATCTGCCCTACCAGACCGAAAGCTTGGAAGAGATGGACGTCTGCCCGACTTCACCATCCTTGTTTTCGCTGTCCGGGCGGATATCATCCTGGAAGAATGACGAGGACTCTATCAAAAAGAAAGCGTCGCGTCGGGGAAGGATCGTAATCATCCCGCTCGAGGGACGATCTCCGTCGCAGCTGAGCCGATCGTCCACATTGGTTGATGAGCCGTCACAATAACGCTGATTGCGTTGAAAAACATTTGATGGAATGTCACCCCATTGCTAATATGCGATATTACTTCGATAGGGAACGAGTCACTGTTCGGGAGCAAAGGAGGCAGTTTGTCATGTCTCGAGATCTATTCTTGAATTTTCTTACATCTCATGACATCTTGGAATTATCTTGAATATTGTCTTATGTCATTTTGCTTTTCTTTTTTTTTTATTTTGTGCCTCATATCTCCTTTATTTTAATTTATCTTATTTTAATATCTTTTTCATATGACCCCTTTTTAGTACGGCCATCTGAGATTCGAACTTGCTTTTGCATTTTCTTTTTAGAGACAGCTCGTGAAAATGTCTCTAACAAAAGCTTGCTTTTCTGTTGCCCTTTCCTTTTACTCTATGAATGGATTTGAATTGCGCATTACTTACACGCACTCAAAGAAAGGATACAATTATTGTGATAGGTAGTTGCCGAATCTATTCTTACAACCAGTGCAATTTACACGAAGTATACAGTTTAGCAATAACGTAATCCACCACCGAGCTGCGCGGACCACCGAGCTGCGCGGCCACCACCTCGGCCACCCCCTATCATCGGATTTATCGCGATTTACCAACGCACCGCGTCATGGCTGATATATCAAAAGAAGGGCGTATGCAATTAGCACTTGAAGCCTATAAGAAAGGTCTTTTTCCATCAAAAACTGCAGCTGCCAAAGCTTTTGACGTGCCTCCAAGGACCTTTATGACACGCGTTAATGGGACTACTGCTCGCAAAGATTCAACTGCAAATTGTCGCAATTGACAGATACTGAAGAATCTACACTTTCAGCATGGATTCTTGATATGGACCGACGTGGTTTACCTCCACGAATATCAACAGTACGCTATCTAGCGCAATTGTTGCTTTCTGCGCGGTTATCTTCACCTCAAGAAGCTTCTATTGGGGAGAACTGGGTAAACCGGTTTATCAAGCGCCATAAAGAACTTTGCTCTAAATACAGCCGAAAGTACGATTATCAGCGAGCTAAATGCGAAGATCCAGAGCTTATTAAGGGCTGGTTTACACGGTTTCATGATGCTATTCAGAAGTATGGGATCCTTGAGCAAGATATCTATAATATGGATGAGACTGGCTTTCAAATGGGTGTGATATCAACTGCCAAAGTTGTCTGCGGTTCAGAGACAAGAGAAAGTCATGCAAAGACTATACAACCTGGAAACCGCGAATGGGTTACTGCAATTGTAGCAGTGAATGCAACTGGATGGGCCTTGCCTCCACAGATTATTCTTGCTGCAAAGAACCATCAATCCCAATGGTATAAGGTTGTCCCAAAGGATTACCGAATCAGCACCAGTGAGAATGGCTGGACAAATGATGAATTAGGCCTTGAATGGCTTCAAGAGATGTTTGAAAAGCATACAGCTTCTCGTACTGTTGGGAGATATCGCCTCTTGATTCTGGATGGTCACAGCAGTCATGCTACAGCAGGATTTGATAAATTCTGCACAGAAAGGAATATTATTCCTTTATATCTACCACCACATTCATCACATCTGCTTCAACCACTTGATGTAAGCTGCTTCTCGCCACTGAAGCGCCTGTATGGCCAGAAGACTGAGGAGATGATGCAGAATGGAATCCATTCAATTGATAAGGAAGACTTCCTCTATATCTATCCTACAGTCCATCAACGTGCTTTATCCTTATCAAATATTCAAAGCGGATTTGCAGCAACTGGCCTGGTTCCATTATCACCTGAAAGAGTGCTTTCGAAGCTTCATATCCAGTTGAAAACACCAACACCACCTTCTACAGCACATAGCAATCAATCTTTTAATGGCCCAGGCAAAACTCCAGCTAATATATGTCAACTGGACCAGCAAAAGAAGCGAATTCAACATCTCCGCAGTCATCAAACAGTGTCTCCTTCCACACTGGAACAGGCAGTTGATAAGGTGATCAAAAGCGCAGAGATCACCATGCAGAATGCTATCCTATTGCAGCAAGAAGTTAATCAACTTCGTGCAGCAAATCAGCGTCTAAAAAGGAAGCGAGAGGCATCAAGATACTTTATAGCAACTGGTGGTAGCTTGACAGGTGCTGAAGGACAGCAAAAAGCTCAAGAGCATGAGGAGCAACTACAGGAATCATCTAGACCACGGACTCGAAGGCCACCAAGATGCAGTAATTGCAATCAAACAGGCCATAATCGGCTTAAATGCCCTAGTAAACAGTCTCCTTCTTTATATAGTCAAATTCATTAAATTTGGTTGCAAAATGCTTCAAGATTTACGGTTGTGTTGGTGGTTGAATTTTTTTCTCGGGGACCGCGCAGCTCGGTGGTCCGCGCAGCTCGGTGGTCCGCGCAGCTCGGTGGTGGATTACGTTAGAATTTGGCAATGCGTGGAGCAGTAGACGCAAGTGGATCTCAAGCCCAGGCGCATCGGGATATAGATACACCACAGTACAGTACCATGTAACTTCGCATCAAATTAGTAAGTAGTCACGAGGATTCCAACCAGGTGAATGGTGAATAATTAATTAATTAATTAATTAATTGGAGGGGCAGAGCGGAAAATGAATATAAGAAAAAGCCTGCGAGGAACACAGCAAGAGTCTATACGAGAGGACGAGAACCGGAGGGACCATTCCCGAATAGGAAAGGCCAACTAACCGGATCGGGTCGACCCGGGTGGCCAAGGACGTTTAAACGGGAAACCGTCTTCGCCATAGACAGTCATCTCATCGTTCTTCGCTGACGTCAATTGGGGAAAATGCCCTCTTATACAATCCTTCTCAGGATTATCATTATATAACAATAATGCCTGCCATATGAGAATGGCCATAGGACCTCTGGGTAATGGTTACGTCAGTCATCAACCGGACCTCTACGGCCATTAGGCATCGAGATAAAAAAAGGAAATGAAGAAAAGAAAAAAAAAAGAAGCCCCGCACCAGCTGCGGAGGTGGGGCTTGGCCAGAAGAAAAGGTAGACAGTTTAACAGCTAAGTAGAATTCAGGATCCAAGAAATGCGTTGTCAATGCAGAATGGCCCCAGTAGTTCTGAAGAATGGAGCGACAGACGGGATTCCAATGGGGGAAACCATGGGTGGACTGGTTTGCAGCAGCGATCCAGGCACCTTTGTAGGCAAAATCACTGAGATAGATCCTCGACTTGCATTCTGTGGGAAAAAAGAGATGAATGTCGAAGCACAAATGACAGTGCCCGCTGGCAGCACGGTGCTGTCCAAGCCCGCCTATCGCGGCACGCTGGATTCTCGGCCAATCACAGCGCTGCACCTCCGGCAGGGACCACCGCTGCCAACACGCTCCTCTGCTGGAGACGCCCCTCAACGTCGTGACGCGATCCCGAATAGTTTGGTCAGGACCACAGCCTCAAGGCAGTGGTCTCCAGAACTCTTTTCCCGTCTGTTCTCACTGGTGGATCTGCCTGCTCACTGGCCCGGATCTCCATTCGTCGTTGTCGTCAGGCACGGTGCCTGCGTCTGCAGTCACGATGGCCGACGATGGAGGAGCATCGGTTTCTGCATCTCTTCCCAGCAGCCTGGCGGCATCACCGTTGTCGCCTCTGCCGACCGAAGCCCTGTCGCCTGTCAATCCTGAAGGGCAGTCGGCTCTCTCGCCGTGTTCCACTGCCATCCTGCAGTCCTCCATCTCAATGACCCCGCGATCCCTACCCGCTACCACCCCTCCTGTGCCGACAATCATGCCAGGCGTCATTGGGCGCCTTTTCCTCTTCGTCTTCCATGCTGTGCCCAGTTTTCTGTACTGGGTCATCACCTTTACCACCATCACGCTGCCAACCGGGCTGTTTACGCTCTTTTCCATGAGCCTGACGTTCACGATGAACTTTACGACCCTGTACGTTCTGCCCATACCCGTGCCTCAATTGGATCCAATGGAGATGGAGGGAGGACACAAAGGCGTCCGGCTAACTCGAATAGGTTGTTAATTGTCCTGGTCCTGATCTCGACGATCAGCTGGTTCATTCGTTATCGGTACTTGAACATGTACAGTCGTCTGCCCCCCGAACCGCAGCGAAAAGAACCCCAGATCGACCTGTTTCCCGATACACAGGAAGGGGACTCGAAGCCCGGATTGGCAAACTATCTGGATGAGTTCCTCAGTGCCATCAAGATCTTTGGCTATCTGGAACGGCCGGTGTTCCACGAATTGACCCGGACGATGCAGACCAGAAAGCTCATGGCTGGCGAGACATTGCTGCTGGAGGAAGAAAAGGGGTTTTGTCTGGTCGTGGACGGGCTGGTGCAGATCTTTGTCAAATCCATGCGGGGGAACAACATCAACACCGACGAGTCATTGGATGGCACCGCCGTCGAGTCCTCCGATGATGAAGACGAACCGAATCATGCCCAAGGTAACCAGGGATATCAGCTGCTGACAGAAGTCAAGAATGGTGCGCCCATGTCGTCGCTGTTCTCCATCTTGACCCTCTTCACCGAGGATATCAATCTGCGTCACACCGACGAGAGCGAGCCCAACGGCGGACCCCGGATGCCGGAGTCCATGCCCACCAGCCCGAGAGCGTTCGTGAGCCACTCTCGTCCAGTCTCGCGGGATCACCCCGATTCCGCTGGCCACGTGGATTCCTTGCCTACGGTCCCGCCTTTGAACCTGGAGGAGGAACACCAAACCAGTCCCAATCACCACGAACAGAGACAGTCGTCCAGGCATCGGAGAAAGGAGTCGGTCCATCCCGATATCGTGGCTAGGGCCTTGGTCGACACCACAATTGCAATCATACCGGCCAGCGCATTCCGGCGTCTGACGAGGGTGTACCCCCGCGCGACGGCCCACATCATCCAAGTCATCCTCACGCGTTTGCAGAGAGTGACGTTCTCCACCGCACACTCGTATCTGGGACTGACCACGGAAGTGCTCAGCATCGAGAAGCAGCTGAACCGATTCACCGCGTTCGACTTGCCCAACGATTTGCGGGGCGGTGCGCTCGATCGACTCAAGGACAAGTTCAGGCAGGAGAGGGAGCGTCTGGGCCCGGAGGAGGGATCGGAGGGAATCGCGCTGCACAACCCTTCGGCCGGCCGAAGACGGCGATCGAGCAGTTCCTTAAGAAAGGACGCCGCTCTTCAGGCCAAGATTGCCGCCTCCCGACGTCAGATCTCCTTAACCTCCTTCCCCGAACCATACGAAACGAGCGGTGTCAGCCCCGGAGACCTTCTGTCGACGATTCAGCTTTCAAGATACGGACCTCGTTACAATCAGCCTCCCAAAACTCCTCCACATGGACCGTCATCCCGGAGAACTCCTCTCGCTCAGTCAGAGCGTCCGCCGTTCCAGCCACCTTCCTACGACTCTCCCTTCCATCGGAAGGAGACTGTCGACGAGGATAGTCTGTTTCGAGAGTCCATTCTTGATTGTATGATGAAAGGGATTGGTCTGACTTCCAGCACCCGGGATGCGCTCCGGAAGAGCTACTCGGGCGAGGCGTCACCGAAATTGGTATCATACGATTCCCGGAAGCAAAAGGCTGTTTTCAACAACGCGTTCGGGTTTATCGATCCGTACGACGACGCTGATTCCGAGTCGATGATGTCTATGTCTGTAACGAGCGCGGGGGGAACTTCTCCTCTTCTCAATCTGAAGGAAGAACTGCGAAGCGAGATCGAAATCGTCTCGTTTCCCAAGGGCTCGGTCCTGGTGGAGCAAGGAGAGCGGAACCCGGGTCTCTACTACGTGATTGATGGCTTCCTGGATGTCGGGGTGCCCGTCGACGAACGGGGCGAGGATCTCGTAGGGTCGTCCCAGTCGGGCCGTCAACAGCCGCACGAAGAATTTTTCCCGCCTCTGAGACGGAACGCGACCAATACATCTCGCACGTCGAGCGCTGCGGACTCAAAACGGAAGAAGCAGTCTCGACGCTCGCTCTACCTGATCAAGCCGGGTGGCATTCAAGGCTACCTGGGGTCTGTCGCATCATATCGGTCATTCACGGATGTGGTCGCCAAGACAGATGTCTACGTCGGTTTCCTTCCACGAGCGGCTCTCGAACGGATCGCTGAGAGATATCCTATTGTGTTGTTGACGCTGGCCAAGAGGCTGACCAGCGTACTACCTCGTTTGATCCTGCACATCGACTTTGCTCTCGAATGGGTGCAGGTGGGCGCTGGCCAGGTGATCCACCACCAAGGAGATGAGAGTGACGCCATCTACATTGTGCTGAACGGTCGTCTACGGTCCGTTGTGGAAAAGCCGGATGGCAAGATGAGGGTGTTGGGGGAGTATGGTCAAGGAGAGAGCGTCGGAGAGCTCGAGGTCATGACTGAGTCTACACGGCCTGCGACGCTTCACGCGATCCGAGACACCGAGCTGGCCAAATTCCCTCGAACGCTCTTCAACAGCCTGGCCCAAGAGCATCCAGGCATTACCATCCAGATCTCGAAGCTCATCGCCCAGCGCATGAGAGATCTCGTCGACGATGCGTTGACGGAGAAGAGCGGCGCGCCCAGCGATGCCGGCACCATGAAGACGGCCACGTCCATCGTCAACCTCCGGACCGTGGCCATCCTTCCTGTCACGGCGGGCGTACCTGTCGTCGAATTCGGCAACCGACTTCTGAACGCGTTCCAGCAGATCGGAGTGACCAACGGAGTGACGTCGCTCAATCAGGCAGCGATTCTCAACCATCTGGGACGGCACGCGTTCAGCAAGATGGGCAAGCTGAAGCTGTCGCAGTATCTCGCCGATCTGGAGGAGAAGTACGGAATGGTGCTGTACATCGCAGACACCAGCGTCAACGCTCCGTGGACACAAACCTGCATCACGCAGGCGGATTGTATCCTGCTCGTAGGGTTGGCAGAGGGGTCGCCCGCCATTGGCGAGTTCGAGCGGTTCCTGCTGGGCATGAAGACGACGGCCCGCAAGGAGCTGGTGCTGCTGCACTCGGAGCGGTATTGTCCCCCAGGAGTGACGAGGAAGTGGCTGAAGAATCGCATGTGGATCAACGGCGGCCACCATCACATCCAGATGTCGTACCGTCTAACGACGGAACCAGCACATCCACAAACCAAGCGCTTCGGGACGGCGCTGAAACAGCGAGTGCAGGTCATCCAGGCCGAGATCCAGAAATACACGTCGCGACGCATCCGCCAGACTCCTCTGTATTCATCGCAGACGCCATTCAAGGGGGACTTCCATCGGCTGGCGCGTCGGTTGTGCGGCAAGTCCGTCGGTCTTGTACTAGGTGGTGGCGGCGCACGCGGCATTGCCCACGTGGGCGTGATCAAGGCACTGGAAGAGGCGGGAATTCCGATCGATATCATCGGCGGCACGTCTATTGGCGCTTTTATTGGGGCGTTGTATGCTCGGGACGCGGACGTGGTGCCGATGTATGGCCGGGCAAAGAAATTTGCGGGTCGTATGGGCAGTATGTGGCGGTTTGCGCTGGATGCGACGTATCCGTTGGTTTCGTACACGACTGGACACGAGTTCAACCGGGGAATTTTCAAGACGTTTGGCGACAGTCAGATTGAGGATTTCTGGATTGAGTTTTACTGCAACACGACCAACATCAGCAAGTCGCGCAACGAATTTCATTCCTCGGGATATGTCTGGCGCTACGTGAGGGCGTCGATGTCGTTGGCCGGTCTGCTGCCGCCTCTTTGCGACGAGGGCAACCTGCTCCTGGATGGTGGTTACTTGGACAATTTGACAGTGGCTCATATGAAGAGTCTGGGGGCGGATGTCATCCTGGCAGTGGATGTTGGTGCGGTGGACGACAACACGCCACAGACGTACGGAGACTCGCTGTCGGGATTCTGGGCGTGGCTGAACCGATGGAACCCGTTCTCGTCGACGCCAAACCCGCTGACGCTGTCGGAGATCCAGGCGCGGTTGGCGTACGTGTCGTCGGTGGACAATCTGGAGCGGGCCAAGATCACGCCGGGATGTCTGTACATGCGGCCGCCGATCGACCGGTACGGGACGCTGGAGTTTGGCAAGTTTGACGAGATCTACGAGGTTGGATATCAATATGGGAAGGAGTATCTGGAGCGGCTGAAGAACGAGGGCAGTCTTCCAGTTCCGGAGGAGACGACCGAGGAGAAGAAGTTACGAAGGACGATGGCCCCGAGGAGGGCTAGCATATAACCGTACAACGGTTGACATGTCGCATAATACATGGTTAGCATGGTTCGCATGGATGGAATTGCATTGCATGGCATCATTACGATAGCATATGGGCGTTGTCACGGTGATGCTTTTCCTTTCCTTTTTTTTTCTAGTCTGTACTGTACGAATAGTGCATGCATATTGATAGATAGATACGATACAAGTATACCCCATTAGCGATGATCAATCAAAAAGAAGTATAAAATGAAGCATTGATGCGGGAAGCAAGTCAATTCAATGAGTATGTACATATGAGTTATTCCAGTAGTAAGCATTACTCTGCATTCAACTTTATCTAAGTACATATAACCACCCACATCGCTGTAGTAAACTGTAGTAAGCATGCTGTACGAGTAAAAAAGGAAAATTTAAAGCAATTCACATCATCACAATCAATCCCTTAAACAAAAAAAAAGAGAAAGAAGAGGAGGACTGTATCCACTTGAATCCACCGCGCTAGGACGTCAAGGGAAACGCCCCACTCTCCAGAAAGAACCTCCGCAATGGACTAATATCTATCCTGGGTCTGCAAGCTTGCATGAGCAGTAGGCAGGCAGGTTGCATTTAATCTAGGTTATTCTAGGTTATTAGGTAGTCTATATTGCTAACAAACCTATATTCTTTATGCCTCCTGTCCTACCACCAAAACAAAAAGCCTTTATTTATTATGATTTTGTAGACTTTGCAGGAACACATTATAATAATAATAAGGTTACCATTAAATTAAATAAGACCTGCATACAATTATTAAAGCAAGATTAAATAAACTGCTTAATAAGGAAGCGTTGGATTAGATCTTATATGCACCTAAATAAAGGGCGTTCGTTGTATGTATATATAATTCTTGGCTTTTAGGATCCTTTTTTTTCAGCTAAAATAAAGCGTTTAAAAAAAAATATCTATCTAATCTAGCGCCGGGATTAGTAGGAACTCCAACTACTTGTCCAATATTAATGTGAATTTGATTGTGGAAATATGGGCAATATTCGGATTTCGGTCCTGGATTTTTTTTCACAGGAGCGCTCATATAGACCAAGCAGAAGCTCGTCAGCAAGTGCTGCGTTTTCCTTCCTTTCATGCATGTCTGAGTACTGTACCTATACTATGCTTCAGCATTATTATGGTTGTTCTGTTTACAGGTGCTTATTATTTGCTTAATTTGTCTGTTAAACCTTAGTCGTCTCTGTATTTAGAGTACTTTTCTAAATAGAATAAATATCCTTCCTTACTTTGCGTATTCTTACACAGACAGACAAGCGTTAGGGACAACGCTTTTCCTGCAGTAGGCAGTATTCTATGTAGTATAATGCAGTACCTGTATAGTAGAAGCATTTTTAATTTAATAGAAAGGTATAAAAGTTCCATCTCTAATGATCATCAATCACACAGGAGGCCTGTGACTCGGGTATGTACAGTACATACAGATATCCCATTCCCTGTACAGTACATACGTAGTTGGAGGATCCTATTCCTTCCTCCATCATCTTATGTTATGGATCATCCTTCAGAGAAACAATGCATTACGGCATTATTAAGCATTTTTCAAGGATTATCGTCTGAGACAAAAGGACTCACTTTAAAAAAAAGAAGAGAGAGAGAGAGATCTCAATTCTCTGAATACAAGACAAGAAAGACAAGACAAGCCCTATCCATGTCAAATCGTCAAATCTTTTGTTCTTCTAATACTCCGCACTCTGTAGAGCCTGGATATATGTATAATTTATATTTATATAAATGTCCTTTCTTGCTTGATATATTTCAAATCAAATACAACTTTAAATAGTTAATATGCCTTTGTTCCAGTGCTGAGAATCAGACTTCATTCAACTCGACCTGATTAATTAGCCACGAACATTGTTGTAGTATAATAAACTGACTGTAGTAAGCATGTTGTACAGAGTAAGAAAAATTTAAAGCAATGCATATGATCACAATCAATACCTTAAATGAGAAAAAAAAAGTGTGCCTTCGGAGACAAAAAGACTGACTTACTTATTATTCTATTCTACTACGATACTAAAAGAAAAGAAACAACAAAAAAAAATGATAGATCTCTGAATTCGCTGAAGACAAACCTATCCATCTCAAATCGAATCTTTCCTTCTTCTAAACTCTGTAGGGCTGAGATATATATATATGTACATGCATGCGCATAACAATTACCGTCATGTATTCATTCATTCCCATCGAATTTCTTCCATAGGTAAGAATCATACCTTATCCTATCTTCTTGTATCCTATCCTATCGTACATACATACTGCATTGTAGGTTGTAATACCTATCTGACAGGAATCTGAATAGTATTACCTGATTGATCGATAGATATAGATGGATAGATTACATCACAGGTGGAGACAGACAATGGAGACAAGATTATCTTAGATAATTCTTAGATAATCAATCAATAAGATGGGATGGGAATCATGGGACGTCTACCCGGCCGAAAAAAAAAAGAAAAAGAAAAAAGAAAAGAAAGAAAGAAAGAGAAAAAGTGGATTCGGGGGACTTAATAGAATGATTCTTATTGCTAAATTTGATGGGTCCATTGATCTACTGATCCATTGATCCCTCCCTCATCCATCATCGATTGATTGATCGTTATGTAAGAAGATACCTTTGTACAGTACATACCCAGTGTATCCAAGGTATCCAAGGCATCTATCCGTCCATCTAGTCCAGTTTGTCAGTCTCGCTTTTTTTTTTCTTCAGACATTACCAGGTGGGAGGTAGCTTCGCTTAACAGAACGAACAAACGAACAAGTGAACGAACGAACGGACAGACGAACGAAGGATTTGTTTGGCAGGTATGTACCCAGCCATCCAGCCTGCCAGCTAGCTGATCTTGTCTAGACATGCATGCATGCCGCATGGCAATAATGGCAATTCTGGCATGGAATGGCATGCAAAAACACAAAACAGAAACAAGGCAAATATTCGAACTCAATCAAACTCGAAAGTATCTTGAAAATATCTCGAAAATATTCCGAATTAAATTACCCTGAAACAACAAACGCAAGGGGTTAACAATGATCAACAATAATAATACTACAATAATGAATGAATGATTTCATTCATGCATGTAGGAAGGAATGAATGAATGAGTGTACATGTTCATGTTTACTCCGTATTTGAAATATATTGAATAATTAACCAATAATTAAGTAATTTATTAAGTGCATGTTTCATATTGTTTCATCTTGATGATATCTACTATTGTATGTACATGGATGGAGTATGTATGTATGTATGTTGCGCCTTGCATGAATGATCTCCCTCTCTACATTGCATTGCATTGCATGCTTGCATAATGGAGGAGTACCTGTAGCAATAATTATTTATTATCAAATAATTACTCTGTAATTATTAATTAATTAATTAATTAATCGATCGATCGACTAAATGCTTCACGTTTTTTTTTGTACTTCGTAATAGTGCTTCCTTGCTCGCTCGCTCACTTGCTTAGGTGCTTTCTTACTTGCATACTCGGGAGTACTGTACTCTATCTACCTAATTCTATCCCCAAACAGCAACACCAACGAACCAATCAATCACCTACAGTCCTACACAGTAATAATTAATTGAAAATTGATCATCGTAGCTAGCTACCTAGCTAATTAGCTAGTTCCCGGAAAGTAAACCCCGATGGGATTAACCTTTAAGTTAGGTTAGCTAAGGCATGCAGCATGCTAATTGATTAATTATCTGATGGAATGGAATGCTGGACCTGTAAAATATGATTGGTGGATACAAGTCTTACTGTCTTCTTCAACGACTGGAATGGAATTTTAATGAATTTACTCCATTCATGATTTTTCGGCCAATATTCGGGTTCCGTTCCGGATCGGAATGGTTGGTTGGTAAGGTTGAGTCCACCTGCCGTAAAGACTCGGAGGATAATCCCGAACCGAATGGAATGGATTAGTAATTACTGGTGTATTAGTAATGAGTATGCCGTAACTAGTTAACTTAGTTAAATGTTAACGAATGATTGCCATAACGTCATGTAAGGGGTGAATTGATTCCTAGCTAGGTAGGTAGCTATGAGCTTGTAAAAAAAATTTTGGGAACAGGATAACTGGATAATAGATTCATTTCTGACTAGTGTATATTATGGTATATACTCCCTCTTCTCTACCAACGTAACGAACGGATCGTTTTTTTAACTGTACATGACAGGACTATTTGAAACATGCATAACGTGGTATCGATCAAAGTAATTATCAAAGTGGGGTGAAAAATCACAGATATTAGATTAAGATTAACAAGGGTATTCGAGTAAGAGGGGGGCTTTGACGAGCGGTGGGGGTATCAGTGCATTGCATGCAGTGAGTGCAGTGCATTGACTCCGCGCATTCGTAGATCATTATTATCGCTCCCCGATTAGGATTGCTTGCGTTGGTAGATTTTTTTTTTCGTTGTCCGGTCATCTTCTTTCGTATCGCATCGAATCCATTAGTCCATTAGTCGGTACCGTGTCGCGCTCTCATTCCCCAGTAGTTGGCAGCATAATCGTCGCGTCGACCATGCTGCAGCCAGTCTAAGGATTAAGCTTAAGCAGTGGTTTCACCGGCGCGGCCACCGTTCTTCTCGACCGGGCTGGAGCTCCGGCGGGTCGACCACAGGTTGAAGAGCTCCAGGAAGATGCCAACGAAGGTGAAGAAGCTGCATACCTGTTAGCGGCGTTCTTCCATTCCTGTCAATAGGTCAGACTTACAAGGCAAGCCAGGTGAAGGACTCGGCAGCGCGCTTCTTGGAGCAAGACACGCCGGCAGGGTTCTTGGCCAAGCAGTCGCCGTACTGGAAGTCCTGAGCCGTGAAGATGAAGGCAGTCAACCAGCTAGAAAGGGTTAGCCATACATTCCAGTATTTTGGGGGGTAAAACAGTGACATACAGGTAAGAGAAGATAATGTCAATCAGTAGCACGAATCGGCTGAGAATGTTGGGCACGAACGGCGAGATGAAGGCCGGCAGGAAGAAGACAACCGAGATGACAGCAATACACTCGTTGTAGATCAGGTGCACACCACCATGGTGATGGCGGATGAAGTACGAGTCCAGACCCATGACAATCACGGCGCTGGACCACTGCAGGAAGCGGTCCAGCAGCGCGATCGGGCGAAGGATGGTCGTCGAGATACCCATGGTTGCGGTTCGTAGGATAAGTCAGCTGTGCTGAATGCTCTCTGCTGATTCAGATGGTGCGGACGAAGATTAGTGCTTCGGCGAAAGCTGCTGACTCTCGATAGTGAATCCGATGTCTGTCGGTGATAACGTTGGACTCGAGTCGGGTTGGATCCAGACCAGGATTTATACCGCAGGCCGGGCCAGAATCGGAGGTGTATCACCACAACATCATCTCGAATGGATGATGTCGATCGGTCCGATACATCCGCAATCCCGGTTCTTTTTCAGCAAGAGGACCTCGATCGTGGCGGCATTGGTGCCATGGATGGTAGGAGGTGGACCCGCAGCCCTGCAGGTCAACTGCCACCGTCCCAGCAGGCCAGCAGCCGTCTCTTCCCCAGATGCGTCACTCTGCATCATGGCATACAATCAGGATGACAAAACATGACGGTCTAGTCGCTCTTGTCACAGTAGCATCTTTTTGCACTACAAGAATATCAGTTTAGTAATACGAGATCACTACCGGTGAAGGAAAAAGACCCGCCCAAATTTGATAGAGAAAACTTTGGTCCCAGCTACTCCGTATGCTGCCAGACAAGGCTGATGACAAACCCGGCCGGGTCGCCAAGCCAGTGAGGTCAACAAGCTAATGAGCCAAGACTGCAAGGTGGGTGTGCTCATCAAATGATTGTCAATGGAAGAAGAGGGAATCTGAACAGGCTCGAATCCGTCACCGTTGCGTGACCCAGGTGGCGTGGCGTTCCGATAGACCAGCACGGGACACGCAGGACAGCAAGGGAGGGAGACCGGCATCCTGCGGAAGAAAGCTTGACCATGATCAGCTCGTAGATGGAAGCAAGAAAGAAAAATTTACGGCGACTAACCCGCGACGATGCCGTCCGAGCAGCAACCTTGTCCGGGTTGTGTCGCGCTGCGGTCCCGTGATTGGAGGATCCCGTGATGCGAAGGGAGCTCGATTTTTCGCATTCAATTAGGATCGACTACTGGACCAAACATCCAGCTCCGCGAGCCCATGCCTAGACCGCAGCTCGAAGAGGGAACGAGACGAAAAAGGAAAAAGAAAAAAGAAAAAATCTTTTCCAGGCGTGACGGGTATTGGACGCGGACGCTGTCCGAAGTGCCTTGATGCGCCTTCCTCTTCCAGTTCTACTAGAAATCCATATTATCACCAGCCCTTGGAGAAGCTCGAGCGCTATCAGATCATCCCATTCTGACGATCGGGCCAACCTCGTATCGACAAGCAGTGTGTACAGACCCCTCCTCCAGAGCACTGCGTCGTCCCATGCCGCAAAAGTGGGCGAGGCCGAATCTGGTAAGCGGACGGCTGATCCTACGGCTAGCGTCGATCCTGCCCCAGCACGCTCGGCTCGGTCGGTCTGCTGGGACTTTGCCCTTCGCTCCTCTTGCACAAGCAGGGCCGCAAGCGAAGCTGGAGAATGGCCCGTGTAACAGCAATCTCGCCAGGATCGATGAATAATCGACGGGCGCGCTGACTCACGAGTCGCGAGTCGTGAGGTGGACACTGAGGGTTGACGTCGCGATTGGGTTTAGTGCCGGATCGCCAGTCGGATCGCTGGAGCTTGCCCTATGACAGGCTGCTGCTTGCCGCGCCCTTCCGGCTGCTGCTGGCAGAAGCGACCCAGGAGGACAACGCCCAGCTTCATCAGCAAATTTGCTACGACTCTACAGTCTCCATCCTTTTCCTGTCCTCGTTGCCCGATTCCGTCCTTACAGTTGCGACGCAAGGCAGGGCAAAGTCGGTCGCTGACATCATCACATCGGGAGAGCCTCACGGTCTCGGCAGTTGCAGCTCCGCCCATCAGCTAACGGCCGGCCTCAGCGCCGCCAAGACGTCGAACTGGCTCAACTGGGTCGGATTTTAGCTAGCGGGTCGAAGCGTATTTCTCGATGGAGACCTGGCGCTCGGCTCAGTCGGATTACTCGATCGCTCGACGCCAACCTTAATTCAAGCACCACGTCCGGTGCCCGACGTTGGATTAGTGATTTGCCCAGGCCAGGATGGATTTCCAGAGGGTTCGCTCAGCAAGTTAGCAGCAGCAGGCTGCCAGCTGGCTCTGCATCTTGGCAGGCCAGTCACATGTTGCTGCATCCCGCTGGCGCAGATGGTTTTGCCTCTCCTCTGCTCTCGACGCTTATACAGCTCTGGCAAGCAGAACGGTGCATGTGACATGCTCCTGAACGTGCAACGGCCCAGATGCTCGGAACCTCGACTCATTCCGTGGTAAGAGATAGGAACAATCGCGAATCAGCCTGCTAGCAGAGCTGCCGTATGATTGTTGTCGCTGGGTTCCTTGTGCCTGGACCGGTACAGACTCGGAAAATAGGATCGTCGTCGTGTCTGTTCGTTCCATACGGAGAACATTTTATTTTCTCCGAAGAAAGAGAGAGAGAGAAATGCAAGATCGTCACATATCGAGCTGCCCGCACAAGCATAACAATAATGCAGTGAATACTCCGTACTGTCTGTAAATACTGTCCATTTTCGGGCAATAATAATCAGCAACTTGCATAGCGTGGACATACAGGGCTAGCGAATCAATCCAGGTGCTAAACCGTCGAAGCAGGCTAGCAGCAGGTTTTCAACTTACTAAATCAACGAATCACAGCGCTCAGACCATTTATCCTCGCAGCTCGGTTCGCAACGTGGTGCGTGAAGAAGTACGGAGTAGTGTGACGGGGCGACGCAAGAATTGTCCTACAGTCCTAGTTACCCCGCCTTTTGTTTTTGTTTTCCTCCGACCTAACCTGGAAAGCGTTGTCGAAGACAGTAGACTCGTCAAGAGAGATCCAAAACGGGCAGGGACTACCGAAACAAAGGATGCTAATTCGCTCAAACACATGATTAATAATCCCTCCCCGTGATTATCAATCAGTCATCACGTAGCCAAAGCTGCTCTTGATACAATACACTATCGACAGTAATAATGGAGATGGAGATTAAGGCAAAAAGAACAATCCTAAATCCGTGACGATATCATATCTCAAGAGGGAGAGAGGGAGGGCCCAGAGAAAAAAAACTCAATTCCACTAGTCAAAGCCAAAAAAAAAACAAGCATTTTGCCTATGCATAGCATAGCATAGCATAGCATACCTGGTACACAAGGTTAGGTACACTAGGTAGGAATAGGAGTGAATAACCTTGCAGGGGGGTGACGGGGGTCAGCAGACCCCAACCAAAACAAAACAAAAATTGTATTTGCGGGGGAATGACACTAAGACATCGTACCTAACTAGCATGTCGATCGACGTGTTTATCAATCAATCTGCGGAGTGCGCGGGTTATTACATCGGTATACTACGCCGTACTACTAATTACCTACCTAACTGATGAGATAGTATTTTTGTTGCCTGCGGGAAATAGGTAAGTAGGTAGGTACCTCCTCAGTTGTTCTTACAACGGATCAATTGAGTCCAGAATGGGTTTGCTGTTTGTCGGTCTGAAAACTATCTTGACATTAATATATTATAGAAGAAAACTGCAGGTTGAATAGGTACTGTACTGTACTGTACAATAACAATAGGATTAGTCTAAAGAACTACTAATTCATTACAAGTAGTTAGTAATAATAATATTATTACGTTAGTCAATGAGAAACCAGCTAGCTCTTCTTTTTCCCTCCTTTCGGTCTTCCCCTCTTGCTTCTTCTGGGCGATTGCTCCGGTTCTGGTTCCTCCTCGCCCTCCGAGTCCTTCGCCTCGCTCCCGACAATCACCCCATCGTCAGTAACCTCTCCATTCGACGAGACGTCTTCGTCCTTCTTGGACACCGATTCCCACGTGCCATCCGCAGACTGCGATTGACTCTTGATATCCGCAAGCACCTTGTTGGTCTCGCTCTCCACGCCATTCCAGGCTCCACAGCCTCCGCACCTCCACCGGCCAAGCTCTTCGAGACTCTTCATTCCCGGCGGGGCCTGGCCATTGACAAGCCTGCAAGTCTGGCAGATCAACGCCAAACGGTTCCTCGGGAGCGTCTCGTCCTCGCCAAGCAGGACATCCAAGAGCCGGTCATACCAGCGGGGACTCTCGTTATACTGCGGAGCTGCGGGGAAAGCATTCGGTGCAAAGCCAGGTTCATCAACGGGCGGCGGAGGTCCCGGGAATCGGTTTTGCTCGAAATAGCTGTGAGACTGCGGGATGGCTTCGCTGCCGGGGGGGAGTGGACCGGGGTCGACTCGTTCGGAGGACGTCTGATATTGGCCGTCGGAGGAGGTGCGATCCCTGTTCTCCCTGCCATCTGCGGTGTGCCAGCTTTGCTTTCGGTTTCCTTCCCCTTAGAATCTCCGCCGCTCTTGGATGGAGTAGTCTTTTGAGACTCTCCGCCATATTTCTCGAGAAGCTGCTGCGTCGAGTTGTACTTGGTAGCGATCTTCAGTTTCTCGATCGTCTCATCGCGTTGCTTGTGGAGCTCGTCCAGCTGGTTCTGTGTTTTGGAGATCCGATACTCGAAAAACTTGCTCGCCACCGCTCTAACCGCGTAGATTCTGGCCACAATTCATAAGCAATCTTTCCGTTTTAGAGGGAGTTGTTGAGCGCACACTACGGGTCCTCCCAAGACAGCCGCATATTCAACAATCCCCCAATTCTGCCATCCCAAGACCAGTGCGAGAATGATAGAGTAGAGCAGGTACGCAAAGGTCGTGTAGAGAGTCCATAGGGCTTTGAATCGGCGGGCCTGCTGTCGGTGCGAATCGAGACGATTTGTCGTCTGAGTGATCTTGGTAGACAAGCTCGACAGTGCTTTCTCAAACGATGCCGGTGAATTATCCTCGCCCTGCAGCCATGTCAGCATGTCAGCTTGGGGAGCTTGCTGTCAGCAATGTCAAACACACCTTCCAGGGCCAGAGGGACACCATTTTGTCAACCAAAATCACATGGTAGTTAGCAGACGCCGTTGTCAGAGTAGCTTCGATACTCCGTAAAAAGGTCCTGGCAGTATTCTCCGCAAACTCCGTAAAGCTCCAGGCTGGCAGCAGGTGCACGGACCACCCCATGACATGTGCTGAGGTCACGGGCATATGATATTCCCCATCATTACTCCTGATTTTGTTTTAAATATTAAAGTAATAGATTTGATTATGATGGTTATTTAAATTATTTAAAATGGTAAAACTGCTCACAAAGATTTTATTCTGTGAATGGTGTGTTTTGTCCACTAAGCATTTGTTTTGGAGTTTCCGCTTTTTATATAATTTTAGGGAGTCACATGCAAATCCACATCTGATCTTATATTAATTAAATCAGATATAAAATACCTATATCAAAAGTAACTTGTAAATTATTTCTATCACAAGAGCCAAATAGTCTCTGACTATTACTTCTAATGAAGTATGGGCAATCAGCTAGCCAGACACGCAGCTGTTCCCTATGTAGGTAGTACCCTCAGCACCCTCCCAAACTACAGTGCCAATATAATCCATTATCTCACCTCACCAGTCAACAGAACTTGAGGCCTGTGGTCTAATCGTAACTGGCTGGACTGCAGGCCTCAGGTTCGATTTGATTCCCCCCTCCTCGTCGAGGTGAAGCGGTGCGGTCATTACCAATATCTTGCTTACATCCGATGACATGGCGATGGGGGGGGGGGAACTACAGGTAGTAAAACCCCTGCCCGCCATAATTGCATAGGTGGGGGTTTTCGTAGCATCCTGCAAAGGGTGTGAGCGTTTTTTATATCGATGAGTTGTTTTTTTTTGGTCGTAGTAGCAGCTGAGATGGGCAGATGCAGGTTGTGATAGACCTCCCGGCGAAACCATTAGATTATTGCCATAGAAGCATGGTTTACTCGATATTTCTATCGAAATAATACTACTCCGTAGGACTAGATGATATGACAAGGAAGGCTCTGATCGAGCGAGATCGAATGGAGGGAAGAATCTGGTTTGCTGTGACTTAAATAGTTCAGAATCAAACCAGATGATAAATCGAGGCAATACAACGGTCATAACACTTTTTGATGGTAATCTGCCAATTGAATCACGTTATAAAGCCGCCATGGCTATTTCCTCTGCAGAAGAAGTCGAAAGCATTCAATACAAACAAGCCATCTCTGATCCGTCTCAAATTAGTATGGGTGGAGCAAGCATAATATGAAGCAGGCACTTGACTAATCTGATGCAATAAACAGATTCATGGGAAATATCCAGATTTGCCAATGTCCTGTCTATAACGAATCGACTACTGTGAGTGACGTTGATGGCGGTGCCCCTTGCCCCGGATGTGGCCCGAGCTTAGCACATGGCGTCTGCCCTTGTGGCTGGTGCGACCGCGGCTGTCAGCGAGCAGGTGGCCAGACTCGATGTCCTTCATCTCATCCCCAACGCTCCTTATATTATCATCTTGTTTTCTTCTCTTGTTGTAATTGTTAATATCTAATTTGTTACATACTTTTGTTTGTTCTATCAAAGCAGCAGCAGCGCAAGAAGACGGCGAGATGTTCCAGGTACGGTGTGCTACTAAATACTGTGGTTGCGGCTGCGGTAATATTGGCTATGCCTCGTGCTAACTGCTACTTTCCATCATCAGCGTCTTCGTGATGCTATAGACGCCCGGATTGCAGAGGAGCAGGCACGCCAAAAGGCGGCGCAAGATTCCATCTCCCGATCCAACTCTAGCCGTCGACAGGCCGCACGACCCGCACGCCAGCGACGAGAGAGTGGCCCGCCGCCCAGAAGCCCCGATCCGACCGAATTCGAGGCCGAGTTCGCCATTGGGGATGACGATGGCTCTAGTAGATCAGCAACTCCTCGTCAGGATGGTTCGACGACGCAGGAATCGGGCGCACAAGGGGACAATGCAGACACGAAACAATCGGGCGAGTCCGCTGGCAAGGAGGCCGCGCCTGACGCAGAACCCAAGCCAGCACCATCCTCTGAACTCCCTGCTGATGTCCGATCAAAGTTACGGAGATTGGATAAACTTGAATCCAAATACCAAGGTATGTTCTCTTTCATTAAAAGGAAAGGCTAAATGGTTCGATGGTACTGATTTGTCTATCTGCACAGAACTTCTACGAGCATACCGTGTCGCCCATGCGCGGGTGCTTTCTATCGAACAATTCGAAGCCGCGCTGAGAGAAAATACACCGCTCACGTCGATCAACGAGCCGAAAGCGTTGACCGAATATCTGAATCAAATATCGCTCAAGGGCGACATGGTCTTGGACGAGCTGAAGCGTGTCACTGCGGAGAGAGACGAGTACAAAAAGAAACTCGAGGAAGCGGAAAAGTCGGCGAAAGAGGCCTGGGATGAGGTTGCAAACCTAAAAAAGGGAAACGTCGACGAAACCAAGTCGGACGAGCCCAAAAAGGCGAACAGCAAGGCAAAGAACCTGACGGTAGAGACGGGCGCTCCTGCCGATAACAAGTCGGACGTTTCAGTAAAATCACCCACCGGCTCTATTGCGTCTCGAAACGCTTCCATCCCTGGACTGTCGCTCTTCTCTCCAAAGGCAAAGGCGGTCAAGTCTCCGCCAGAGGAAAATGAAGAATTCTTCTCCTTTGAAAATGAGATCCCACGGATGGAATCTGAACTGCAGGAGAAGCAGGAAGAGATCAAACAGCTCAAGTCAGAAGTTGAAAACCTCAAGCGTGACCTGTCAGTCGCACGGGAGTCGACGGAGAGCATGGTGCATTCCTTGGAATCGGCAACACGCGAGTTGGAAGGGCTGCGTGAGAGCAAGGACAAGCACGAAACCGAGCTTGAGAGCCTCAGATTGGCCAAACAGGCAGAAATTGACGGCCTCAGTTCAAAACTCGCCTCGGCAGAAGCTGCTTTAGAGAAATCCAATACCGCTCTCGAGGAGCTCAAGGATCAACTGCAGAAGAAGACCGATGAGCTCGATCGATTGAGGGAGCAAGCCTCACAGACTGAGAAGAGTGCAGACAGCACTGATTTGACTGCCAAGCTTGCCGAGGTGGAAAAGGAGAAAGATTCTAATGAAAAGCGCTTGGGAGTTATGCAGGGGCTAGTCGACAACCTTAAGTCTCAGGTCAAGGATACGGAAGCTGTTGTGTCTTCTCTCCGGACGGAGCTTACAGAGAAGAGCTCAAGTCTCGACAGACTGCAGAATATTGTCAACTTTGTGGATAATGGTCTCAAGTCAAATGCCAAATGGCAAAGTGTTCGAGACCTTGTTGCGGATGGCAAGCCTGCCGACTTCGACGAGATTCGAGAGGGCTTGATCGGAACAGAGACCAGCCCTGCTGCTGAAACGAGCAAGGCGGAGCCCGACGTAGAAAGTCAAGGCGCTGCCGGTACTAGTGCGGCAAAGAAGAAGAAGAATAAGAAGAAGAAGGGTGGCAAGGGCGGAGAGGACTCGAATGCTAGTAAAGAGCCTGCCCAGACAGTTCCTTCGGAGGAGAGCCAGCCTGCGCCCAGCGATTCGTCCAATGTCCGTGAATTGGAACAGAAGGTCGAAGAGCTCACGTCTCAAATTGCCGAGAAAGATGCCGCCATTGAACGTCTGCATGCGAAGTTAAAGGATGAGGATGACTTGAAGGAGGAAATCGAATCGCTACGTGACGAACTGCTTAATCTGGGCCAGGACCATGTCGAAGCCAAAGACAAGATCAAAGAACTGCAAGCAGAGAAAAAGACTCTGGAAGAGAACATCGCCAAGCTAGAGAAGGAAATTGCCGATCTCCGATCCAGCAACGCTTCCAGTGCGGCAGACTCGGAGAAGGCCCACAAGGACCTCAAAGCCGAGTTTGAGGACCTCAAGGCCAAGGCCGCCGTCTTGGAGAAGGACCTCTCCGCGGCTCAGCAACTGGCCGCATCCAGATTCAAGGATCTGACCGACCTGAGAGAGACGCTGCAGAAGCTCCAGCCCGAGCTCCGAAACCTCCGGGCAGAGTCGGCAGAGTTGAAATCGACAAAAGAGGAGCTCAAAAACAAGACGGCCGAGCTCAGGAAATTGGAAGGCAAGCACGATGATCTGCGTGCTGAGCTGAAAACAATGAAAGCCACCATTGCCGAGCGCGAGAGCGAAGTCAAGACTCTCAACCAGAAGATACGGCAAGAGACTGACAGTCGTCTCAAGGCAGAGGAGGCCTTGTCCGTCGCTCAGTCGGATCTACGGTACTCCGAAGGGAAGAAACAGGAAGCCATCGAGACGAATGAGAAGACGTCCAAGGAGCTTTCCAAAGCGCAAGAGGAGTTGAAAGCCACCCGGGCCAGACTACGCGATGTCGAAGAGCAGGTGGCGCAGCTCAACCGGGAGATGGAAGGTCTGCGAGAAGAGATCGATCTCAAGACGGCCCAGCACGCGAGCGCGCAGAGCTTGATGAACAGCATGCGGGATCAGACCTCGGAGATGGCGATGCAGATGAAGGAGGCTCGTGAACGTTGCGAGAGCCTGGAGGAAGAGCTGGCTGAGGCTCACCGTCTTCTGGGCGAGCGCAGCCGCGAAGGCGAGACCATGCGACGGCTTTTGAACGACATCGAGAGCCGTGCGGACGCCAAGGTGCGCGAGTTCAAAGAACGAATGGAGGCGGCGATTGAAGAACGAGACCGTGCGGAGGATGAGGCCAGCACGATGGGTCGACGTCGCGCGCGAGAGCTGGAGGAACTCAAAGCCAAGGTCCGGGAGGCGGAAAAGGCTCTGAAGAGGGCAGAAGACGACAAGGAAGAGCTGGAATATGCGCAGAGAGACTGGAAACGTCGACGAGACGAGCTCGAGGCACAAGCGGAGCGGTCCGCGCAGGAACTGAAGGAGGTGCGCCAGGCGATGACCCAACTGCGGGATGCTCTGGACGAGAGCGAGAGGCAGACGCGGGAGTTGGAGAAGGAGAAGGCGGAGCTGCGTCGGTCGGTCGAGGAGACGAACAACCGGCTGGAGAAGCTGCGCAGGTCCAACAAGGCGCTGACGGAGGAGCTCCGCGCCGCTCAGAATAGCAACGCTCGAAGACTGGGAGGATCCGTCGAGTCGGGCAACCAGTCGTCACGATCGTCGATCGATTCTCCCAGTCGAGGTGTCGTGTCGCCTCCACCACGGGAGCGCAACGCTTCATCTACCCGCAGCGAAACCCCGACAGGCGGGACGCCGATCGACTATATCTACTTGAAGAACGTGTTGCTCCAGTTCCTGGAGCAGAAGGACAAGAACTACCAGAAGCAGCTGATCCCGGTGTTGGGGATGCTGCTTCATTTCGACCGGTAAGCATCAACCATCGGTTGAGACTCTGCCATCGATACTAACCGGCTGTCTAGAAACGACGAGCAGAAATGGATGTCAGCCGTGATGTCCCGGTAATGGCCGTGTAGTTAGTCTTATTACTACAGTGTATACAGCGTGATGTTTGTATAGCAAGTATGTATGTACATTCATGTACTGGATAATTGACATAGAGTGGGTCCAGCGGACCCTTTTTTAGCCTGTCAAGAAAAGGGCGTGTTGGAGGGTAATATAAGACATTCTAAGACGTAAACTCGCATTGAAGAATTTTCGTCGCTGTAATGCCTTGCTAGATCGTGTCTTCTCACTCATCCATACCACGACAATAATAGCAATGTCCAACGAGCCCACCATCAGACTGGCCACGGAGGAGGGCAAGTTCTTTCTTTCCGTCCCCGCATCGTGGTATCATGCCCCGCACGAGACGACTCGACTAATTAATTTATAATAATAATAGATGTCGATATCATCCTCCAGTTCATCCGCGAACTAGCCGACTACGAGCACGCGCTGCACGAAGTCGAAGCAACACCGGAGTCGCTGCGCGCGACGCTCTCCTTCCCAGACACGCCGCCCAAGAAGGGCGCGACGTACACAGCGCTGATCACTCCTCCCGCGACGGCCGACAACCCCTCCCCGAAACCCGTCGGCATGGCACTGTTCTTCTACAACTACTCTACCTGGCGGTCTGCGCCGGGCGTGTACCTGGAGGACCTGTACGTGCAGCCGCACGCGCGCGGCAAGGGATACGGCTTCCGGCTGCTGAAGTACCTGGCTGCGGAGGTGGTGAAGATTGGCGGGCGACGGCTCGAGTGGAGCGTGCTCAAGTGGAATGAGCCCAGCATTAAGTTCTATAAGCAGATTGGGGCTAGGGAGATGGATGAGTGGCAGAAGATGATGCTTGAGGGGAAGGCGTTGACTAAGCTGGCGGAGTCAGCTGAATAAATAGTACTGTACTGTACATACATACGTGAATGAGTAGTCTGAATCGAAATACGACGAGTGCTTTTCCTTGTTAAGCGTGTAGAATGTCTGCGATGGCTCAATATGATATTCTCTCTCGTATTTAGTATTCGATAGAGGTGTTCTGTAATTTTAAATAATATTCAATGGGCTGATTTCACATGATCGATCGACGATCGCCCGATCCGGGGCGTCAGGGCTAACCCTAAGCGTCTCCGCATGACGTCGTTAACCGCGCGGCCGGGACAGCTGACTCCGCTCGCCGTGCTCCTGGGGCCGCATCGCTCTGCTGGCCCCTTTCTTTCATTTCATACTTCTCCCAGTGAAGCGCCTACTGCAGGCGCACATCTGCTCTCTGCAATGGCATCTTCTCCTTCTCCCACCGCCCAGCCGGGCGAGTACGACGTGGACTATGTAATCCGCTACTCCTTTGGCGGCAGGGGTATGTATGACGATACCTATCCAATGGTTCCCGCAACACTAACAGATGTTTGTACTGTACAGCCCACTCCGGAGCGACGGAACAGCTCGAAAAGCTGCTGCGAACCCTGGCAGAGGCCGGATTCCAGACCGAGGTCCGTTCGGGCGACAAATCCTCCCTGCTGGTCTTTGTCCGGGCGCCGTCCAAGAGTCTCCAGCGGGCTACCTACACATCTAGGTAAATACCTACTTTTTGCGATCTTTTCCAACGAATTGAAATCGATTGATTGATTGTGATTGATGTGACTAGGGTTCGCGATTGGCTTTATGGCCTCCGCCACACGCAGCCCGGCGGCTCGCAGTCGCCTGAGCCGCAGACAGACGCTGAGCGTCTGCGAGTCATTCACTACATGATCACATCTCCAAAGGAAGACGGCGGCGCAGGTATCACGCCAAAACACGGAGAATGGACGAACGTGGACTCGATCTTCCCACTGCATGACGACAAGACGAACCAGGCGTGGATGCGGGACTGGAGCAAGAAAACATTCCTGACCAGGGACGATCTGGACCAGATCCGGAACAAGTTTGGAGAGAGGGTCGGTTTCTACTTTGCGTTTCTGCAGTCGTATTTCGGGTTCTTGTTCTTCCCTGCCCTGTTCGGGTTTTCCTGCTGGCTTCTGCTGGGCTCTTTCTCGCCCATATACGCCATCGTCAACTGTCTCTGGTGCGTCATCTTTGTCGAGTACTGGAAGCGGCAGGAGATCGATTTGGGAATCCGGTGGCAGGTCCGAGGCGTCTCGGTGCTGCCGACCAAGAACCGTCAATTCAAGCCCGAGAAAGAAGTCCGGGACGAGGTGACCGGTGAAGTGAAGCAGGTCTTCCCTTGGAGCAAGCGGCTTCTGCGACAGCTGCTGCAGATTCCGTTTGCGCTGGTCGCGGCAAGTGTGCTGGGCGCCATCATCGCGACGTGTTTTGCGATTGAGATCTTCATCTCGGAGCTGTACAACGGGCCGCTCAAAGGTTATCTGGTACGTTGCTGTACTGTATCAAATCTGATCGTACAGACTGACGAGTCAGGTCTTCATTCCGACGATTCTGCTCTCCTCTCTAATACCGACCTTTAGCGCCGTTCTCACTTCGGTGGCTACCAAACTCAACGATTTCGAAAACTACGAAACCAAAGAAGCTTATGATGTGGCTCTGATCCAGAAGATCCTTGTCCTCAACTTTATCACTTCGTACCTGCCAATCTTCTTGACGGCATTCGTGTATGTGCCGTTTGCCAACGTCATCGTGCCGTACCTGGATGTCTTCCGCGTGACGGTCCGTCCATTCGTGTCCAAGGAGGACGAGAAGATGATCGATCACGCCGATTTCCACATTGATCCATCCCGTTTGCGGAAGCAGGTTATTTACTTCACCGTCACGGCACAGGTCGTTAATCTTGCTATGGAAACCGTCGTGCCTTTTATCCTGCGCAAGCTCTCTCTCAAGTACAGAGAGTACACGGAAGAGCGCGAAGAGGGCAAGAGCGGCGGTGGTGATGAAGGGAAGAAGTCCGTCTTTGTCTACGACGACCCACCAGAGGAGGTCGATTTTCTGTCGCGCGTCCGCAACGAGGCGGAACTGCCCGAGTATGACGTGACGACCGACCTGCGCGAAATGTGCATCCAGTTCGGGTATCTGTCTCTCTTCTCGCCCGTCTGGCCACTCGTACCGGTATCCTTCCTGATCAACAACTGGATCGAGCTGCGGTCGGACTTTTTCAAGATCTGCCGCGAATGCAAGCGGCCGACGCCGGAGCGAGCGGACACGATCGGCCCGTGGCTCGACACGCTGGGGCTGCTGGCATGGATCGGCAGCATCACAAGCTCGGCGCTGGTGTACATGTTCAGCAACGACGGGCTGGGCCCGGACGGGCAGCAGCAGCCGTCGGAGGTGAAAGGCTGGGCTCTCCTCCTGGTCGTGTTCTTCGCCGAACACATCTATCTGGGGATCCGGTACGTGGTGGAAGCGACCATGGCGAAGATCGAGACGCCGAGCATCCGCCAAGAGCGGGCGCAGCAATTCCTGCTAAGGAAGAACTACTTAGCCACGACCGCAGAAGAGAGCGAAGCAGCGCGCGCTGCTGAGGACAGAACTGAGCAGGAACAGGCTGCTGATGCAGCTACCCCGTCAGAGCGCTTCTGGACACGCCAGAAGAACTGGAAAGAAGCCGCGCGCATCGGAGCGAGTATTATCGAGTCGCACGTCAGTGCAGAGACGAAGAAGCAGCAGTAGCAGCAGCAGCAGCAGCCGTGGGGCTGATGAAAAACAACAGTATAAACAGTATAAAAATAAAAACTCACTAAACGCATTCATACACTGAAATATATACCATACAACTCAGCCTTGATACATACAACATACCTCATATTCATTCATACATACCTCACCGCTAGCCGGACTCATTAAATTAATGAACGAAAACTACCTAAGGTAACCTTACTGAGTTGAGGTTGAGTTGAGTAATTAGCTAGATAGCTAGATCGTTGATTAGCATTAGAGTTAGATAGATAGATAGAGTTCGTTAGAATCGAATTGGAATTGGAATTCGAATTAGATTCTCTTTATTTCTTTCTCTCTCTCTTTCTTTCTTTCTTCATGCACTGGGTATTTTTTTTTGTTTCTTCGGGTTGAACGTGAACCTACTTCTGGTTCCCCTTCTGCTTTCCGCTTCTGGTACTTACCCTGTCTTGTCTTGTCTGTCTGTCTGTGTATTTATTATCTTATCTTTTCCTATCTCATCCTGTCAGGAATGTAAATAATATAATATAATATACTCTAATTATAATATAAATATTATTTATTTGACTGAATATAGATATATAGATAGGTATTGCGTAGATGGAGATGACATGACATGCGAATTAGGAAAAAAAAAAAGGGGGGGGGGGGAAAAAGCCATCTATATCTATTCCCAATATCAAAGTCTTTCTTTCTTTCTTTCGGATTGATTGAATACATCTAGCTAGGTATGTATGTACCTAGCTAGCTAGCTATCCAGCTAGATAGCTTCATGAGATCCACCCTACTCACCCTACTCTATACCATCCTATCCTATCCTCTATACAGATGTATGTACATACAGTACATACTCCGTATGCAATCTACAACCTACCAAGCACACCTCGCCAACACCCCCCCCGGCCATCTCCTAACAGCCGCCTTCCTCAACTCATCGAGACACAGCAGTCCCAGACCGAACGCCGCAGGCAGGAAATAATGCTCCGCCGGGACGCTGGTCGTGCCGAGCACCGCCTGCAGCTTGGGCACGTATAACCAAAACACGGCGATGGCGAGCGCGAACATGATGGCTGGAAACAGGAGGAGGTTCTGTGTGCGGGCGTTTAAGGCGGGTGGATGCTGGAAGATGGAGAGGCGGCGGGTGCGGATGGCCATGAGGTTGAACCATTGCCTGAGACCTCAAATTAGCTTCTGTAACAAGATAGATGGCTTGAAGTATGTGCAGACACGCACATAACAACCAAATTGACGAAATAAATCGAACTCGCCTCGTTCAGGCGCGCAGTGTAGTAATCCGGATCGATATCCGCCGGCACCTGGCCGAACTTGAACCACAGCGCCGAAAACGGGATGCCGTTGCGCTGCAGGTACCAGTACGACATGGTGAAGGAGAGCACCGTCTCGAAGAGGCCGACTACGCCGTACGCGTGCAATATAAGCTTCCAGTTGACGAGGCGGTCCTTTTTTGGGTTCCGCGGCGGACGCAGCAGGACGTCTGCTTCGGGGGCTTCGTAGGCGAGGACTGTCGCGGCGACGCAGTCGGTGAAGCAGCTAGACATGCATTTATTAGTGGGAGATTGTAAACGAACGATAGGCCTGAAGTGCTAGGGCTACCAGATGATGATCATCAAAAACGAGGACAGAACCTGCGGAAGCCCGAAGACGACATTCGTAAAGACGGGCCAGAACTCGGAGAACGACCCCGCCGGCAGCAGGTAGGTGATGGTCTTCTTGAGGTTGTCGAACACGACGCGGCCGTACTGGACGGCCTCGACGACGGCGGCGAACGAGTCCAGCAGCACCATGTCCGACGCCTCGATGGCGATGTCCGAGCCGCTGCCCAGCGCGATGCCAATGTCGGCGGCCTTGAGGGACGGCGCATCGTTAACCCCGTCGCCCGTCATGCCGACGATTTCGCCCCGGGCACGGAATTCGCGGACGATGCGCAGCTTCTGCTCCGGCGTGGTGCGGGAAAACACGATTTCCGGGTACCTGCACAGCTGCTCCCACTGGTAGTCGTTCAGGCTCATGAGGTCAGCTCCGCTGATGACGATGGCCGAGGAGCGCGTGTCCTGCTGTCCATCAGCCTTGTTGGATCGCTGCAGCGCCTGCACGTCGTCGACCGGTCCGTTGCTGGTGACAATTCCGCATTGTCGAGCTATGGCCAGAGCCGTGAGGCCAAAGTCGCCCGTCACCTGGAATACATACAATTAATCGACGTTCAAAATTCGCGAGAGATAGCGGCAAACCATAAAGATCCTGATTCCGGCCCTTCTCAGCGTCTGGATCACCTCCGGAATCTCCTCCCTCGGAGGATCGACGATGCCAACCAGGCCAACGAGGACCAGACCCGTTTTCGCATGGCTCAGTACTTCAGCCTCGAATTCCCGGGATGACGGAGGGATCTTAAGCTCCTTGGCTGAGAGGACTTTGCGAGCCAGCAGAGTCACCCGTTTGCCTTCGCTTGACCAGCGGTCCTTGAGCTGGGTGATTTCTGTCCTAATCTGCCCGTCCAGCGTTTGCAGGCTGCCATCGATAGCGACGGCGTGTGTGCACCGCTCAATCAGAATATCCGGGGCGCCTTTGATCGTGAGAAGACTGAGAGCCGTCAGTGCAAGACCCAAAGAACTCGGAGCTTATGGCAGCTTACGTGTCCTCTGGTTTGAATTGGACTGCCTCTGCCGCCGACAAAGCCAGACCAAGACCATTGGAATCAACAACGCTGAACGTCCGGATCATAAACTTGTTTTTGCTGTTAAATGCAAGTTCGTACGTCTTCTTCCACAGACGCCGCAGATCGGACACAGGACCAAGTCCCTCGGAGAATCGAAGGATAGCCTGATCGGTAGCATCTCCGTATATCGGTCGTTCATGGAGAGGGAGTTGCGTTGACGCGGCATCGAATTCGGCAGCATTGCACAGACCGGCCATGGTCCGCAGCTGATGCGTTCCAGACGCTTTTCCCTTCACGACCATCTCGTCCCTGGCGGATTCTGGTGTAAACGTGGCGGTAGAAATCGCGCAGTCGGTGACGAACATTTTATTCTAGATAGTCAATCAATGCGAAAATAACAAATGTTCAATTCTAAGACTTACTCTCGTTAGAGTCCCCGTTTTATCGGAGCAAATCACCGACACTGCACCCAAGGTTTCAACCGTCTTCAGCGACTTGCAGAGGATCTTGTTCTTGCTCATCAGATTGGCCGTGATCGTCAAGCTAGCCGTCAAAGCGATCGGCAAGCCCTCGGGGATAAACGCAATGGCGACGCTGACGCAGTCCACTATCAAGCTAGGCACGTTGATCCAGTCAGGATGATCGACTCGAAGCCATGCCGCCCTGTCGATCGATCGATCAGTTTGCAAGTCTCCGGATCTGTTTAACTGTCACATACCAGACAATGATGACGACCGTGATCATCGTAAACATGATGCAGACTATCAAGAGCACAAAACGCAAGACTTCCTTCTCGAGCGTCGTCAATCCCGTCTTGGGTTCGCTGGATAGTTTCGCAATCCTGCCAAAGACGGTCGAGTCACCGGTCGACACGACAATGCCCGTCGCATTCCCAGACACGCAGTGTGTGCCCTGAAGCCCAATGCAGCGCGTCTCGAGGTAGTTATCATCCGTCGAGTCGACGGTCCCGTTGATCGGCAACGATTCACCTACTCTGTTGTCAGCCTAGATTCGAAGCCGCGTGGAAGTCCCTGAACGTGCCTGTGAGAATAGACCGGTCGAAGCAGGCGTCGTTCGAAACCTCGATAAAACGCATATCAGCCGGCAGCTTGTTTCCGGCCTTGATGAAGACGACGTCTCCGGGAACAATGTCCGGAGCGGTCACCGTCGTTTGAGAGCCGTCGCGCAGGACCAGGCAACTTTCCGGCAGCATGGCCGTGATGGAAGCCATGACCCGGGACGACGACCAGTCCTGCCAGGCATTGAAACCGGCTTGGATGAAGAACACTGCCAGCAGGACAATGGCCAGAGCCAGGTTCGCCGGAGAAGGCGGGCTACCGAGCGGCTTCCACGAGATGAACACGAGGATGCAGCCAACAAGGAGGATCGACCCGAAGCCCTTGAAGAAATAGCCAAGGATCTGCCAGAACCATCGAGTGGGCAGCGGCGAGAGGACATTCTTGCCATACTGGTGCAGCCGGCGCTGGATCTGGTCGGACGAGAGACCGTGGCCTGCATCGACTTGCCAGCGCTTCTGCAGCTCCTCGACGGACAGGTTGTGCCATTCGAGGTCCAGCAATTCTGAGGCTGCTGTTAGACTCCATATAAACAGAATTCATTCCACATTCATACCATGGGCAATTGCATTCTTTGCCTTCGCAGCTTCAGCTTGTTCACGTTGCTTGGCCTCGTCGATATCAAACGAACTGGTCCGGTGATTTAGAGAGATGCCAGCATGAGAGATGCAAGAGCTGCCACTCACACGCTGCGATAATGGATGGGAAGGGTGACAGAAGGATCGACGGTGTTTCTCCGGTTCAGACTGCGAATGGAGAAGCCAGAGCTGTTGGACGCTGTTCGCGTGAGCTGTCGAGGGCGGCTCTTGGGAGCATCGCCGGTCTCTTCATCGGCGTCTTGCCATCGCAAATGGCCGCCCGCTTTGAGCGGGTTTGCGGCGTTGTTTTCCATCAGAAATCTTAGAGAAAGAGAGCTTGACACCGCAGATAGAAAGCGAAATCAGAATGATGGATGAACGCAGGTCAACAGCTCAGGAAGAGCTGGAGCTTTATAGGCGTCTATCATGATAAGCTCGATAGCTGCGGTGGCGCTGGCAAGCATATGGCAAGCACATGGCACCTGCAGCATGTTGGTGCGCGATTAATGAAGGCCATTCGTGAGGAGAACGCTTTTGCTAGGGTTCGAGCTGGCGTGGTTCTTGGGGTGGTTCGAAGACTTAAGAATCTCCGATCGAGAGGCCACGATAAATGCCACATGGGGGAGTTAGATTGGCATTGAGTTGACCACCAGCAGCACGCACAGCCACTGCAAAACGTTAACCTCGAGGGGAAACAGATATCGCCGTTGGGATCGAAGTTGTTTTTTATCGCTGCGTTGACCCACCACGCAGGATCTGGGGAACCATGGATACTGGCGGTGGGGAGCTTCACATAAACCACGCAGTCTTAAAACGTTGATATTCGCCAATATTACTCCTTAGGTCATAACAATTGCGATGTTGGACGCACAGAAAATTTGATGGAGCTTTGAAAAGATACTCCACATGGTGAGGATGCAGGTGAGTCCAAAGAGCAGCAGAGGAATCGGATTTGTCATTGTGAGATAGACACTGGACAAAGAGTTTTCATAATTAGCTCCAGGCTTATATACAAGGCTTACAGGCAATTGCCAGTCTGCTGCCTAGTTCACATAATAAAACAGCTTGAAAACTAGTTGAAGTGCGACAATGACCAAAATAAACATTCACATCATATATTGGCCTCAGCATGATTAATTCATTAATGTCTTGCTCGTCAATCCAGAAGATACTCTAACCGATATATGCCGTGAAATGGATGATCTAACAGCAGGACAAAGGGGATATTAATGCAATCCAGTACAGTCGAAGTGAAAAGAAAAGGAAAGAAAGAAAAGAAAAAGAAGATAAGAATTAAGAGATACAAAGTTACTGCGGCTTTCGTGCAACCATCAAGTACATAGGAGTAAAGAGGTTCTTCTCTGCGCCAGCAACCAGGCTGTCTGCCGCAATGGCGAGAGTGTCGGCTGTCTTCCGCGCTCCCTGGGGGAAGAGACCAAGTCTTTCCATCGCGCCAACGAAGCGGTGGGCGATTCCACGACCCCACCAGGTCATGCGAGCGATAGTCAGGAAATCCCAGATCGAAGTCATGTGCTTGAAGGAGCCGGCCAGCGGGTAGTACCACGGGATCTTGTCGGGACGCTGCGCCAGATCCTCGTTGTGGATGAGCTCGAAGCCGGCGGCCTTGATGGCACGAAGAGCCTCGGAGATCTTGACCATGTTGGAAATACCATTACCCTGCTCGATACCCAGTCGGATCCTGCGGTGCTCGGGGTTGTCGTTGTCGTAGTCGTCGGTCATAAGCCACTCGTAGACACCAAAGACACCACCGGGCTTCAGCACGCGGAAAATCTCACTGTAGACACCTTCGAGGCTGGGGGCGTGGACGGTGGCCTCGATGGCGTAGACGGCGTCGAAAGTGTTGTCGGGGAAGTGCATCTGCATGAAGTCGCCCTTGGTGAAGGACAGCTTGTGGGACAGGCCCTCGCGTTCGGCATAGCGGGTGGCACGCTGGATCTGGTAGTCGTTGTTGTTGAGACCAACGATGTTGACACCAGCGAACTTGACGATCTCGCGGGCAGGTCCACCGACACCACAGCCAACATCCAGCACCTTCATGTTTTCTCTGAGACCCATCATGTGGGCGAGGTAGTGTTCATGGCGGGCGATGGCCTGGTGGAAGGGCTCACCCGGTTCGAAGCGACAGAAGTGGAAAGACGAGCCCCATCCATACTCGTAGAGATCGGTTGCGAGGTTGTAGTAGCTGGCAGGAATCAACGTCAGAATTCATTCTAAGTCAGGAAAGGTATTGTTGGACATACTGTCGAGTCAAGGTGGCATATTCCGCTCGTCGAGCCTGTCGACAGAAGCTTGTCAGAAAGAAAATACCCAATATATAATGCAATCAATTAATTCTCACCTCACGGATCTCTTCCGTCTCAGTCTCGGCGGGCTTGTTGTCCCAATGCTTGAAATACTCGTCGACAGCGGCCTTCTGAGCTTTGGCGTCCTTATTGCGCATGGCAGCGAGACCTCCAGCAGCCTCAGCAGACTTGCCATGGAGGATGCGGGCGAATTCCGCATCCCGCTGGTGGTCCTCCATTTCCAATTTTACCGGTGCCATTGTTGCAGAGTGCAGTCGCGCGAAGTCGTTATATAGAAATCCTGGGCCCAAGAAAAGGGGGACGGGCGAACGAAGATCGTACGATGTCGGAGACCAACAGGTCAATGGATCCAGCAATCAGCAGACGGAGAGACTGCGGACTCCACAGCGAATGCCACACGGCAAATTCGAATTCAGACAGGGGAAAGGAGGAAGACGGGCGTTGGAGGAGGACAGCTGTCTGGAGAATTTCCTGCGACGAGCACAGGCCTATCAGCAGGCCGGGATAGGGGATGCGCGCTTAGCCAACCAAAGGGCGGTGGCCGGGGGTTCCGCTCGGAACCCTCGGGTTCCGAGAGAATCGACTAGTCCGGAAAGAGTAAGCACGAGCATGTGATTAAGAATCTCTGTCACGTGAGACTAAGCCACATCACCAGCCATAGAGGCTTCTCCGCAGCCACTCGAATATCGATAATCCATCGTCACTCCGCGTTGACTGACGATTTCTGCGCCTCCCAACTGTTCAGTCAGCCACCCATCGCTGATCTGGCAACGGACCAAGATGCCCCCGCAAATCAAGCAGGACATCAACCGGTCCGGGTGGGAGTCCACCGACTTCCCGTCGGTCTGCGAGAATTGCCTCCCGGAGAATCCCTACGTGCAGATGTTGAAGGAGGACTATGGCGCGGAGTGCAAGATTGTAAGTATACCCGATATCTATCTCGCTGATGGAGACTGCATTTACTGACGGGCACAGTGTACACGTCCGTTCACCCTCTTCCGGTGGAAAGCCGATCGCACGGCGCGCACCAAGCGAACCGTGATCTGCTTGACGTGCGCCCGTCTGAAGAACTGCTGTCAATGCTGCATGCTGGATCTGTCATTCGGCCTGCCCATCGTGGTCCGTGACGCTGCTCTGAAGATGGTGGCCCCAGGTCCGCAGAGCCACATCAACCGGGAGTACTATGCCCAGACGCACGAGAAAGAGATCCAGGAAGGCCGCGGCGCCGTGGAGGCGTACGAAAAGACGGACGAGAAGGCGCGTGAGCTGCTCCGGCGGCTGGCACACAGCGAGCCTTACTACAAGAAGCAGCGCCAGTTGGAGGCGCCGCAGGGAGAGGAGGGAAAGTCGCAGGCCGAGTCTGCACCCCAGCGGAGCAGTTATGGCAACGGACCAGGTCCGATTCGCACGAGCGACACCAAAAAAGCACGAGCAAAGCAAGGTGCGCGACCATTCCCCAGCACCGCACAGTTGCCACCTGGTCCGGAGGACATCAACCCGCCGGCGGATCCGAAAATCACGTCTCTATTCATCACCGGTGTCGAGGACGACCTCCCAGAACACGAGATTCGCACGTTCTTCTCCGAATTCGGGCAGTTGCGCTCGCTGGTCTGCTCGCATCGGTCACACTGCGCCTTTGTCAACTACGTGTCACGAGCGTCGGCTGAGGCGGCAGCCAAGCATTGTCAAGGCAGGGCAGTGATTAAAGGATGTCCTCTACGCGTGCGGTGGGGGAAGCCAAGGCCGTTGGACAACATGGACCGCGAAGAGCGGATGCAGAACGCGCGCGAGGGCCGACAGGCTCTGGCGGCGGCCAAGGCTGCGGGGGCAGGGCAGAAGACCCTCACAGCAGCAGGAGAGGACCTTCCAACGGAGCCGGCGAAGCCCAGCTATGCAGTTGCGCCTCCGCCTGGAAGCGGAGAGGTGCAGTATGCCAGTCTGGCGGGAGATTAAACGGTCGTCATTTTTCATGTGTTCATACGGGAAAAGGGAGTTTTTATCGTGTATTCATGAACGGGCGTTACGTTTGTATTTCTTTTCTGCTTCTGCTTTTTTTTCTGGTCAATACCATGCAATGCTCAGACAGTGATAAAAAGGTTCAAAGGGTCGAAAGGGTTGAATTGGGAGATAAATATGGGTACAAATAAAATATAATACAGGCCGCAAGCTGTGTCTGCGGTTTCCGATATTCCATCAGATCTGTCGTCATTGTGTCCAGAATACATATATACAGAGAACATAAATATCACATCGTAGAGTACAGTACATCTAGCATAGTCGAGTCACAATGAACCTCAACCACGCAACTAAGCGGCAATAACAACCGAGAAACGCGGCAAATAAGTTAAAGACGTAGAGCCGTATATAGTACACGTATATTACGACGAGCAAGGCTTATCAACCTTGACATTCTTCCCTCCGATCCTGACCGAGTCGTTGTCTCCTCGCTCGATCTCGTCGTGGATGCGGAGTGCTGGAATTCAAGCATGAACATTAGCAAAACTCTCCCCTCTCTCAAAATAGGGTTGGGGCCGACGTACTCCACTTCCCATCCTCACTATCGGCATCCCTCACGCCCTGGACGATGTTATGTCGCAGGATATGCGCCGCCTCGACGGCGTGCTGGATCTGCATCGGCGTGTCGACGCCCAGGCGGCGGTTCTCGTCGAAGCGGCGGCGGGCTTCGGCGCGGGCGGCGTAGAGCATGCGGTAGTCGTCTATATGCAATCGTCAACAAGAATTAGTGGAGTGTCTTCTAATTTAATGATAGTTGAGAACGCTGGGATGACACACCTTGGAAGGCGATGCGGGTGGCGCGGAGGAGCTGGCGGTAGGCGGACAGGGCGGAGACGGAGGATTGGGCCATTTCGATTCAAGGTAGGTATTGTAAATTAGAAGAAGCAGGTAAATTGAAGAGATTCAAGATGCGGTTCTCGTGGCGACTGAATGTACTCCGTATTCCAGCTGAATAAGGAAGAAGGGCGACTAGGCGGAGAGCGCTGTATAGTTCTGACAGAGCTGGCTCAACGGCTACCACCCAGCATTGTCATAAACAGGGAGACAAGAAACAGTATTCAAGAATCAGAAGATAACCCTCAAGAATATCAAATATCAATCCTTGTTCAGTTGTTGCAGATACTATAGGAACGAAGCTGCTTCTCCGAAATATTGCAGCCCGCCATTGGCCGGAGGCAAGGCGGGCGGACGCGGCAGAAAAATAATTTTCGTCAGCTCGCGACTTCTGTTGATATTCTCTCACCACCCCCTCGCTCTGTCGTCAGACAAAACTATTGTCCGTCTGCGTCGACTCTACAATGGCAACTGCCCAGGTCGTCGATATCCCGCTCCCAGCTCTCCCCCAGGGCTGGAGCGCCGAGAAAGACCACAAAGTCCTCGCCGCGCTCTCCAGTGCCACGCAGCGCAATGTCGAGCCTGTTGGGCCGCACTTTCTGGCCCATGCCAGACGGGTAGGTAGATATCGTCCATTTCTGATGCCAGTGGAAGGTCGGGCTAACGCCTTCATAGAAGCGTCATAACCGCACATTCTCCGAAGATGAACGCATCCAGGCGCAGGAGAAGGTTAAGAAGGTCGAGGAGGAGGACGAGCTGAGTGACATCTCCGAGCCGGAAGACCCGGTCATGCTGTCCCGAGATGCCAAGGATTGGAAGGTATGATTGTTTGAATAGAATGCTTGTGTCTGTCTTCGCTAACGCCCTCCAGAGCCAAGACCATTATGCCGTCCTCGGCCTCAGCAAGCTCCGCTACAAGGCCACCCCCGAGCGAGATCAAGCGCGCCCACCGCAAGAAGGTCCTGCGTCACCACCCCGACAAGAAGGCGGCATCCGGCCAGGGCGAGAACGACAACTTCTTCAAGTGCATCCAGAAGGCGGCTGAGATTCTCCTGGATCCGGTGAAGCGGCGCCAGTTCGACTCGGTCGACGAGGCGGCTAACGTGGACCCGCCGACGAAAAAGCAGCTGCAGAAAGGCAACTTCTACGAGCTGTGGAACCGGGTGTTCGAGTCGGAGGCGCGCTTCTCCAACAAACAACCGGTGCCGATGCTGGGCGACGAGCACAGCACCAAGGAGGAGGTCGAGAACTTCTACAACTTCTGGTACAACTTTGACAGCTGGCGGACGTTCGAGTACCTGGACGAGGATGTCCCCGACGACAACGAGAACCGCGACCAGAAGCGGCACATCGAGCGCAAGAACGCCAACGCGCGGCGCAAGAAGAAGACCGAGGACACGGCGCGGCTGCGCAAGCTGGTCGACGAATGTCTGGCGGGTGACGAGCGGATCAAGAAATTCCGCAAGGAGGAGCGCGCTGGCAAGGACAAGAAGCGGCTGGAGAAGGAAGCAGAGGCGAAGCGGATAGCGGAGGAGAAGGAGAGGCAGCGGCAGGAGGAGGAGCGGCGCAAGAAGGAAGCCGAAGAGGCGGCCAAGGCGGAGCGCGAGGCGCAGAAGAAGGCCAAGGAGGCGGCCAAGAACGCGGCCAAGAAGAACAAGCGCGTGCTGAAGGGCAGCGTCAAGGACGTCAACTACTTTGCCGAATCGGGCGACCCGTCGCCGGCGCAGGTGGATGCCGTGCTGAACGACGTCGAGCTGGTCATGAGCAAGATCAGCCCGGAGGAGCTGGCGGCGCTGGCGACGAAGCTGACGAACGCAGGCAAGGATGTGGCCGCTGTCAAGGCGACGTATGCGGAGGAGGTCAAGCGGCTGGTTGGAGAGGGCAAGTTGAAGGAGGGAGAGGTCAAGACGTTCGCGTAGGGGACGGATTACTCGTACGTTCTTATTTTTTGACGTGTGATGCATCATGATGATGATGATGATGATAGACAGGATAGCCTGAATTCATTTCATTGAACACTATATTCCAACATATTCCAACATCCATACGTATTTCTTAGACTCCATATTCATCATATACATGAGTATATCTATCTAATCAAAAGCCAGTGCACCAGCCGACGCCAACAACCCGGTCGTCTTGCCGGTGACCTTGGGATCGGGCCCGAGAAAGTAGCCCGGAAAGCCGACATCGAACGGGACGATGCTCTCGAGATAGGCGATCTGCTCGGGCGTCAACTTGATGCTGAGGGCCTGGATATTGGCCTTGAGATGCTCGATCTTGCGGCCACCGACGAGGGGGAACACGTTGGGCGCCTTGGCCCGGACGTAGGCCAGGGCGATGGCGGTGACGGAGTCGATACCATGCTCCTCGGCGACTTTGGCCAGGGCCTCGCTGACCTTGATCTCGGTCTCGGTCTGCTCGGGCGGTCTGAACAAGCTGCGCAGGGGCTCGCCGCGCTTCTTGCGCTCCTCGATCTCCTTCTTCGACTGGAATCTGCCCCCGCCCAGCACGTCCCACGGCGCTATGGCCATGCCGAAATGCCGCGCCATGGGGATGATCTCGCGCTCGAGGTCGCGCCGCATGACGTTCCACTGGCCCTGGTAGATGCTGAAGGGCGTCTTGCCGTGCGCGCGCGCGTACGTGTTGGCGGCGGCAACGACCCAGGCGGGCGAGTCGGAGATGCCCAGGTACAGCACCTTGCCCTGCTGGACGAGGATGTGCAGGCTGTCCATGACCTCCTCGATCGAGGTCGTCTGGTCCCACCAGTGCACGTACAGGATATCGATCCAGTCGGTCTGCAGCTTGGCGAGGGAGTCGCGCACGCTCATGTGGAGGCTGCGGCGGTGGTTGCCGCAGTGGTTGACAGCCTTGCCCTTACCCAGCTCGAACGATTTGTAGTCGGTGGTGTACTTGGTCGCGATGACCATCTGGTCGCGGTTCTTGCGCAGGGCCATCCACTCGCCGATCCAGGCCTCCGACTGCCCGTTCTGGTAGTTGTTGGACGTGTCGATGAAGTTGCCTCCGGCCTCGAAGAAGTAGTCCAGCAGCTTGAACGCTGCCTCCTTGTCCATCGACCCCATGAACGACTGCCATGCGTCGCCGATGGACATGGCGCCCAGCGCGAGGGGCGACACGCGGATGCCCGCGGTGGACGACAGCACGCGCAGGCGGCCCAGCTCGGTGGGGGGGTCAGGGGCAGGTGCGAGGAAGTCTGACATGGCAGTATCACAGAGGAACTAGGATAGAAGATATCGCAGATAGTATAGTACAGTGTGGTATTGCTTGCGTCGTCACATCCAGCAGCCCATGTCGTATGTATATCCAGTATTTATAGACTCGCACATCGGACATTAGCATTCCATCCTCGGACTTACCAGACCGCATCTTCATGCATAATACCGGAGATAGGCACGGAATACTATTAAACACTATGAATGTGCATCATGCCGGGTCCCGCAATGAGGTCGATGAAGGCGAGTGGTGCCGTGGTGGAATCATCATGTGGGGTTCCTCCGAGGAGAAAAGAAAGAAAGAATCTGGAGGAAGATAATCATCATCATCATCATCAAGAAATCAGTCAATCAGTTAACCAATCAATCAATCTGGCAGACTGCAGTCTGGTACAGTACGAAGTTACATAGCTCTGGCACTCCAATCATAATCACAGCCTTGTTAGCAGGCAGGGAGGCAGACAGAGAATTCAGTATAGATAGACGGACGGACGGACGAAAAATCGGACGAATTTATGCATATGACAGCTGATGGTCCAGACCCACATGCATCAAGCAGGCAATTAAATTCAACGGTCAGTTAATAGCGCGTAATCCACTTGCATAAGTTGTCGCCACTGGATTAAATCTTAAAATCTTCATTAATAGGAAGAGTAAGTACTGCACAGTACTATTGTGTGGGTGTATATTCTGAACGGGAATATCCGGAATATCCCGTCGGAAAGAGGAGGATCCGCAAAGACAGGTTCTCGAAGTCACTGTTGAAGGAAACAAATTCTTTTTTTTGGCTGATTGTTTACTCAAAGAGGTGTGTTAATAGTATGTAGCTAGTCTTCAAAGGACACCCGTTGTATGTATATACATATCCACAGTATGCGTGTGCTGAACTGCCCAATACTGAAGTTGGCATAACCCTAATTTAGGGTTGTAGGATATCCATCATGCTCACGTGGTTTGTACAGTATATCGCTATATTCTCTAAGTTAGGGGAATAGATGTCTAGCTACATGTGTTTATTTTCCGCTCAGCTGAAGGTTATCGATTCTATCTATATATCTGCAGCCACATCATAACAATATTGACTGATCGACGTGGTATTGCCACGGTAACACTAGTTACACAGCGCACATCGCTAGGAGAAAACTTGCAACCGCCGCAATTCCACTCAGGCAGGCAGCTGGCCGGTTAGCCCTGCCAGTATTCGTCTGTTTCGCTGCCCCTGACTGCGTCGCTGTTGCAGTTCCGTTCCCAGATTGACTGCCGCCGGTGGAATTGGCTGCAGGACTGTACACTGCAATGCCATCCTTTGCGAGCGGCACAATCACCTGGTTTGTCTTTGGGTCAACGGCGACAGAATGCGCAGTCACATTATCCGTCGTCAGCGTCTGGAGGAGCGTGTTGCTCCTCGCATCGACGATGCCCAGCTGCGGCGTCGGTGTGCCGGACTTGCTACCCCCAGCTAGATTTTGGTACGCAGAGGCATAGTACAGCATCGCAGCGGGATCGTACGCCACCTGGTCGATACCCGACAGACCCGAGATGTTGGCAATGATCCTGCCCGTCGCGACGTCGATCACCGGGCTGAACGCCGTGCCGTACGTGAGGATCTGGTCCTGGCTGCACCCGACAAAGAGGTTCTGCCCCGGGCCGAACACGATGCCTGCGGGGATGCATTCCGGCAGTGGCAGCACCCTGCTGATCGTCAGACTCGTCACGTCGATCTCGGCGATCTCGCCGCCCGGGTTGGCCCCCGTGCTGGGCACGGAGATGTAGAACCGGCCGCTGGCGGGATTCCACGCGGGCTGCTCGAGGCCAGAGGCGTTGTTGAAGACGATGCGACCCAGCACTGATCGCTCTGTCGCTGAAATGACAGTTACAAAGGGAGGGACTTCATTTGGGTTCGTCACCACGGCCGTATTGGTTTGCGGATCGTAGGCAAACTCATCCGCGCGGGTCGTCGCGTTGGTCGAGATGTTGGCCACGATTCTGTTTTCAGACAGATCGACGACTCGAACGAGTCCGTCTGCGTCACCCACGTACAGTTCGTTGCGGTCAGGCAAGACGACGAGGCCGTCGGGGCCGGAGGTGGCAGAGTCAGGCTTGTTGTTGCGGATGGACAGGCCCTTGAAGCCGGTGATCGGGGCTTTCTCCTCGTTAGTAGCTATGTCGATGACATGGACAGCGCTGTTGGTGCGGTCTGCGAGGTAGTAGGTGTCGTTGTAGACGGTGCTCTGGTCGACGCTCGTTGCGTTTTTCGGCGTCCAGGGGAGCGTGGCTGCCAGCTCATAGGAGAGCGCGCTGGCGGTGGCGACGAAGGAGAACAACAGATGGACCTTCATCTTCATAAAGCAGGTTTGCTACGATCATGTCAAGACTCTTCAGTTTCCAGCATACTTGGATATCCTAGGGTTTTTTGTATGTTGATACTCCATCGTAACCATTCCATCTTCATAACGCAACAGGTCTGTCAACGACAGTCCGTGCTCCTGCGCACGGCCATCTTGCCTGACACTGTTCTGCTGAACGGAATAGGATACACAGGCCTTACCCCGCGTACGTTGACTAGAATGGCAGGTTCGAAGTTATACTTTCGAACTGTACAGTATAGATTTATTCCTCACGCCAATGGAATGCTCATTCAGTGGCACGCTCGGAAAACCTCCGAGAAAGATAGCGAGATAATGTCATGTTAGTTTTGAGTCAAGTATTGTTGGATGAACATTATTTTCGATTAAGTAGACTTACCCCAACATCTACAATATCAGCAAGCAAATGCATGATATTATTCCTACTGAATCCTCCGACCTTCGGCGTTTCTGCTACAAAGACTTAGGGTTAGTACAAGCGGAGAGAGGCTTAAGCAATCAATCATTGGAGAAAAGAAGACACTATGACCGCGCTACCTGCCGCGTGAGAGAAACAAGAAAATGATGTTTGTTCGAATCGGCCTCTCCGAAAGCTTATCATCAATACATGTCCTAAAGTTCACAGCACAGACCCCTACGGCAATGCTTGTCGACGGAGGAAATACTTCCTTACTCGTCTCTCCACATGTCGATCGATTGTTAGTTACCCCGCACAAACAGTCTTGGCTCCGAGGCAGTTAATAAGATGGCATGCAGAGAGTTGCACAGACAATTAGATCATAACGTCTCCAGGTGATTACTCCTCAAGTTAAGCATTCATATCGCGAATTGGACAGCTGCTCATATGTAGCTAGCTAGCAGCCAGTCTTAAGTCACGGTTTGTAAACAAACTATATACATGTATACATGTATATAAAAAACGAACTAATCGAACACGACATTAGTAAGAAATACCATCTGTCGGCCACTGTCAAGACATTGATTCATTCGTGCCGTCTCTCTATTTCATGCTACTGGCTAACACATTCAAAGGACGAAGTATTGTCAGTGTCAGTGTCAGTGCGGGGTACTATTCCGGGGGATACGAAAAAGCAAAAAAGAAAAAGGCACCCCTCTTACTTACATATATCCATGATGTCAAATTAAACTCTCAATGCAAGATCAAACATCCGAGAATCGGAGGAATCACTGAAGAAGAAAAGGGGGGAAAGAATTACGCCAATACAGCCACTCCCGCTCCTACGAGACTGACTGACAAGGTCCAGAGGAGTAGAGTATCTAACCCCCAATCTCATCTCCCCATGAAGCCCGGCAGAAGATGGGAAATACACGATGGATAGTGGGGGAACCCTATTACATGATTTCCATCCCTTGCCAGTCGTACTCACTATGACTCAATCCATGGCGGGAGAGATTCCCCGTTTTGTTGTCGATATCGTCGCCCTCCTCATGGAATATTACCAATGCAGGAATAACTTCAGCAAGATACATACAATTCCGGCCATAAGGAAGATCTATTCTCAGCATTGAGGAGGAGTAATGAACGATAACCCGTATAGTATACAGTGCAGAACTGAACGACTGGCCTAGCCCTAGCCCTAAGCGCGACAAGCAAGAGCTGAACGACAACATCATTCCCACCCATTGCTGCATATAGAAGGGGCGAAAAATAGTCTCCATAATCTGCCTGCGCAGTTCGAGGAGCAGCTGAGTCATGGTAGGAGCTCCGTTCTCGATCGAAAATAAGAGAATCGTGCTTCCAGATCGAGGAGCAGCTTCGTTAAAGCCATATTCCCGTTTTTCACTGCATGGTAAATGTGTTCCCATCTATAATATCTCGAGCTCGCTGTAATACTTTTTCGAAGAAAAAAAGAACTTGGCTGTAGCTGTACGTGGCTTTATATACGATGAGCGTCCATTTCCTTTCGCTTTCCGCATCCACATCATCCACTTTCTTCGCCAAAATATAAGCCATATGGCTATTTCCACTTTCTCTGGCTTTCTGGAGTGCCCTGAGGAGCATCATACCCGATCCACCGAAAATCAGTGCCAAAGGTTTGTAAAATGCAGGTAATTTCTCCGTCTCAACCACCAGATCTTTTGTAGATATCCAAAGAAGAATCCTTTCAAAGTCATCACTTTGGCTCAGGTCGTGGAGCGTATGCAGGCCCTTCCAGACAGTCTTCCTCAAGTCCTAGAACCTGTCTTTGCCGTAGTCACGCAAGCGTCTTGAAAGCCCACCGAGATGCGTCAGAAGAAAACTTGTATCCAATCCAACCTCGACCGTTACTCGGTGACTGATGGGTAGACACGTCTTTTCTCCCGACTTGCTGGAAGAAATCCTTTAGTCTTGGCTTCTTTCTCCCTCATGTCGATTAAAAATGCTAAAAATGGTTCAATAAGGCAAGTAGAAGATGCAGTAAAAAAAAAACGAAATTTAAAAAAAACGTACAACAGCTGGGATTCGCTGGTGGTCACCCACCCAACTACTAACCAGCCGGCGTGCGGCTTAAGTACGGCTGAGCGGACGGGAAGCCCTGTTTTCCGCACCCTATGGTCGTACGTGCTAAATATATGCGAGGGAACAGTTTATGAGGAGGACATTCTGGAAAAAAAAGAACCAGAACTCTTGGCATAAAGGCGACACTGTATTATAGTCTTCAGTCTAAAATAGACCAGTAATAATTGGAATGCTTCACTGGGCAAGGTGTGATGGCGCTGGTTGGACTGTCACGTAGGCGGTGTGGTAGGCGGTCGAGAGTTTGACCGGCAGTATGCCTCTTATATCAAACCCCGCGAAGACCTTTCACTCTTTCTTTCTTCCCTCCCCAGCCTAGTCTCTTAGTGAATTACTACCTCAGAGCTCTAGATAGGCGATGAGAATGAGTTGGTCACAAAAGGTACCCTTTAAATACTGGAGTGGTCGTATTTCCGAGATTCACGAGGCCTTTAATGCGTCGAAGCCGCGGGGGATTTCTAGCTGGTGGATCGACCGGCGAAACCCAGTTCAGTGGGAGACCTTTTGGATCGCACTGAGTGCTCTTGTGTTGACACTTGTCTTTGGCTTGTTACAGTCGATCACGGGGATTCTGCAAGTCGATGTAGCGTACCATCCCCCGGCATGATTTGATGAGTTCAGAGGTAGACTTGACTCACTTGGTCGTGGTACGATGTTTACCTGCAGGCCCAGTGCAGAATACAAGTTCATGTACTCGTAAAATTGAGGTAGAAACAGCCAAATGAACGAAACCATGGAGCTTGGAGGGAAACGATGCAGACAGTTGGAGAGGACGCTGTCATGGCATTCTTTTTGAGAACAGAAGGCAAGATGGAAGGTACGGACCTTCCAATTCAGTCGATAATAATCGCCATCGATTATGTAGTCACGTGTAGGAAAGGAGGCCACAGACCGAGCAGCTGCATCAATCCTAAACCAGGGTTATTCCACCTTGGAATTTGAAATGAGATGAATGCTCGTCACGACACCTCCGTCAATGCCCTTGGCTATATAGCTTGGAGGACCTGCGACCGCTCTGGCAGCTGCGAACCTGCGGGCGGTAAGAAGAGCGAGACACAATCAAGACTCTGCAGCTCCAGGAGCAGGTTCCAGAAAGACATTCGTCCATCTTGGTGCGTAAAATACGGCATTAGCCATATACAAAGCATTGAAGAGGCTAATATAGCAACAAAACAGAAAACAACCACGCTGCCATGGCCTATCTGGCCTCGATCGTTCAGCTCTCATCTCACCTTCCACCATATCCACACCATCGACAATCCAGTCTACCTCGCAGCTATTCTCCGGCCCGTGAGTGCCCTCTCTCAACTTTCTCTGCCCTGGCTCCGTCTACATGTACAGCCGTGCGCAGAATGTCAAAGACGCGGCAATGTCTGGCGTATACCGCTTCCGGGCCGTCAGAACCAGTCTTCTTCTTCAAACAAACGATCCTGATTGCGCTGTTGCATACTCTCGCCAACGGAAGGAATCGAAAGGAATATATTGAGGTTTTGATGACGTTGGCTCAACTCAACGCAATTCTTCTGAGAAATAGACCAAGAGAGATTCCTCGAGAACAGTCGAGAAATTATTACAAATGAGTAGCGAACGAACATTCCAGCTCCCAAACAATCCATCGGTCACGCCACCATTCGACAGCATCTTCTGAGTCGACCAGATGATAAGCTTCCTCATCTATGGCTCCTCTTTCCGCAGCACCTCAGTAACCTGGCCTCCATGCACCACAATCTCCGTCTTCTTGAGCGACGCCTTGACAGGGTTCTTGGACCGGAAGATCTCGGTCAATTCCTCCAGAGTCCGCTTGCTCGTCTCCACAAAGAGGAAGTAGATGATCAGCACCTCAAAGATGTCCCAGAAGATGAACAGGAAGTAGTACTTCCACCCCGCGCCCGTGAAGGCGATTCCAGTGACGAAGGTGTTGTAGAAAGAGGCGATGTTGACGAAGAACTATGAAAACTTAGCATCGACAGGGTCAGCAGAGATAAGATCGACTTACGTTGTTCATTCCCATCCCCTTCGCACGAGACTCGTACCGGAGACACTCGACCGGATACATCGCTTGGTTCGGAGTCCAGGACGCCGAGTAGACAAACCCAAAGATGAAGATCATGGCGATTTGCGCGCGCGCCACTACGCCGCTCTTGGCCACCGGTCCGTCCGGTGTGTTGACGACATTGGTGGCGTTCAAGGAGATGACGATGATAAACAGGACCACAATCAGACTCGTCGCGGTCAGAAGCTGGGGTCGGCGGCCGACTCGGTCCGTCAGCAACGCACCCGTAACAGCCCCGATGAGCGAAACGACGTTCTGAAGTCCCTGCAGAAGCAGCTGCGTATTCAGGCTCGTCACACCGGCAGCCTGCAGCATCTGGGGATAGTAGTACGACACGGGGCCGTTGCCTGTCCATTGACCAAAGAAGGCTACATAATTCGTCAGTCACAGGTCTAGTTATTCGGAAACGTCGTCCTACCCATAAACAGCACCAGCATGGAGCGATACCGCGTCTCGCGGGTGTTGAAAAGCTCACGGTAGTCCCACCACCGTTTGTCGGACCCGGTCTTGGAAATGTCATCTAGCATTTCTCGGAACTCGAGCTGCACAATGGGCGAGTCTCGATCGCCTTCACCGTGGTACTCAGCCAACACCTTCAGGGCTTCTTCGTGCTTGTCTCGCGATATGAGCCAGCGAGGGGACTGTTTCGTCAGTAACGTTTGAGACGTCGGAAGAAGCATGTATACTATACATACCTCAGGAAGGGTAAAGCAGAACAGAAGCACCAAGCCGGAAAAAACCATCTGCAGCCAAATCGGGATCCGCCAGCTCTGTGTGCCCTGAATTTGGGCCGTCCTCCACGGAATAAACGTCCCTGGAACACCGCCTCCGAACCACAGGACGTTGTACAGTCCCGTCATGGCCCCTCGATAGGCTGGATGGGCCATCTCCGAGACATAGGCCGGTCCTGCCGTCGCCGAAGTCGCAACCCCGAAGCCGAGCAAGAAACGGCCGCCCATGAATGCGCCGAGATTGTGGCAGGTCGCCTGCACGATGGTCCCGACAATGATGAAGAGTGCCCCGAGCGCCATTCCCACGCGACGTCCTAACTCGTCAGTATGTACAGTACAGACAAACTGATGACAAGGGCAGCCTACCGCGGAAATCGGTAAAGGGACCGGCAAAGAACGAGCCGACGATGTTGCCAATGGTGTAGATGGCGTACACGATACCCGTCGACGGCGTTCCTGCCTTGGGATCGAAGCCAAAGTAGGCCCGATACTGGGGGTAGCTGTTGATCGAGCCCATCAGGGAGCCGTCATAACCGTTGATGCAGGAATTCAGCGTGGCTATGGCGAGGGCCCAGTACAGCTGGGCAGTCTCGTCAGTTTGGCACCGAAACGAACAGGAATCGAGGACCTACCTTGAACATGCGCCGGGTCAGCAGCTTCGGCTTCTGCCGGTACGTGGCATCGGCGAGGGCCGCATTAGGCACGCCTCGAACTTGGGTGTCGTCCCTCTCCACATGGGCTGCAGCGGGTGTCTCTTTCTCCGTCATGATGAACAAGCTGGACGTCAAGTCTCACCGTGGACTTCGACAGAGTAGGACACTCGCGGAAGGATGTCAGACCCATCCTGGAGGGTGAGACGGTCTTGATATAGAGCAGACATGCAGTGCCGCCATGATGCCCTACTGTACACATTGGCTCACCGAGGCAGCATCCCAACATTGGCAACCCCTTAGTCCGAAGACAGGCGTCAAGAACCATCCCCTGTCGGTTATATTAATCTGTGGTGTCATTCTTGCACCCTGCAGCTTCCCCAGCTTCAATTAGGCTAAAATAGGCTAAAATCTGGGGTTAGCTCCGGGTCAGAGCGGCAGTCGGTCGATGGTCTAGACGCGGCTGGCTACGGTCGCTGGTAGTACTACCATGATGGAGAACGGAGACTGGATGCGATGCGATGTCCAATTCGGAATGGCTTCATGGTCGTAGCAATGCTGCGGGGTGACAGATCTCAACAATGGGACAAGTACAAGCTGTGGGGATCGTGGGAGGACAGACAACCGTGAGAAAACAAGCGACAGAAGCGAGCTCACGTGTGGCTGTCTTGGCCCTGCACGCCCTCGCTGAGGCGCCTACCAATTTCCTGATTGGAAGCATTTCTGACTGCCGATAAATTAATTCCAACCATTCCCTGGAAAACGATCTCTGTTGGCAGAGCTGCTAAATTAACGTCTTAGCTGCCTTTCTCTGACGAGTTGCGGGGCTGCGTCTTTGGGACGACACTCCGCGAAGGCGATCGGCCACGTTCGACACCCTGGAGTCATCCAGACGGCAATGTTATTGGGGATAGAGTACTGCCAAGGCCTTAGTGAGTTCTTGTCGATATATCAAGCTTTGGAGTGGCATCGATTAGTGCTGAGCTCACCTGCCAACCACGTGTTTGAACAGCTGCGAGCTGACAGCTCTGTTGAGGGTGATGCATTCTTTCGCTGCCAGGTCGACTGCTAAGCTTTTGACAAGATCACCAACATGATTTCTGCGATCTGACTCGCTTTGTGTCTGTTTCGCTGGGATTGATTATTGCTCGAAATTCAGGGGAGCAACAACATACAGATCAATAACAACGTCCGCGGAATGTCGGCTTCGAGGTTCTAGTGAATAGATATCTTGACTCAGGAACTGGTATTTAGGATGCTTTGTTTGATTTTGCTTTTTTTTAAGGGTAGAAACCAACAGTTACGGTTGACAGCGCTTAGAGGAATGAATCCGATATGGTGCAATGTTCCTGACTGTACTCGACAACAATCCAGGTTCATGCTGCTCGCTATTGCATGATTCATGCAGATGATTAGAATATCGTGTAACCAGGAGGAAGAATTAATTGCGCAGATTAATTCCAGAGAGGTCATCAAGCAGCCAGAAGCCTCCTAGATATTGACATGGGCTGTGTTTCTAGTCTTCGTTGTTCGTTGCCTCCTCTGGCCCCTTTTCATCTTTCTCCGCGGTGATTCCGGCCTCCTTGTGTATCTTACAGTCGAAAAGGCAATTATTAGAAAGTACTGAGTGTCGGGTAACCCTGGACTTGAAGTCGTAAGACCTGAGCCAGACGGTCAAGTGACCGGCTGACCATGTGATCTCTATTGTCAAGAACGGCCAACTGTCGAATTATTTTCATTTCTGTCTGCAAGTCAAGAATCTTCGTGGATAGCTATTCTCAACATCTACCTGCCTTTTCGACTTTTCACAAGCCAACTCCCCAAATCATGCTGTCTAGCGACTCTTACGACTGGAACGTCGACCCGATATCCCCCCATCTGATGTTCGAGAAGGTCACCGCGGTGTCAGGATGCTGCGCTTCAATAGTCGCTGGGTTCCCCTCGGTGCTGTTGCAGGGCCCAGCATTCCCGCTGTCGAGCCAGTTCATGAACTGACCAGGATCATTCCAGATGCTGAACACCAGCACCATCCCCCGACCCAGCGCCTCGCCCATCTCCTTCAGGCCGCCAAGCGGCTCGAAATAGGAATCCACCGTGGAACAGAACGAGTCCGTGATTGACGAGACAGAGTCGCTAGGCGAAGGCCCGATCACGTTGCCGTCTTGGACGTACAGACGACGGATCTCCGTCAGAGTCCCCGTCGTGGTGTTGTCGTTGGTGAGAAACTGCGTTACCACGGTGAAGGGCCTGGACGTGTCGACCGTCTTCCCGGGTCCGTAGTAGTTGTGGTCTCCCAGCGCGTACGGGTTGTATCCGCATCCCGGCTTGTCGCAGACGCCGTTGGAGCCGCACTCAGCGCCAGAACAGGCATAGATGCTGGTGACGCTGCACGGGTGCGGAGTCAACGCGGTGGCAAGGGCATTCGCTTCCCAGATGTCCATCTCGTTGCAGCAAGCGCCGAGCGAGCCGGTGTTGACCGTGCCGTTGATGAAGGGCTGGACGCCGCATTGCGCATCACAGTATCCAGAGCCATACTGTGCCCCCGCCGGGTTGAGGCTGTTTCGGCCGCCCGATGCGTCCATCTCGGAGAGATACAAGGCGCCGTTCATCCCGCAGACCAGTTTCGAGACGTCCACGTCAAAGCTCAGCTCCTGGCCGAGGAGCTGGAGCATGCTGTAATTCCCGTCCTCGTCGTCGCTGGCCAGGAGATAGACCCGCGGCGAGGCGGTGACGACCTGGTCGCCGTTCGTGACGTACTGATTGAGAGTCAGGGCATCGCCGTCTGTGTGAACTCCCGAGCTGGTGTAGTTGGCCCCCTCGACGACGCAGTTTTTGGAACATTCCTCTTCGTTGGGACAGAGGCTCTGGTTCAGCCCGCCAGAAACCACGCACGAGACGTCGCTGTTTCCAACTTCATGGATCGGATGCGACAGGTACTCCAACACGACGGAGGTATTCTGCTGGACACAGCCGCCCTCGGTCGTGCATTTCCATGTCGGGAGCTTGGGATGGACCTCGGGGATAGTGCCAATCTGCTGTGCCGTGACAGTGGCAAGGGGGACCAAGATCAGCGCAAGAATTCGATCCATGGCTGCAAGCGTTGAGAAGTCGAGGTATGAGACACCCCCGTATTTCCCTCCATGGGAGTGGGATATTTATGTACGACATCATGCAGAGGCGGAGCATCGCGCAGAGGCGGAGAATAGGCTAATTAATTCAATAGTGGGACATCGGGATATCGCCTTTGAAAACTGCAGTTGCAGATGCGGGGTGGGCTGGGGTAAAGTTAGTTCCTGCATATTAATTAAGGAACGGTCTAGTTAGCAGCTGCTGATCAATGTGTTTAGTTTCTGCCAGATCCGATACTACGCGTATGGAGGAGTATCGGATCCTGATGCTACCTAGGTAGCATCGGAGAAACCCCTCTTTCTTAGTACTACTCCGTTCCTCAGGTGGCATTGTGGGCTCAGCCTGCTGGATGTAGACAGTAATAAAACACCGTCTGTTCGATATCACTTAGAAACCGGGTTCCAGTTCGGAGTAGCCAGAAAACAGTCCTTGGAAACAGAAGGCAGTACTATCATGATTAAGTTAGCTATGCTTTAGACTGTCCAGCCCTAGAGATATGCGCATACACACTTTCCTATACAAATAGATATACAACAGTACAACATCTACAAGGACATATATATCATATCCAAGCCTCATCTCCAGAAAAACAAAATACAAAAACGGTCCTAATAACAATTTCAAGTTCGTATATCCATATATCCATACGGAGTAAATTGGAAATCATTGCCCTAATCTTTTCAATGGCAACAAAAAAAAAGCGTAGACGTTACAAGCACAATGACTTCTTCCACACACACACATACACACGGTTAAGGTAATTCGGTTCTTTGCATGGCATCTCAAGTGATGAGAAGAGCATGGAATGTTGACTGAAAGATGGCAGTCTACACTAACTAATATTTTAATAGTAACTAACTGACCTAGGTGCATCTGCTATAACCTGTAGTATAGGGAAATGCAGTGCAATGCAATCAAATGCAATGAAACATTGCTTTATGTAATGTTGCTTGTTTATAACTATTTTATTTATAGGGCTAGGGGGGAAAAAAACGACAACACTGGCACCAATATTGTGATCCCAGAATCCTTTCAATTTCAAAAATAGAAATAGAAAATCCAAGAAAGACCTTTCGGATAGATAAATAGAAAACAAAAGTCAGGCACGCTCGAAGCTGCTATAAAGAAATAAATAATTAACATAATTAACTAATATGGCAGCCACAGAACAAAAACTCGAAACAAGTCTATCCATAAATAGAAAGTAAAAGAGCCATACATATTGAACCACATAAAACGCTTAGCTTAATGTAATCTCAGTGATTGATTTCAGTTACAAGATTGGGGGATCCTAACCATATTAACATTTAGGAGACAAAACAGGCCATATACAGATGTACTGTACAGACACGATAAATAAATGAGCTTTCAAAGAAAATAAAAAGGTAATAGATAATCGCCATAATTGTTGTGTTAGACTCAAGTATTCTCGGTTGGACCTCTGGAACTGCCAGTTTGTTCAACTTTGGTGTAATAAAATAATGGTAATTCATTCGTAACTTGATTTGAACAAAAATTGGTAGATGAGGGTTTATTACTATTCTAGTAAATCATGTTTCTGATAATGAATATAGTTTTTTTTAATATAGAATTATCGTAAATAGGAGTAGCAGAAAAAGTATACCTAATATTACCTTAAAATGTACTGACTATAGACAAGATTCATTTCTGAGATAGCCACGCTCACTCCTAGCGCATAACAAACACTATTAAGCGTATGCAAAATTTGGTGCAGTTTTGGCACCCCAAAACCTCAAAAAATTGCAACTTTTGTATCGGAAGCCCTCCAAACCACCAAAATACTGATTTTTCTCACCAAATCCCATCGATTTTTTACTGAATTTGTCATATCTGAGGTTTTTCTGACTTTCTAATTAGGAAATTATAGCCTATATTCAAACCGATATCGAGATGTCTGCGAATCGCGCTCCTGCCGCCATACCCTACGACCTTCGCAAGAAGCACATTCCTCGCATCCCATCCCCAGCCCCGAACCAGGATCCCGCTGGCAATTATACTCCGATGGCCGCTGCAAGGAAGATAAGAAAAATGAGGCAAAAGAAGGCG